AGACTGAAATACAATTTATAAAATAATGCTTGGATAGTGAGGTAGACTGAAATACAATTTATAAAATAATGCTTGGATAGTGAGGTAGACTGAAATACAATTTATAAAATAATGCTTGGATAGTGAGGTAGACTGAAATACAATTTATAAAATAATGCTTGGATAGTGAGGTAGACTGAAATACAATTTATAAAATAATGCTTGGATAGTGAGGTAGACTGAAATACAATTTATAAAATAATGCTTGGATAGTGAGGTAGACTGAAATACAATTTATAAAATAATGCTTGGATAGTGAGGTAGACTGAAATACAATTTATAAAATAATGCTTGGATAGTGAGGTAGACTGAAATACAATTTATAAAATAATGCTTGGATAGTGAGGTAGACTGAAATACAATTTATAAAATAATGCTTGGATAGTGAGGTAGACTGAAATACAATTTATAAAATAATGCTTGGATAGTGAGGTAGACTGAAATACAATTTATAAAATAATGCTTGGATAGTGAGGTAGACTGAAATACAATTTATAAAATAATGCTTGGATAGTGAGGTAGACTGAAATACAATTTATAAAATAATGCTTGGATAGTGAGGTAGACTGAAATACAATTTATAAAATAATGCTTGGATAGTGAGGTAGACTGAAATACAATTTATAAAATAATGCTTGGATAGTGAGGTAGACTGAAATACAATTTATAAAATAATGCTTGGATAGTGAGGTAGACTGAAATACAATTTATAAAATAATGCTTGGATAGTGAGGTAGACTGAAATACAATTTATAAAATAATGCTTGGATAGTGAGGTAGACTGAAATACAATTTATAAAATAATGCTTGGATAGTGAGGTAGACTGAAATACAATTTATAAAATAATGCTTGGATAGTGAGGTAGACTGAAATACAATTTATAAAATAATGCTTGGATAGTGAGGTAGACTGAAATACAATTTATAAAATAATGCTTGGATAGTGAGGTAGACTGAAATACAATTTATAAAATAATGCTTGGATAGTGAGGTAGACTGAAATACAATTTATAAAATAATGCTTGGATAGTGAGGTAGACTGAAATACAATTTATAAAATAATGCTTGGATAGTGAGGTAGACTGAAATACAATTTATAAAATAATGCTTGGATAGTGAGGTAGACTGAAATACAATTTATAAAATAATGCTTGGATAGTGAGGTAGACTGAAATACAATTTATAAAATAATGCTTGGATAGTGAGGTAGACTGAAATACAATTTATAAAATAATGCTTGGATAGTGAGGTAGACTGAAATACAATTTATAAAATAATGCTTGGATAGTGAGGTAGACTGAAATACAATTTATAAAATAATGCTTGGATAGTGAGGTAGACTGAAATACAATTTATAAAATAATGCTTGGATAGTGAGGTAGACTGAAATACAATTTATAAAATAATGCTTGGATAGTGAGGTAGACTGAAATACAATTTATAAAATAATGCTTGGATAGTGAGGTAGACTGAAATACAATTTATAAAATAATGCTTGGATAGTGAGGTAGACTGAAATACAATTTATAAAATAATGCTTGGATAGTGAGGTAGACTGAAATACAATTTATAAAATAATGCTTGGATAGTGAGGTAGACTGAAATACAATTTATAAAATAATGCTTGGATAGTGAGGTAGACTGAAATACAATTTATAAAATAATGCTTGGATAGTGAGGTAGACTGAAATACAATTTATAAAATAATGCTTGGATAGTGAGGTAGACTGAAATACAATTTATAAAATAATGCTTGGATAGTGAGGTAGACTGAAATACAATTTATAAAATAATGCTTGGATAGTGAGGTAGACTGAAATACAATTTATAAAATAATGCTTGGATAGTGAGGTAGACTGAAATACAATTTATAAAATAATGCTTGGATAGTGAGGTAGACTGAAATACAATTTATAAAATAATGCTTGGATAGTGAGGTAGACTGAAATACAATTTATAAAATAATGCTTGGATAGTGAGGTAGACTGAAATACAATTTATAAAATAATGCTTGGATAGTGAGGTAGACTGAAATACAATTTATAAAATAATGCTTGGATAGTGAGGTAGACTGAAATACAATTTATAAAATAATGCTTGGATAGTGAGGTAGACTGAAATACAATTTATAAAATAATGCTTGGATAGTGAGGTAGACTGAAATACAATTTATAAAATAATGCTTGGATAGTGAGGTAGACTGAAATACAATTTATAAAATAATGCTTGGATAGTGAGGTAGACTGAAATACAATTTATAAAATAATGCTTGGATAGTGAGGTAGACTGAAATACAATTTATAAAATAATGCTTGGATAGTGAGGTAGACTGAAATACAATTTATAAAATAATGCTTGGATAGTGAGGTAGACTGAAATACAATTTATAAAATAATGCTTGGATAGTGAGGTAGACTGAAATACAATTTATAAAATAATGCTTGGATAGTGAGGTAGACTGAAATACAATTTATAAAATAATGCTTGGATAGTGAGGTAGACTGAAATACAATTTATAAAATAATGCTTGGATAGTGAGGTAGACTGAAATACAATTTATAAAATAATGCTTGGATAGTGAGGTAGACTGAAATACAATTTATAAAATAATGCTTGGATAGTGAGGTAGACTGAAATACAATTTATAAAATAATGCTTGGATAGTGAGGTAGACTGAAATACAATTTATAAAATAATGCTTGGATAGTGAGGTAGACTGAAATACAATTTATAAAATAATGCTTGGATAGTGAGGTAGACTGAAATACAATTTATAAAATAATGCTTGGATAGTGAGGTAGACTGAAATACAATTTATAAAATAATGCTTGGATAGTGAGGTAGACTGAAATACAATTTATAAAATAATGCTTGGATAGTGAGGTAGACTGAAATACAATTTATAAAATAATGCTTGGATAGTGAGGTAGACTGAAATACAATTTATAAAATAATGCTTGGATAGTGAGGTAGACTGAAATACAATTTATAAAATAATGCTTGGATAGTGAGGTAGACTGAAATACAATTTATAAAATAATGCTTGGATAGTGAGGTAGACTGAAATACAATTTATAAAATAATGCTTGGATAGTGAGGTAGACTGAAATACAATTTATAAAATAATGCTTGGATAGTGAGGTAGACTGAAATACAATTTATAAAATAATGCTTGGATAGTGAGGTAGACTGAAATACAATTTATAAAATAATGCTTGGATAGTGAGGTAGACTGAAATACAATTTATAAAATAATGCTTGGATAGTGAGGTAGACTGATATACAATTTATAAAATAATGCTTGGATAGTGAGGTAGACTGAAATACAATTTATAAAATAATGCTTGGATAGTGAGGTAGACTGATATACAATTTATAAAATAATGCTTGGATAGTGAGGTAGACTGAAATACAATTTATAAAATAATGCTTGGATAGTGAGGTAGACTGAAATACAATTTATAAAATAATGCTTGGATAGTGAGGTAGACTGAAATACAATTTATAAAATAATGCTTGGATAGTGAGGTAGACTGAAATACAATTTATAAAATAATGCTTGGATAGTGAGGTAGACTGAAATACAATTTATAAAATAATGCTTGGATAGTGAGGTAGACTGAAATACAATTTATAAAATAATGCTTGGATAGTGAGGTAGACTGAAATACAATTTATAAAATAATGCTTGGATAGTGAGGTAGACTGAAATACAATTTATAAAATAATGCTTGGATAGTGAGGTAGACTGAAATACAATTTATAAAATAATGCTTGGATAGTGAGGTAGACTGAAATACAATTTATAAAATAATGCTTGGATAGTGAGGTAGACTGAAATACAATTTATAAAATAATGCTTGGATAGTGAGGTAGACTGAAATACAATTTATAAAATAATGCTTGGATAGTGAGGTAGACTGAAATACAATTTATAAAATAATGCTTGGATAGTGAGGTAGACTGAAATACAATTTATAAAATAATGCTTGGATAGTGAGGTAGACTGAAATACAATTTATAAAATAATGCTTGGATAGTGAGGTAGACTGAAATACAATTTATAAAATAATGCTTGGATAGTGAGGTAGACTGAAATACAATTTATAAAATAATGCTTGGATAGTGAGGTAGACTGAAATACAATTTATAAAATAATGCTTGGATAGTGAGGTAGACTGAAATACAATTTATAAAATAATGCTTGGATAGTGAGGTAGACTGAAATACAATTTATAAAATAATGCTTGGATAGTGAGGTAGACTGAAATACAATTTATAAAATAATGCTTGGATAGTGAGGTAGACTGAAATACAATTTATAAAATAATGCTTGGATAGTGAGGGAACACTGTCTTTCTCTCTTTGGGAGAAATAAAAAACAACCAATCCCGAAGTTTCTGTTGTTTGTGAAAAAATAAATAGCTCATTACTTCACTGACAATCTCAATGCCCTCTGGGTCAATTACAGATAAATAAATTTAAAAATTTCTTTGTGAAATATTTCTAAATTCCATTACATGAACTTAGAACTTATTTTCTTTTACATCATCACTAATTGGGGGGGGGGGGGGGTGTTGACATTAGTGCAACAGGAGAAAATAATTCCATGGGGTGCTGCAGATTCAGTGCATGTTTTACTGCTCACTCTTGGCCTTATATGAAATAGTTCAACCCATCTGTGTATCCAAGGCTTGTCTATTTTATTGTCAGACCGCTGGTGTGTGTCACCACTAAACCATAATTGAATTCTTGTTGCACCAGCCACTAGGTGGTGTGTCACCACTTAACCATAATTTAACTTGTTGCACCAGCCACTACGTGGTGTGTCACCACTTAACCATAATTGAACTTGTTGCACCAGCCACTAGGTGGTGTGTCACCACTTAACCATAATTTAACTTATTGTCAGACCGCTGGTGTGTGTCACCACTTAACCATAATTGAACTTGTTGCACCAGCCACTAGGTGGTGTGTCACCAGCACAGATGAAGAAATCAAGTGCAATGAACTGAAGGCCCAGATGAAGACAGCCATTGAAGGCAACAACACACTGTCAAAGCTACTGCCTCAGGAGTTTGAGTGTATACGCTCATATGATGTGTAAGTTCATGCTCATATGATAAGTTCATACGCTCATATGATGTGTAAGTTCATGCGTGTAAAGAAGTGTGATTGTTCTATCTTTATGGATGAATTGTATAGATAGCTATTTAGATCACTGTACACGTGATCACATAATAATAGGTTAGTCAGAAGTAGATGACAGTTGTGTACCAGAATGGAATGACAGTTGTGTACCAGAATGACAGTTGTGTACCAGAATGGAATGACAGTTGTGTACCAGAATGGAATGACAGTTGTGTACCAGAATGGAATGACAGATGTGTACACCAGAATGACAGTTGTGTACCAGAATGACAGTTGTGTACCAGAATGGAATGACAGCTGTGTACACCAGAATGACAGATGTGTACACCAGAATGACAGTTGTGTACCAGAATGACAGTTGTGTACCAGAATGGAATGACAGCTGTGTACACCAGAATGACAGTTGTGTACCAGAATGACAGTTGTGTACCAGAATGACAGTTGTGTACCAGAATGACAGTTGTGTACCAGAATGACAGTTGTGTACCAGAATGGAATGACAGTTGTGTGTACACCTGACAGGTTTACCTGTATGGAGATGATAGAGAGTGACCAGGCTGACCTCATCAACCTGGACTCTGGCCTAGGCTACTTCGCTGGACGCCAGCACAACATGATGCCCATAATGGCTGAGAGCTATGCTACTGGTAACTTCATTTCTTCTAAGCTAGTCAACTACTACACTCATTAATTTGTCCACGCACCCACTACACTAATTACAGCTGAAGAACATAAGTTTACAACTTTTCAGTTCTAGCTTTTGGTTAACATGGCTTCCAATATTTCTTCCAACCCCCCTAAACAAGTTAATTTGTCTGACAACCTTTCAATCTTCCTGTTGTAGCTCCAGTTGCCAGCCAAAGGCCAACCTACTATGCTGTTGCCATGGTGAAAGTGGGAGAAGATGTCAAGATGGAAGAGCTGAACAAGAAAACTGTCTGCTTTTCTGGTGAGTGGCAGCAGCTAATGTCAGATGATCTGAGACATCTGGTAGGCTAGTGGCAGCAGCTAATGTCAGCTGAGACATCTGGTAGGCTAGTGGCAGCAGCTAATGTCAGATGAGACATCTGGTAGGCTAGTGGCAGCAGCTAATGTCAGATGATCTGAGACATCTGGTAGGCTAGTGGCAGCAGCTAATGTCAGCTGAGACATCTGGTAGGCTAGTGGCAGCAGCTAATGTCAGATGAGACATCTGGTAGGCTAGTGGCAGCAGCTAATGTCAGATGATCTGAGACATCTGGTAGGCTAGTGGCAGCAGCTAATGTCAGCTGAGACATCTGGTAGGCTAGTGGCAGCAGCTAATGTCAGCTGAGACATCTGGTAGGCTAGTGGCAGCAGCTAATGTCAGATGATCTGAGACATCTGGTAGGCTAGTGGCAGCAGCTAATGTCAGCTGAGACATCTGGTAGGCTAGTGGCAGCAGCTAATGTCAGATGATCTGAGACATCTGGTAGGCTAGTGGCAGCAGCTAATGTCAGATGAGACATCTGGTAGGCTAGTGGCAGCAGCTAATGTCAGATGAGACATCTGGTAGGCTAGTGGCAGCAGCTAATGTCAGATGATCTGAGACATCTGGTAGGCTAGTGGCAGCAGCTAATGTCAGATGAGACATCTGGTAGGCTAGTGGCAGCAGCTAATGTCAGATGATCTGAGACATCTGGTAGGCTAGTGGCAGCAGCTAATGTCAGATGATCTGAGACATCTGGTAGGCTAGTGGCAGCAGCTAATGTCAGCTGAAACATCTGGTAGGCTAGTGGCAGCAGCTAATGTCAGATGAGACATCTGGTAGGCTAGTGGCAGCAGCTAATGTCAGATGATCTGAGACATCTGGTAGGCTAGTGGCAGCAGCTAATGTCAGATGATCTGAGACATCTGGTAGGCTAGTGGCAGCAGCTAATGTCAGCTGAAACATCTGGTAGGCTAGTGGCAGCAGCTAATGTCAGATGATCTGAGACATCTGGTAGGCTAGTGGCAGCAGCTAATGTCAGATGATCTGAGACATCTGGTAGGCTAGTGGCAGCAGCTAATGTCAGATGAGACATCTGGTAGGCTAGTGGCAGCAGCTAATGTCAGCTGAAACATCTGGTAGGCTAGTGGCAGCAGCTAATGTCAGATGTTCTGAGACATCTGGTAGGCTAGTGGCAGCAGCTAATGTCAGATGATCTGAAACATCTGGTAGGCTAGTGGCAGCAGCTAATGTCAGCTGAGACATCTGGTAGGCTAGTGGCAGCAGCTAATGTCAGATGAGACATCTGGTAGGCTAGTGGCAGCAGCTAATGTCAGATGAGACATCTGGTAACACTCTGTTGAACATTTCAGGCATTGGAATGGGGGCAGGCTGGGTGTACCCTGTGGGGACTTTACTGAAACAAAACTACATCAGTGTGGTCAGCTGTAACTCCATCGTCAAGGCTGTGTCCATTGCTTTTAGTGAAATGTGCCTGCCTGGCGCACTCACTTCATTTTACAATCCTTTTGGTGAGTCCAACTTTTTAGTTTAGTCAATTCCTTACCACCATCTTGGTACTTTGTCCACAGTTCAAACTGTGACCTTTCATAAAATCATTTAGTGATAAATATGGGTTGTTTAGCCGCCCATGTCCCATACATAAGTGTTGGGACGTGAGGCTGGGACTGTGCCAGACATTTGTGTCATGGTTATGGACACCACAGTCAACCTGACAGTACCATGGGAGGAAGGAAGGTCTGGTTCAAACTTTCAATCTGCCCACACATTTGAGCAGAGTACTGGACAGTAGGGTACGTGTTAACCCTGTGTTCAGTGGGGTGGGTGATAAGCCTGGTGAGAACCAGAGGATAGAAGAGACTGATACGTGGGAATCAAAGTGATATCCAAGCCAGTTAGTCAGAATTTGCTAGGTCTGCCTGGCTTATGTCAGACAATCCTCAGCAGGTGATGTCCATAAAGAAAGTGATAAAAATGTTCATTAAGATTTGATGAAGCTATGAAATTATTGTATGATATGTATACCTGAACTGATGAAGCTATGAAACTATTGTATGATATGTGTACCTGAACTGATGAAACTATTGTATGATATGTGTACCTGAACTGATGAAACTATTGTATGATATGTGTACCTGAACTGACCGTTGAGCAGGCAACAACCCCACCTCCGTGTGCAAGCTGTGTACTGGACAGAATGAGGAGTTCTGTACCACAAGTGACCGCTATGGTGGCTATGACGGTGCCTTCAAGTGTGTGGCAGATGGGAACGGCCAGATCACCTTTCTCAGGCACGACACCATTGAACTGATGACCAGTCCAGAGTACAACAACAACAAGACTGGCACGGGCTACTCAGCTGATGTAAGTACTCACCCACTGCTTCTTCTACATTCTGTTTGATGTCAACCTTCATTGGTCCTTGACTTCTACATTCTGCTCTGTTTGATGTCAACCTTCATTGGTCCTTGACTTCTACATTCTGCTCTGTTTGCTTGATGTCAACCTTCATTGGTCCTTGACTTCTACATTCTGCTCTGTTTGATGTCAACCTTCATTGGTCCTTGACTTCTACATTCTGTTCTGTTTGATGTCAACCTTCATTGGTCCTTGACTTCTACATTCTGCTCTGTTTGATGTCAACCTTCATTGGTCCTTGACTTCTACATTCTGCTCTGTTTGATGTCAACCTTCATTGGTCCTTGACTTCTACATTCTGCTCTGTTTGATGTCAACCTTCATTGGTCCTTGACAATTTCATTTTGCTTGATTTCAACTTAATCATCTGAAAAAGTTATTGTTTTTAACACCACTAATTCACCCTTATTGTGGTCAATCTTTTATCCCAAAGAAATTGAGCATAATTCAAGTTTTATTAAAAAAAAAAGAGGGTTTGTGTTTTAAATAAACCGGGAGTGATCTCCACTAAACTTTCTCGAATATTCATATATAACACTACGGGGGATGGCACCTCAGGATATAGACATGATTTTTAATCCGTTTTTAATAACTTAAACTTTTTAAATAGAATAGAATCTCGTAGAAAAAAGAATTGTGCACCAAGTGAAAGCCAAAAAATCTGTGTATAATAATGCGGAATATTATTAGCACTTTATAAATTCACATTACTTTTTATTTTAGAAATCGGAAATAACATAAATTACTACTTCCGGTCAACGGAAATTACTCAAAATTTGCCAGAAGGCAGAGAATTAGAGGTTTTACTTATTTGTGAAATTTCGTTTAACCATCTGCAATAGTAGTAAAGTTATAGGCTTTTGAAAAACCAAAAGTATAATTAGTAGTTCAAAATTGTGATTTTTGTGCACAATTACAATACTTCCTCTATACTCTGTATACGAGAAAGTAAAAAAGCTGAAGTGATCTCCTTTAAACTGAAACAGTTATCAAGTTATTGGTATTTTAGAAACCAGAAATAAAGTCTGTTTATTGAAATTTTGCCTACCTAACTGAAACATTACTCAAGTTATAGTTTTCATATGGAAATAAATACCACTCCAGGTAACCAAAAATAGTTCAAAATATGTAATACATATGTGAAATTTTGTTCACCATATTTAAACCCCTCGACCTATTGGCTTTTGAGAAACTGGAGGTAGAGTAAATACCATTTCCCATTTCCAAAAATACAGGACCACATATTTGATTTAGTGCTAATAAATGAAATTTCATCTACATAACTGAAATAGACATGCAGACAAAATTACTAAACTAGGTGTTTCCGACTCGCAGAGGTTTAAAACGCATCAAGATTTGTTACAATCTAATTTTTTGTATTTTGCACAATTACACTACTTCCTATATACTTTGTATACCAGAAAGTAAAAAATAGTTTATTTAAATATTTTTTTTAGCGCAATTTCCATACAGACAATTGCGATTATTAACTCGTCAAGGATGTGTGTCCGCAGCTTTAAGTCGTATCTCCTCCTCAACGAAGCAATATCGAGGACTAGTTCCAAAAGCAAATATGTTAAGCAAGTTCCGAGGATGATTGTGGGCCAAAAAAATTCCCGGAATTCCTTCCTGGATTTCCCGGAAAAGCCGAAAAACATTTTAAAAAAATGCAGTTTTTGGCCCATATCTCGGCAACCAGACCACTTAGCGACTTGAAACATGTACCAATCGATTCCTGCCATAATTTAGAACAATATTGCAGAAGAAAGTTTTCAAAAATATCCTTTCGTTTGGTCACAAAATTTTTTTTAAAATTACATAATCACCTACAAACTGATCGTTCTCCTAGCTTGAACGCACCCCAGCATTATTCGTCTATCTATTTTTAGATAACATAAGGAAATTGCGCTTAAATTGTCACTAGACTTTTTATTAACTTGTTTTTTAATTTTGCCTGACTAAAACTCATAAAAGGACACAATAAGTCTTTAGAATTTACATTCACAAAATAGGGAAAGAAATCCTCAGTAAACTGAAAATACTTTTTAACTTTGGATTTTATTTATTTTATCTGGAAAATTTGAAAGTGCGAGCTAAAAATATCAACAGAAGTAAAGTTGCCAACTGGGGGTTTTGATCTAGGGTAACCAGCAGTATGGTAGATTCCGGGTCAAAGGTCATGTCCATGTGTAGACTCCGGGTCAAAGGTCATGTCCATATGTAGACTCAGCAGATGCAATTTTTTTAGTTGAATTAAAATTTAGTTACAAATTACTGACCTAGTGGACCTATGGTCCTTGAGTTGTTTTACAGAAGATTTTGTTGTTTTTCAATCTAGAATTTCAGACTACTTTGCCCAGATGGCAGTCAAGTTGCAGTGACTGAATATGCTACATGCAACTTTGGCGAAGTGGCTGCCAATGTCATGATGACCTCAGCAGTCAGGGAGCAGGATGTGGTCAAAGGCTACAAAGACTTCCTGCTGACCTTACAAGAACTGTTTGGCCCAGAAGGGAGGTTGAAGAGTAACTTCCAGCTGTTCAAGTCAGAGGTCCAGTACCCCACTGACCTGTTCAGGCAAACACTGACCAGGAGGAACTTGCTCTTCTCTGACACCACCAAGAGGCTGCAGGACATGGGGCAAGAAACATACTACAGCTGGGTTGGTAAGTACAACCTTGTCTAGTTGGGTTGGTCAGTACAACCTTGTTTAATATAGTTGGGTCGGTCAGTACATCAGTTGTGGTCAGTGCATCAGTTGTGGTCAGTGCATCAGTTGTGGTCAGTACATCAGTTGTGGTCAGTACATCAGTTGTGGTCAGTACATCAGTTGTCCTATGTCTGGCTGGTCAGTACATCAGTTGTGGTAAGTACATCAGTTGTGGTCAGTACATCAGTTGTGGTCAGTACATCAGTTGTCCTATGTCTGGCTGGTCAGTACATCAGTTGTCCTATGTCTGGCTGGTCAGTACATCAGTTGTGGTCACTACATCAGTTGTGGTCAGTACATCAGTTGTCCTATGTCTGGCTGGTCAGTACATCAGTTGTGGTCAGTACATCAGTTGTGGTCAGTACATCAGTTGTCCTATGTCTGGCTGGTCAGTACATCAGTTGTGGTCAGTACATCAGTTGTGGTCAGTACATCAGTTGTGGTCCGCACATCAGTTGTCCTATGTCTGGCTGGTCAGTACATCAGTTGTCCTATGTCTGGCTGGTCATTACATCAGTTGTGGTCAGTACATCAGTTGTGGTCAGTACATCAGTTGTGGTCAGTACATCAGTTGTGGTCAGTACATCAGTTGTGGTCAGTACATCAGTTGTGGTCAGTACATCAGTTGTCCTATGTCTGGCTGGTCAGTACATCAGTTGTGGTCAGTACATCAGTTGTCCTATGTCTGGCTGGTCAGTACATCAGTTGTGGTCAGTACATCAGTTGTGGTCAGTACATCAGTTGTGGTCCGCACATCAGTTGTGGTCAGTGCATCAGTTGTGGTCAGTACATCAGTTGTGGTCAGTACATCAGTTGTGGTCAGTACATCAGTTGTGGTCAGTACATCAGTTGTCCTATGTCTGGCTGGTCAGTACATCAGTTGTGGTCAGTACATCAGTTGTGGTCAGTACATCAGTTGTGGTCAGTACATCAGTTGTGGTCAGTACATCAGTTGTGGTCAGTACATCAGTTGTCCTATGTCTGGCTGGTCAGTACATCAGTTGTGGTCAGTACATCAGTTGTGGTCAGTACATCAGTTGTCCTATGTCTGGCTGGTCAGTACATCAGTTGTCCTATGTCTGGCTGGTCAGTACAGAAGTAACTTAAGCTGACAGGTTGTATTTCCTTAACCCCACTGTGTACAGGTGAGAAGTTCAGCTCCTACCTGAATGAGATGAATCGCTGCCCCTCCGAGGTGATCCGCTGGTGTGTGGTGTCCATGGCTGAGAAGCTCAAGTGTGAGGACATGATCATGGCCTTCAAGGCCAAGGAGCTCCAGCCTGAGATGGACTGCCTGTACGGGGGCAACACCTCCAACTGTATGGAGATGATATGGCGAGGGGATGCCGACCTCATCAATTTAGATGCTGGGGACATTTACATAGCTGGTCGGTAAGTAGCTGACCCCAGTAATGGCCTGAAGACTGTATTAAAAAAGTATTTTTGTTTCTGTCAGTCGTTATGGCCTGGTACCATAAGCAGCTGAAGACTGCATTAATGTATTTTTGTTTCTGTCAGTCGTTATGGCCTGGTACCATTAGCAGCTGAAGACTGTATTAATGTATTTTTGTTTCTGTCAGTCGTTATGGCCTGGTACCATTAGCAGCTGAAGACTGTATTAATATTTTTGTTTCTGTCAGTCGTTATGGCCTGGTACCATTAGCAGCTGAAGACTGTATTAATATTTTTGTTTCTGTCAGTCGTTATGGCCTGGTACCATTAGCAGCTGAAGACTGTATTAATATTTTTGTTTCTGTCAGTCGTTATGGCCTGGTACCATTAGCAGCTGAAGACTGTATTAATATTTTTGTTTCTGTCAGTCGTTATGGCCTGGTACCATTAGCAGCTGAAGACTGTATTAATATTTTTGTTTCTGTCAGTCGTTATGGCCTGGTACCATTAGCAGCTGAAGACTGCATTAATGTATTTTTGTTTCTGTCAGTCGTTATGGCCTGGTACCATTAGCAGCTGAAGACTGCATTAATGTATTTTTGTTTCTGTCAGTCGTTATGGCCTGGTACCATTAGCAGCTGAAGACTGCATTAATGTATTTTTGTTTCTGTCAGTCGTTATGGCCTGGTACCATTAGCAGCTGAAGACTGTATTAATATTTTTGTTTCTGTCAGTCGTTATGGCCTGGTACCATTAGCAGCTGAAGACTGTATTAATATTTTTGTTTCTGTCAGTCGTTATGGCCTGGTACCATTAGCAGCTGAAGACTGTATTAATGTATTTTTGTTTCTGTCAGTCGTTATGGCCTGGTACCATTAGCAGCTGAAGACTGTATTAATGTATTTTTGTTTCTGTCAGTCGTTATGGCCTGGTACCATTAGCAGCTGAAGACTGCATTAATGTATTTTTGTTTCTGTCAGTCGTTATGGCCTGGTACCATTAGCAGCTGAAGACTGTATTAATGTATTTTTGTTTCTGTCAGTCGTTATGGCCTGGTACCATTAGCAGCTGAAGACTGCATTAATGTATTTTTGTTTCTGTCAGTCGTTATGGCCTGGTACCATTAGCAGCTGAAGACTGTATTAATATTTTTGTTTCTGTCAGTCGTTATGGCCTGGTACCATTAGCAGCTGAAGACTATGGTGACATGAAAATGAAATTTAAAGTTGTGGCCGCCGCAAGAAAGACGGACAAGTCAACAACACTCTTCAATATGAAAGGTAAAACAAAAGTTAGGGTGTGTCTGTATCTAGCAACAATCATCATTTTTTGTTGTCTTTTGTCCATTGGTTTGCTGTGTGCAATTTTGTTTTCTAGTGCTGTTTGTATCAATATATTGTACTATACATTGTATGTTTCTAAAGACTAAATTGGTCGCTAAAGATTGTGTTGCCTTTGTTCTGTGGTCTCTAAAGATTGTGTTGTCATTGTTCTGTGGTCTCTAAAGATTGTGCTGGCTTTGTTCTGTGGTCTCTAAAGATTGTGTTGCCTTTGTTCTGTGGTCTCTAAAGATTGTGTTGCCTTTGTTCTGTGGTCTCTAAAGATTGTGTTGCCTTTGTTCTGTGGTCTCTAAAGATTGTGTTGTCATTGTTCTGTGGTCTCTAAAGATTGTGCTGGCTTTGTACTGTGGTCTCTAAAGATTGTGTTGCCTTTGTTCTGTGGTCTCTAAAGATTGTGTTGCCTTTGTTCTGTGGTCTCTAAAGATTGTGTTGGCTTTGTTCTGTGGTCTCTAAAGATAGTGTTGCCTTTGTTCTGTGGTCTCTAAAGATTGTGTTGCCTTTGTTCTGTGGTCTCTAAAGATAGTGTTGCCTTTGTTCTGTGGTCTCTAAAGATTGTGTTGCCTTTGTTCTGTGGTCTCTAAAGATTGTGTTGCCTTTGTTCTGTGGTCTCTAAAGATTGTGTTGCCTTTGTTCTGTGGTCTCTAAAGATTGTGTTGTCATTGTTCTGTGGTCTCTAAAGATTGTGCTGGCTTTGTACTGTGGTCTCTAAAGATTGTGTTGCCTTTGTTCTGTGGTCTCTAAAGATTGTGTTGCCTTTGTTCTGTGGTCTCTAAAGATTGTGTTGGCTTTGTTCTGTGGTCTCTAAAGATAGTGTTGCCTTTGTTCTGTGGTCTCTAAAGATTGTGTTGCCTTTGTTCTGTAGGAAAGAGAAGTTGTCAGCCAGGGATTGGACGAGGTGATGGATGGATTATCCCCCTTAACATTTATATTGAAACAGAACAGTTTTTACCAAGTGACTGCACTATTTTTAGAAACATAGGTAAACCATAGTTAAGTTTTTTATTCAGACTTGGGTGACAGTTGCCCTGATCTTGAAGCATATAAACTGTATCAATTTTGTTTGTAGGTGAGCTGTTCTCCAGAAGTTGTATCCCCGGGGCCTTAGACCTGGAATACAACCCTAAAGGGCGCCCCATCAACCTGTGTGAGGGCTGCGCTGCTGGAGGCTACAGGAAGTGCCAGCGCAACAGTGAGGAGCAATACTATGGAGCCACAGGATCTTTTAGGTGTTTGGTGGAAAGTAAGGACAATTTTAGCAACAATCATTCACTCCTCACACACAAGTTAGCCCCTAAGTTTAGTGTGTCAATACTTAACCCTTAACAGTGCAGACAAAATACCAATTTAATTTCTGTTACTCCAGGCAATGCATTTTTCAACAACAGCACTTTTTAAAAAATAAAATTTTAAAATATACCCCCATTCTAAAAATAAAAAGCATTATACAGGAAAATTATAAAAATCTATTTATCTGTTCGGTTAGATACCTTAATATTTATCTATTATTAAAGAAAAATAGCAGATTAAGTCATTAAGCCCAGAAAGAAAAAGTGCAATTTTTAATATTTCCATTAAAAATTCATTTTAAATGCAAAGAATTTTTTTTGCCTTAGTCCATAGAGATACTTTCTTTTTTAGTGCTCCTGTATTAGTTACAATATAAATAAGCCTGAATGGACACCTAAAGTTTTTTAGTGTTCCTGTATTAGTTACAACATAAATAAGCCTGAATGGACACCTAAAGTTTTTTAGTGTAACTGTATTAGTTACAATATAAATAAGCCTGAATGAACACCTAAAGTTAAAAGTTTCCCTTTCAAACCTGAAGGTCTATGGGGCAAGTGCAGTAGAGTTCACAGCTTTTTAATTTAACTGATTATATTGCTCAAATTTATTTTTTTAAGTATTTTTAACTTAAAAAAAAATAATTAAAAGTACGGATTGTAGTAGTACAAGAAAACTACACAAGTAAAACTTATTATTTATGGATCTTACAGTAGCTTCAAAATCCCATTATCAGTAAGACGCATTACTACGCGTAAGTAAATATAAAATGTATAGTTCTGGCTATTATGGACCCATCTGACTGACCACAAAAGAAAATTCTCGGGTTATCATGGCTGCATAGGACTGTGGAGGGCTAAATAGTTTGTGCAGATTTTGTGATATTTGTGAAATAATAGCTCAATAAGTTCCATGAAATAGCCCTGGTAAATCCATATACCAGTACATCATGCTTATTTAAACTTTAGATGGTGGAGATGTAGCATTTGTCAGACATCTTACAGTCAGGGACAACACAGATGGCAGGAACCATGCCATCTGGGCCAGAAACAGGAGATCTGATGACTATGAACTGCTGTGTAAGGATGGGCGGCGTCTCAATGTTGACCGCTTCAATGAATGTCACCTAGGTGAAGTGCCATCAAATGCCATTGTCACGTCAGGTACTGTCATTCCCATATTAGATAGAATAAATAGCTTTAATGTAAATGTGGTGCCACATTTTTAGTGGGGCTAATGAAACCACTGATGTACTCATTTAGTGGGGCTAATGAAACCACTGATGCCCTCATTTAGTGGGGCTAATGAAACCACTGATGTACTCATTTGGTGGGGCTAATGGGACCACTGATGTACTCATTTAGTGGGGCTAATGGGACCACTGATGCCCTCATTTAGTGGGGCTAATGGGACCACTGATGCCCTCATTTAGTGGGGCTAATGAAACCACTGATGCCCTCATTTAGTGGGGCTAATGAGACCACACGTGCCCACATTTTATAGTGTGGCTACCTGGTGCCCACATTTTGTACCCAGGTGTAGTGACATAAGTACCCAGGTGTATTGACATAAATACCCAGGTGTATTGACATAAATACCCAGGTGTAGTGACATAAGTACCCAGGTGTAGTGACATAAGTACCCAGGTGTATTGACATAAGTACCCAGGTGTAGTGACATAAGTACCCAGGTGTAGTGACATAAGTATCCAGGTGTAGTGACATAAGTACCCAGGTGTAGTGACATAAGTACCCAGGTGTAGTGACATAAGTACCCAGGTGTATTGACTTGAACAACTTGTTCCCATCTGACAGCCAGCAAGTCTGCAGCCCAGAAGGAAATCATGTGGAATGTTCTAAATTATGGTCAACAGTTTTTCTCCTCTGATATGTAAGTAAAACATTAAGTAAAACAGTTCATTGTACTTAATTCATTTCCTGTGGCTAGTCTTGTGATTATTTCCTGTAACAAATTTTGTGGTTTCCTAGTGATGGAGATTTCCACATGTTTGACTCGGGCCTCTGGTACTCTGACCTCATCTTCAATGATGCAGCAGTCAGGCTGATGAAAATCTCAGACCACAAACAGAACTACAGAGACTGGTTGGGAGAATCTTTCATAGCCCAGATAGAAAACCTGCACCGCTACACCTGTGTCAACCCAGACAGTGCCTCGGCCCTCAGCCCCAGCCTCACCAGCCTAGCACTTGCAACTTTTGGCACTTTACTCTTGGCCTTTTTGTAACATACACATTGTTGGATTGTAAAAAATTGCTTTTTATACAACCTAAGGGGGATTCTCAGAAAAATGTGCAAACAGAAAAATAACTGCAAACAAATGATGTTAATGGAATTAAATTAATTATTAATTTTGTCAAATTTTCTTGGAGAAATGTTTTTTGCTAAAATGTACATGTGGTTATTCTTTGCTAATGTCTATAAATGCTCAATTTAAAAAAAAAATCCCTTCTGCATATTTTTCCAGTCATCCTTAATGGCCAATGGGGCTGAAAAAATAAAGTCCATGAGTTGACTTTAAAAGTTGTTTACAGTTGTTAAAAACCCTTATCTGAATTAGGTTTCATTATGGATACATTTTTTTTTCTGTGTGAATCAAGTGTGTGTGTGTGTGTGTGTGTAGGTCATAACTGGCCTGGGTGTATGAGAACAGTGGGCTGCCATCAGACAACTGACCGTCATGACTGACAGCTGACATGACAGTGGTGTCACATGTAGATATTGATCTGAATTCACTAGTACAGGAGCTCAGGGTGTGAGAATACTTTTTTAGGTGCCTTTGTAAATATGGTGGAAATTTGAGCATAATTGTCAGAGAAAAAACTGGTATGGCCATGATATTCTTAGCAATTCATTTTAATTTTCATGTAAATGACTTCCATTTTTCCTTGTATCATTTAATTATTCTTGTTTTTTAAAAGTAACATTCCTTACTAGACAATTTTTTATGAACAAGACCTGTTGTAGAGATCAATGTACATATTTTATTATAAACATTCCATTTTTAAAAACAAATAAACATTTGATTAAATTTGTAATCTGTGTCTCAAATGGAACTGTCAATTGCGTGGTTAAATGAGAATCTGGTGTTAGGCCACTCACATATGTCCTGTCTGGTGTTAGGTCACTCACATGTCCTGTCTGGTGTTAGGTCACTCACATGTCCTGTCTGGTGTTAGGCCACTCACATGTCCTGTCTGGTGTTAGGTCACTCACATGTCCTGTCTGGTGTTAGGTCACTCACATATGTCCTGTCTGGTGTTAGGTCACTCACATGTCCTGTCTGGTGTTAGGTCACTCACATGTCCTGTCTGGTGTTAGGCCACTCACATGTCCTGTCTGGTGTTAGGTCACTCACATGTCCTGTCTGGTGTTAGGTCACTCACATATGTCCTGTCTGGTGTTAGGTCACTCACATGTCCTGTCTGGTGTTAGGTCACTCACATATGTCCTGTCTGGTGTTAGGTCACTCACATATGTCCTGTCTGGTGTTAGGTCACTCACATATGTCCTGTCTGGTGTTAGGTCACTCACATGTCCTGTCTGGTGTTAGGTCACTCACATGTCCTGTCTGGTGTTAGGTCACTCACATATGTCCTGTCTGGTGTTAGGTCACTCACATGTCCTGTCTGGTGTTAGGTCACTCACATGTCCTGTCTGGTGTTAGGCCACTCACATGTCCTGTCTGGTGTTAGGTCACTCACATGTCCTGTCTGGTGTTAGGTCACTCACATATGTCCTGTCTGGTGTTAGGTCACTCACATGTCCTGTCTGGTGTTAGGTCACTCACATGTCCTGTCTGGTGTTAGGCCACTCACATGTCCTGTCTGGTGTTAGGTCACTCACATGTCCTGTCTGGTGTTAGGTCACTCACATATGTCCTGTCTGGTGTTAGGTCACTCACATGTCCTGTCTGGTGTTAGGTCACTCACATATGTCCTGTCTGGTGTTAGGTCACTCACATATGTCCTGTCTGGTGTTAGGTCACTCACATATGTCCTGTCTGGTGTTAGGTCACTCACATGTCCTGTCTGGTGTTAGGTCACTCACATGTCCTGTCTGGTGTTAGGTCACTCACATGTCCTGTCTGGGTTGTTTAGCCAGCAAAAGACCCACCACAAAAGATGCAGCAGAAATGTCTATGGGAGAGAGATTAGGCACATGACTGTTGTGTAGGCATGAAGCAGCTTTGGTGGGTGGCGCCTCTCATATTCCTGAATGTTTCTTGATGATGTGGAATAAAAGCATCCAATTTCCCCATTGCCAAAGAAACCCAGCAGGGGTGTCTGAGGGAAGTGTTTACGGAATATTCCAGACTCGACATTGTGTTTGTTGTAGACGTGGAAGCCTCGGCCCACACAGGCGTACATCAGACCAATGCTATGGTGCAGGGGAAAGTTGTGAGCTTTTAGTTTGGACACCAGTTGATCCACCTCCTCCTCTCTATCCACATCACTGCGGATGAGCACAGAGGCCACTTGCACCTGGTCCCCACAGAGAGCCAGCCCAGACACAATACAGCTGCTGTCAGAACTCTCATCAGAGCTGGAACAAATAAAGTAGAGAAACTTAAGGCCCAGACACAATACAGCTGTCAGAGCTGGAACAAATAAAGTAGAGAAACTTAAGGCCCAGACACAATACAGCTGTCAGAGCTCTCATCAGAGCTGGAACAAATAAAGTAGAGAAACTTAAGGCCCAGACACAATACAGCTGCTGTCAGAGCTCTCATCAGAGCTGGAACAAATAAAGTAGAGAAATTTATGCAACCCTTGAAGTCCTACAGAGAGAAACTTAAGCAACCCTTAAAGTCCTACAGAGAGAAACTTAAGCAACCCTTAAAGTCCTACAGAGAGAAACTTAAGCAACCCTTGAAGTCCTACAGAGAGAAACTTAAGCAACCCTTAAAGTCCTACAGAGAGAAACTTAAGCAACCCTTAAAGTCCTACAGAGAGAAACTTACTTGAAAACTTTGTGAGAGAAATCTTTGAGGACTTTCTCATTGACGTAACCTCCAGCAATGAGTGGCCAGTCAAACATGCGGTACAGGGAGTAGCTGATCTCCTGGTCAATACCACTCATGGGGCAGTACAGGTTGATCATCTGGACCTGCAATACCACAAGGTAAGGAGTAGTTAAGGAAACAATACCACAAGGTAAGGAGTAGTTAAGGAAACAATACCACAAGGTAAGGAGTAGCATAGGTAACAATACCACAATGTAAGGAGTAGCATAGGTAACAATACCACAATGTAAGGAGTAGTTAAGGAAACAATACCACAAGGTAAGGAGTAGCATAGGTAACAATACCACAATGTAAGGAGTAGCATAGGTAACAATACCACAATGTAAGGAGTAGTTAAGGAAACAATACCACAATGTAAGGAGTAGTGTAGGAAACAATACCACAAGGTAAGGAGTAGCATAGGAAACAATACCACAATGTAAGGAGTAGTGTAGGAAACAATAGCACAAGGTAAGGAGTAGTGTAGGAAACAATACCACAAGGTAAGGAGTAGCATAGGTAACAATACCACAATAAAAGGAGTAGCGTAGGCAACAATACCACAAGGTAAGGAGTAGTGTAGGAAACAATACCACAATGTAAGGAGTAGCGTAGGCAACAATAGCACAATGTAAGGAGTAGTGTAGGAAACAATCTACAATGTAAGGAGTAGTTAAGGAAACAATACCACAATGTAAGGAGTAGTTAAGGAAACAATACCACAATGTAAGGAGTAGTTAAGGAAACAATACCACAAGGTAAGGAGTAGCGTAGGCAACAATACCACAAGGTAAGGAGTAGTGTAGGAAACAATACCACAATGTAAGGAGTAGTTAAGGAAACAATACCACAATGTAAGGAGTAGTTAAGGAAACAATACCACAATGTAAGGAGTAGTTAAGGAAACAATACCACAATGTAAGGAGTAGTTAAGGAAACAATACCACAATGTAAGGAGTAGTTAAGGAAACAATACCACAATGTAAGGAGTAGCATAGGAAACAATACCACAATGTAAGGAGTAGCATAGGAAACAATACCACAATGTAAGGAGTAGCATAGGAAACAATACCACAATGTAAGGAGTAGCATAGGAAACAATACCACAATGTAAGGAGTAGCATAGGAAACAATACCACAATGTAAGGAGTAGCATAGGAAACAATACCACAATGTAAGGAGTAGCATAGGAAACAATACCACAATGTAAGGAGCTCAGGAAACAATACCACAATGTAAGTATCTTAAGAACTGACCAGCGCTTACCTTCTTTTTCTTCAATGACTGGACACATGGTGGTATCTGCTGGGATTGACCCGACCAATAGCTGGCCAGCTGCAGGCACTCAGCGTGGGAGGAGGAAAATGGAACAAACTCAGCGCCCAGTAGCTGGCCAAACATGACCAGTGACAGGGCCATTGTGTACTCCTCCAGCTCTTCTGTTTTCATGGCTTCATCTGTCCCTGGTAACACAACAGTAGGACTTATCTAGAGGACAGTCAACACAACAGTACAGCAGGACTTATCTAAAGGACAGTCAACAAAACAGTACAGCAGGACTTATCTAGAGGACAGTCAACAAAACAGTACAGCAGGACTTATCTAAAGGACAGTCAACACAACAGTACAGCAGGACTTATCTAAAGGACAGTCAACACAACAGTACAGCAGGACTTATCTAAAGGACAGTCAACACAACAGTACAGCAGGACTTATCTAAAGGACAGTCAACACAACAGTACAGCAGGACTTATCTAAAGGACAGTCAACACAACAAAACATCCCTTACCCACACAACAAAACATCCCTTACCCACACAACAAAACATCCCTTACCCACACAACAAAACATCCCTTACCCACACAACAAAACATCCCTTACCCACACACAACCTTACCCACACAACAAAACATCCCTTACCCACACAACAAAACATCCCTTACCCACACAACAAAACATCCCTTACCCACACAACAAAACATCCCCTACCCACACACAAAACATCCCCTACCCACACAACAAAACATCCCCTACCCACACAACAAAACATCCCTTACCCACACAACAAAACATCCCTTACCCACACAACAAAACATCCCTTACCCACACAACAAAACATCCCCTACCCACACACAAAACATCCCCTACCCACACAACAAAACATCCCCTACCCACACAACAAAACATCCCTTACCCACACAACAAAACATCCCTTACCCACACAACAAAACATCCCTTACCCACACAACAAAACATCCCTTACCCACACACAACCTTACCCACACAACAAAACATCCCTTACCCACACAACAAAACATCCCTTACCCACACAACAAAACATCCCTTACCCACACAACAAAACATCCCTTACCCACACAAAAAACATCCCTTACCCACAATGCCATCTGTAACAACAACATGAAAGACACAGAGAGCTGGCAGTGAAGAAGAAAGAAACTCCATCATGATGTTGGTCTGGCTGTTGTGTTCCTTAATGCTGCTCCACAGCGTGTCAGTGCAGAACATGAGCACATGTCTTGGTTCTAGTGGGCTGTCCTAGAATAGATACAACACACATATATGTGCCTTCTTCAAATGTCATCTCATGTCATTACAACACACATATATGTGCCTTCTCCAAATCTCATCTCATGTCATTAAACCACACATATATGTGCCTTCTCCAAATGTCATCTCATATCATTACCACACACATATATGTGCCTTCTCCAAATGTCATCTCATGTCATTACCACACACATATATGTGCCTTCTCCAAATGTCATCTCATATCATCTGGAAATAATATGTAAAGAAATAGCTAGCTAATCAAATCAATCTACCAAAATATAATGTTTGACCAGAGTCCACCACTGCTCATCAATGTGTCCATCCTCAATGTTCTGTGTATGCTTAAAGTAATTCCATCTCATTTTTGCACGACTAGCTTTCTCTCTGCGTGCCTGATCACACCAGGTTTTGCACACTCTGAAAGAAATTATTACATTAATAACAAAAATAATTATTAAAGATGAATTCAGCCTATCAGTCTGAGGTGATACTACCGTTTTATTTCTCTATATAATATAACTAGCTAGAAATAGATCTAGATCTATTCATATAATAAAAATATAAATTTGGTACCAATGGAATTCTTAATCATTCCTCTAACTAACTCATATGATTTTATTTAAGACTTTAAGATAAAATACTCAAAAATTCATTTTGTATGCTACAAATAATAGTACAAACAACCTAGCCTACCTAGAACATGTGTTTAGCTGTCGTGCTGATAGAAATTTAAATATCCTATCTAAAACTATTATCACGTTTGTCAGAACATTTCCTGAAATATCCATTATTTGACTAGATCTATCTTACTAGATCTAGGCCCCTAACACTGTTTTCGGTAGCAGTCTAGTTTCTAGATCTATTTTTGGGTAGAAATCTAGTGGGCCTATTTCGAATCTTTCGAAATTTTGGTTTTCCATTAGATCTAAATCTAGATCTACTAACTATTAACAAGAATCATGTTAGACTTATGTAGATCTAGACATCTAAGTCTAAAACTTTTTCTAGATCACAATACATACGTTGAAACACTTTCTGAAAATTTATTTTGATATGATATTGGGATTATGTCTATACTATATGCATGTAAGTCGATGTGCTTGTGTGTATGAGTGTGTATTTCTTTCAATCATTTTACGCGGGGGGGGGGGGGGGGGGGGGCGCACGTAAATTCCGTGTGTCTGACACTGATAAAAAAAAAAACAATTACCACATAGGCCTACGATTTTTTTTTAGTACATCAAACAGTGATTTCTAATTAGATCTATAATGTGACTTAGGGGTCATCCATAAATCACGCTTTTTGGACGATTTTTACCTACCCCCTCCACTCCGGCAAACATCGTCAAAAACAGCAAGACCCCCCCCCCCCCTAAAATGACGTCACAACTCAGCCTACAACCTGAAGCGTAGCGCCCGGGGCGAACTTTCAACCTGTCTCCCCCCCCCCCTATATATATATATATATATATATATATATATATATATATATATATATATATATATATATATATATATATATAGGGGTCATAGTGAAAAATATACTAAAATTGAAAAAAAATGAGAAAAAGCGAAAACTAGATCTAGATCTATATCAAAAAGTCATTTTTAAAACCTCCCAGTTACATAAATTGCATCTGGAGGAGCCTCTTACTCAGCAATAAGAACATCTATTTTAGTTAGTTGTTAATTTTTATGCTGCCAAATTTTGCTTAATAATGTATTAATATAGGTGAATTACGTCATTACTCTCATTAATTAAAAAATTATTAAAAATACTAGCAATACGTAATTTGGCAAAATAATTATACAAAAATGTTCAGAATTGAATGTAGTTTCAGAAACAATAGATTTTGAAAAAAAAATCAACATTTCTGACTTAAATATATGTATTGGGGGGGGGGGGGGGGGTAACCTGCCCTCAACAGGTCTTTGTGATTAATTTAAATGTTTTGCTATGTTTTTATTTTATACTTCTTACTAGCCCACCCCAACCTCCTCACGCACAATACACACTCATACACTTGTTACTCCATTCATTGTCTACAGGACTTTTAATTTAATTTAGGTCTATCCGATATTTAGATTCGGTATCTAATAGAAACTTTTAAAAAATTCCCTGGTTGTTGTTGTAGGCTATTTTTAGTTTTCATAAGTAAATAAACACGGTGTCATGTGCTTATTTAGATTTATGTAAAATGAATGCAAATGTTGACTTGTTGAATGAATGTTGAATTCAAACAAATCGTCCTTGAATAGAGCATTATTACATTATCTAATATAATAATATCTATTATTAGAATCTTGATACATTCTAGTAATAATAATAGTAATATTATTATTATTATTAGGTAATCTATCGTTTTGGGTACGTAAAATCGCCCGCGGCTATTTATGTAGGCATTTCGATGTCCGCCATTTTGTTTAATCTGGCCACATCCGAAATTTTTCAAGCCAACTTTTGTAATTTCGGCCATTTTCCATCCAAGTGCTTAGTTATCATGAGAGAATCGATAAATTAATGTATTCGATACGTCAAAGTGGGCTGTTTTTATATTCTATGTTTGTATGGAAAACTATTAGTTACATTTTAACATATCGATCCCAATTTTATCGAGGTATCTTAGCGAGCACGTCTCATTAAACGCAGTAACCGACTTCTTTCAATTAGTATTAATTTTAGCAAGAAAGTAAAGTATAATAAGCTAGACATTAGTTGTAATGAGCATCCTAACCATTCTCAAGAACAAAAATAACAGTTTCATAGAGTTCTTTTCATTGGAACATGCTTAAAAAGCATTGGTAAATCTTGGGGGGGGTCCCGCTTACACAATTTTTTAACAGGGCGATAGGGGCCGCGAGGTTACCTATTATCGATAGAACCGAATTTCGGCATTTAAAAAAGAGATAAGTTCAGGAAACTAGATCTAGTAAATAAGTAATGCCAAACTATTTTGATGGGTGGAAATGTTGGTTTTATGGGGCTTTTTAGCTCTTTATAACCAGATATTGCTTCTTGCGTGAAGTGAAGGGGATCTACGCAATTTTAATAATGACGGCCGAGTTTAAATTTTTATGACGGTCCATAGACCATATGCATGAAATATAAAAAATCGCACATTTGATATTACTGTTTAACACTATTCATTGAATTGGCAAGATTTTAGCTTATAGAATGTTTTTTATGGATTAAATAAAATTTAAAGCAATGGAATTAATAGTCCCATTCATTAATAATCTTCCATATTAGTCATTTTCAATTGGGTAATAATAATAGGCCTAATTAAAATTTTAAATAGTAATAAATAGGCCCTTATGCCTTATAAATATTAGGCCCCTATAGAATAGATTTAGATCTATGTATTTTAATGAGTAATTGCTTATAAGAATCTAATAGAACTAATATTTATTGCATCAAGCTTAAATATATAATTATGTTGTAAAATTACTTATGGATGATGTCTAAACTTTAGTTACCCCGTTTCAGGAAAAACTGATTAAGAAAATAATTACAAAGATTAAATTGGTCATTTCTCAGATTATAGTATATTATCTTTAAAATTTAATAATAGCTAAAATATACTACTAGATCTATAGAGGCATGGAAAGTAAAATAAATGAAGTCAAAGATAAAATAGAAACATTAACACTTCACTTTAATAATGTGATCTAAAGCAACAGTGATAGATACATTTTTTTAAAAGTCAAAAAGAAAACAGAAACAGTAACACTTTGAACAATGTGACTTAATTTTATAACTTAAACTAAGCAACAGTAATTTTTTTTAAACAGTAGGTTCAGATCAGCAAATAAGGCAGCTGTCTATCCTTCGGTTGCGACACATCTCATCTAGTTTCTGTAGGCTGTCTATTGATTAACCATCCTTGGCTACTTATTAAAAGTAGCCTATAACTAATGCTACTAATATTTAGATATTTCAACATAATCCTAACCATATCATATTCCAGTATGAGTATAATACACAGGTATTATTGATACAAGATTTCAGTGCCACCCCCATTAATTAGACTTTATTATATGTGATTGTCTTTTTCTCCTAGCATTTTTTTGACTTGTAAATTTCTATTCCCAACATCCTTAAGCATCTATGTGCTAAGTTTTATCTTTGTATCATCGATAGCAACATAGATATTCAGTATGAAAAGTGACTTGTGGCAATCATAGTAGAACGGCACCGCACTCCTTAATTGGGCTTTATTAAGTTAATTATTAGTTGTTTTCCTTTTAATTAAGCTGTATTTCACTTGCATATTCCTGTTGCCTGTACTCCCTAGCACCAATATGCAAAGTATTATCAATATATCTTTATTAACAACAGAGTTGTGCAGTTTGACAATAGACTAACGTTGCTCTCTATATAAAAACGCCATGACCCTTAATTAGTCTTAATTATTTTTTGTTTTCCCTTTACTGATCTTTATTTCAATTGCATATTCCTGTTGCCTGTACTCTCTAGTATCAATATGCAAAGTTTTATCATTACATGTTAAAAAATAACAACGCTATATGAACTCAAAGAAGGACACCAAGTATTTTGCAACTTTACAATAAAATATAAGCTGTTTAGCATACAACTTTAAAAATTCATAAAAAAATAACTACTGGGCCTATAGTGATAAATTTAGTGGTTTATTAAATGGCAGTTTATGGCCTTCAATATTATGTGTGTTTTATCATTCTGAGATAATTAGGCAAAATTTACCAAAATGCCTATATTTATGTACGAAAACGTTACCTCGTTGTCAAGGCTTTAATAGAAGTATATTGTCATACTTTTGTGTCAAATATTATAGATAAATGAATAATAACGATAGATTACCTATTATTAGTATTAAGTGTATTCATAATCTAGATCTAGATCGTTTTAGGTAGGCACCTAGAAACTAGAAAGTCTAGTAAAATCGCCCGCTGTTAGACTGTTACTAACTTAACTGTTACTGTTAGTAATGTACGAAAAAGTTACCTCATTGCCTCATGGTCAAGGCTTTAATAGAAGTATATTGATTTAATATTGTGATATATTTGTGTCAAATATTATAGAATATAGATAAATGAATAATATACCAAAATCAATTATTAAATATCATCGCTAGTCTTTATTTGTTACTGAAAAGTTTTATTACAGTAATTAAAAAACAAGAACATGAATGAAAGATTGAAACATTTTAGCAACTTTCAAAACATAAATCTTCCTTAAAATGTGAAATAATTACTAAAATTTAATGAGACACCTTCTTATCACATTACTAGTCTCGGACAATTTTACGTACCTAAAACGATAGATTACCGTATTTAGAAACATACATATGATTAAAAAATAAAAAATTAGGCCTAGGCCCTAATAAAAATTAATATTTAATTTAAATTATGTAATTATTTAAAAATGGCCATTCCTAGCTCCTATAGTCATCTATAATAATAGTTTCGCTGTCTGTCTATGTCTATGTATCAGACAAGAACGCTCTGTCTGACAAGAACGCTCTAGAGAAAAGACAAGGAAATTAAAAACATGCATAGTATTTCGAAAAACGAAGTATGACGTCGACACATTTAGCATGGAGTTGAAAATAATCTCAAGGCGGAAAGTGCACACAGTAATATAATGACGTCATTGATTATCGCGTAAACATTGAATAAAAAGGAAATGTTGTCTAATCTAAATGGTTTGCGTGAAGAGTTTCTTGCATACAATTCTTCGGGTAAGCAGAATACCCAGCTAATGTGACTGTTATAAGCAGAATACCTAGCTAATGTGACTGTTATAAGCAGAATACCCAGCTAATGTGACTATTATAAGCAGAATACCCAGCTAATGTGACTATTATAAGCAGAATACCCAGCTAATGAGACTATTATAAGCAGAATACCCAGCTAATGAGACTGTTATAAGCAGAATACCGAGCTAATGAGACTGTTATAAGCAGAATACCCAACTAATGAGACTGTTATAAGCAGAATACAATGTAAAAATATGCTGTACAGTTCTTGATGTAAGTTCTCTCTCTAAATAGACTGACTAAAACAGGCTCTATCCAGTAAAATAGATTGTATATACTAGAACAGGCTCTATACAGTAAAATAGACTGACTAAAACAGGCTCTATCCAGTAAAATAGATTGTATAGACTAAAACAGGCTCTATACAGTAAAATAGACTGACTAAAACAGGCTCTATCCAGTAAAATAGATTGTATAGACTAAAACAGGCTCTATACAGTAAAATAGACTGACTAAAACAGGCTCTATCCAGTAAAATAGATTGTATAGACTAAAACAGGCTCTATACAGTAAAATAGACTGACTAAAACAGGCTCTATCCAGTAAAATAGATTGTATAGACTAAAACAGGCTCTATACAGTAAAATAGACTGACTAAAACAGGCTCTATCCAGTAAAATAGATTGTATAGACTAGAACAGGCTCTATACAGTAAAATAGACTGACTAAAACAGGCTCTATCCAGTAAAATAGATTGTATAGACTAGAACAGGCTCTATACAGTAAAATAGACTGACTAAAACAGGCTCTATCCAGTAAAATAGATTGTATAGACTAGAACAGACACTATACAGTAAAATAGATTGTATAGACTAGAACAGGCACTATACAGTAAAATAGATTGTATAGACTAGAACAGGCACTATACAGTAAAATAGATTGTATAGACTAGAACAGACACTATACAGTAAAATAGATTGTATAGACTAGAACAGGCACTATACAGTAATCTAGTTTAACTGTTCAGGAGCTGGTCTAATATTTTCAGGCTGATATCTAAAACTTATCAGTGGTAATCAACTGATCCAAATATCTCTTGATAAGATCTAATCACTAGCATCTTATCCAAGATCTGATGTCATAACCTGACTGATATTGTTGAAGAGTGGCGTAGTTATGAAGTCACCCACTGCTTGAATTTTTTCTCTGGCCCATTGTTAATCTTGCTTTTGTGCACACTTTTTAGGAGGTGCTTTTGTGCCCACTTTTTAGGAGGTGCTTTTGAACCAGAGGTAAAATGTCATTGAATCTATACTTTTAAATGTATTCTATAAACATTAGAGGTATAAAAAATTGGATCTAAACTTTTTAATAGATTTTCATAGGAGGTTAAAAAAATTAGATCTAAACAAATTGTATACATTTTATAGGAGGTAAACTTTTAAATTGGAACTAAACAAATGTTACACATTTTATAGGAAGTAAACTTTTAAACTGGAGCTAAACTTTTTTTTTTAAATGAACTTTTTTTAACAAACTTTTTAATGGATTTTATAAAAAGAAACTTTTTGAATCTAAACTTTATATTTGAGGTTCAAAAATATTGTAAAACCTTTAACTAGGTTTCATCTATTTACTTACTCTAGGTACATGTTTTTAGTTTTTAATTTTATTTTTTTAGCTTGGCTTAAACTTTTTACTTACAATACTTAGATGTAGATTCTTTTGTTTGATTTTAAAAATTTAAACCAGAGCTAAGTTTTTTATTTTATTCTGAGGCAGATTTTTTGTTTGATTTTAAATTTTTACTATAGTTAAACATTTTACTGATTTACTTGAAGGCAGATTGTTTGGTTTGATTTTTAATTTAATTTTAAACTGTTCAACCTTTTCTTAAAGGTAGATCTACATGGGGGGGGGGGGGGGGGGGGGAAAGAGGAGAGGGGGGGGGGGGGGGGGTTAACTCAATCATACGAATAAATTGCCATGAATAAAACAATATTTTTTTGTGAATATTAATATGGCCTTAATGAACGTTTTTCTTCTTGCATGTGTGTTAAATATTGGCTCATGAAAATTCATGATTATACAAGCCAATAATTCCCTTTGTCTGGTCAGGGTTGTGATGGGTCAGTGAAGCGAAGACAGTTGTGTGTGATGGAGGGATCAGACACATACTCTACCTGACACTGGCAAAACTTGTGAGTGGGCCAAAAATGTTTTCAGTCCATTTTTTATTTACTATCTGCTTAATTTTAGCATCACTCACATTTTTATTCAAAAATACCTGAGAAACTGGCATAGTGCATTTTAAAGAACAACTTTTAAAATAGTTCTATCTGCTGTTGTTTGTTCTATCCTTAGAAAGAAAGTTTGCTGTTGTTTGTTCCATCCTTAGAAAGAAAGTTTTTAGATTAATCAATTGAAAGAAAGTCTGCTGTTGTTCCATCCATAGAAAGAAAGTCTGCTGTTGTTCCATCCATAGAAAGAAAGTTTGCTGTTGTTTGTTCCATCCATAGAAAGAAAGTCTGCTGTTGTTTCATCCATAGAAAGAAAGTCTGCTGTTGTTCCATCCATAGAAAGAAAGTCTGCTGTTGTTCCATCCATAGAAAGAAAGTCTGCTGTTGTTCCATCCATAGAAAGAAAGTCTGCTGTTGTTCCATCCATAGAAAGAAAGTCTGCTGTTGTTAGTTCCATAGAAAGAAAGTCTGTTGTTATTCTATTCATGGAAAGAAAGTCTGCTGTTGTTCTATCCTTAGAAAGAAAGTCTGCTGTTCTATTCATAGAAAGAAAGTCTGCTGTTGTTCTATTCATAGAAAGTAAGTCTGCTGTTCTATTCATAGAAAGAAAGTCTGCTGTTGTTCCATCCATAGAAAGAAAGTCTGTTGTAGTTCCATCCATAGAAAGAAAGTCTGCTGTTGTTCCATCCATAGAAAGAAAGTCTGTTGTAGTTCCATCCATAGAAAGAAAGTCTGCTGTTGTTCCATCCATAGAAAGAAAGTCTGCTGTTGTTCCATCCATAGAAAGAAAGTCTGCTGTTGTTCCATTCATAGAAAGAAAGTTTGCTGTTGTTCCATCCATAGAAAGAAAGTCTGTTGTAGTTCCATCCATAGAAAGAAAGTCTGTTGTAGTTCCATCCATAGAAAGAAAGTCTGCTGTTGTTCCATCCATAGAAAAAAAGTCTGCTGTTGTTCCATCCATAGAAAGAAAGTTTGCTGTTGTTTGTTCCATCCATAGAAAGAAAGTCTGCTGTTGTTCCATCCATAGAAAGAAAGTCTGCTGTTGTTCCATCCATAGAAAGAAAGTCTGCTGTTGTTCCATCCATAGAAAGAAAGTCTGCTGTTGTTCCATCCATAGAAAGGAAGTCTGCTGTTGTTACTTCCATAGAAAGAAAGTTTGTTGTTACTCTATTCATGGAAAGAAAGTCTGCTGTTGTTCTATCCATAGAAAGAAAGTCTGCTGTTGTTCCATCCATAGAAAGAAAGTCTGCTGTTGTTCCATCCATAGAAAGAAAGTCTGCTGTTGTTCCATCCATAGAAAGAAAGTCTGCTGTTGTTAGTTCCATAGAAAGAAAGTCTGTTGTTATTCTATTCATGGAAAGAAAGTCTGCTGTTGTTCTATCCTTAGAAAGAAAGTCTGTTGTTCTATTCATAGAAAGAAAGTCTGCTGTTGTTCTATTCATAGAAAGTAAGTCTGCTGTTCTATTCATAGAAAGAAAGTCTGCTGTTGTTCCATCCATAGAAAGAAAGTCTGTTGTAGTTCCATCCATAGAAAGAAAGTCTGCTGTTGTTCCATCCATAGAAAGAAAGTCTGTTGTAGTTCCATCCATAGAAAGAAAGTCTGCTGTTGTTCCATCCATAGAAAGAAAGTCTGCTGTTGTTCCATCCATAGAAAGAAAGTCTGCTGTTGTTCCATCCATAGAAAGAAAGTTTGCTGTTGTTCCATCCATAGAAAGAAAGTCTGTTGTAGTTCCATCCATAGAAAGAAAGTCTGCTGTTCTATTCATAGAAAGAAAGTCTGCTGTTGTTCCATCCATAGAAAGAAAGTCTGTTGTAGTTCCATCCAGAAAGTCTGCTGTTGTTCCATCCATAGAAAGAAAGTCTGTTGTAGTTCCATCCATAGAAAGAAAGTCTTCTGTTGTTCCATCCATAGAAAGAAAGTCTGCTGGTGTTCCATCCATAGAAAGAAAGTCTGCTGTTGTTCCATCCATAGAAAGAAAGTCTGCTGTTGTTCCATCCATAGAAAGAAAGTCTGCTGTTGTTCCATCCATAGAAAGAATGTTGTAGTTCCATCCATAGAAAGAAAGTCTGCTGTTATTCTATTCATAGAAAGAAAGTCTGCTGTTGTTCTATTCATAGAAAGAAAGTCTGCTGTTGTTCCATCCATAGAAAGAAAGTCTGTTGTTGTTCCATCCATAGAAAGAAAGTCTGTTGTTGTTCCATCCATAGAAAGAAAGTCTGCTGTTGTTCCATCCATAGAAAGAAAGTCTGCTGTTGTTGCATCCATAGAAAGAAAGTCTGCTGTTGTTGCAGGAGATGTTCACCACCCACAGTGCTGTGAGCCAGGTTAGAGCTGAGACCATAAAAAAATGTGTCCAAGAGGCGGAGGAGCTGTACTGGTCAGTGGGGGACCTGGCTGCTCAATTTTCGCATGACGGCCATCAGGAGCAGGACCTGGGATCACAGCTATTGGGGTCAGTTCTGTTTGTGGATACTGGGGTCAGTTCTGTTTGTGGCTACTGGGGTCAGTTCAGTTAGTGGCTACTGGGGTCAGTTCAGTTAGTGGCTACTGGGGTCAGTTCAGTTAGTGGCTACTGGGGTCAGTTCAGTTAGTGGCTACTGGGGTCAGTTCAGTTAGTGGCTACTGGGGTCAGTTCAGTTAGTGGCTACTGGGGTCAGTTCAGTTAGTGGCTACTGGGGTCAGTTCAGTTAGTGGCTACTGGGGTCAGTTCAGTTAGTGGCTACTGGGGTCAGTTCTGTTTGTGGCTACTGGGGTCAGTTCAGTTAGTGGCTACTGGGGTCAGTTCAGTTAGTGGCTACTGGGGTCAGTTCAGGAAAATTTATAAATATCTAGATTAATACAAATTAAACAACTGTTGATTAAGATTTAAGAATCCAATTCTTAAACTCTATGCTAGAATTAAATTCTTAAACTCAGTGCTAAAGTCATGGGACTGCAGCCCTATCTAGTAGCATGGGACAGCACCCCCCCCCCCCCCCCCCAGAGATGCCTAAAGAAACACTGAATAAAATATTCAGTGAATATAAATAAGGCTATTTTTTAAATATTTGGACCTGTAATCTGTGAATGTTTTAACCTGTAACCTGTGTATGTTTTGACCTGTAACCTGTGCATGTTTTGACCTGTAACCTGTGAATGTTTTAACCTGTAACCTGTGCATGTTTTGACCTGTAGCCTGTGAGTGTTTTGACCTGTAACCTGTGAATGTTTTGACCTGTAACCTGTGAATGTTTTTACATGTAACCTGTGCATGTTTTGACCTGTAACCTGTAAATGTTTTGACATGTAACCTGTGCATGTTTTGACCTGTAACCTGTAAATGTTTTTACCTGTAACCTGTGCATGTTTTGACCTGTAACCTGTGAATGTTTTGACCTGTAACCTGTGCATGTTTTGACCTGTAACCTGTGAATGTTTTGACCTGTAACCTGTGGATGTTTTGACCTGTGAATGTTTTGACCTGTAACCTGTGAATGTTTTAACCTGTAAACTGTTAATGTTTTGACCTGTAACCTGTGAATGTTTTGACCTGTAACCTGTGGATGTTTTGACCTGTGAATGTTTTGACCTGTAACCTGTGAATGTTTTGACCTGTAACCTGTGAATGTTTTGACCTGTAACCTGTGAATGTTTTGACCTGTAACCTGTGAATGTTTTGACCTGTAACCTGTGAATGTTTTAACCTGTGAATGTTTTGACCTGTAACCTGTGAATGTTTTGACCTGTAACCTGTGAATGTTTTGACCTGTAACCTGTGAATGTTTTGACCTGTAACCTGTGAATGTTTTAACCTGTGAATGTTTTGACCTGTAACCTGTGAATGTTTTGACCTGTGAATGTTTTGACCTGTAACCTGTGAATGTTTTGACCTGTAACCTGTGAATGTTTTAACCTGTGAATGTTTTGACCTGTAACCTGTGCATGTTTTGACCTGTAACCTGTGCATGTTTTGACCTGTAACCTGTGAATGTTTTGACCTGTAACCTGTGAATGTTTTGACCTGTAACCTGTGAATGTTTTGACCTGTAACCTGTGAATGTTTTGACTTGTAACCTGTGAATGTTTTGACCTGTAACCTGTGGATGTTTTGACCTGTAACCTGTGAATGTTTTTACCTGTAACCTGTGAATGTTTTGACCTGTAACCTGTGAATGTTTTGACCTGTAACCTGTGGATGTTTTGACCTGTAACCTGTGAATGTTTTGACCTGTAAGCTGTGAATGTTTTGACCTGTAACCTGTGAATGTTTTGACCTGTAACCTGTGGATGTTTTGACCTGTAACCTGTGAATGTTTTTACCTGTAACCTGTGAATGTTTTGACCTGTAACCTGTGAATGTTTTGACCTGTAACCTGTGGATGTTTTGACCTGTAACCTGTGAATGTTTTTACCTGTAACCTGTGAATGTTTTGACCTGTAACCTGTGGATGTTTTGACCTGTAACCTGTGAATGTTTTTACCTGTAACCTGTGAATGTTTTGACCTGTAACCTGTGAATGTTTTTACCTGTAACCTGTGAATGTTTTGACCTGTAACCTGTGAATGTTTTGACCTGTAACCTGTGGATGTTTTTATCTGTAACCTGTGAATGTTTTGACCTGTAACCTGTGCATGTTTTGACCTGTAACCTGTGAATGTTTTGACCTGTAACCTGTGAATGTTTTGACCTGTAACCTGTGAATGTTTTTACCTGTAACCTGTGAATGTTTTGACCTGTAACCTGTGAATGTTTTGACCTGTAACCTGTGGATGTTTTGACCTGTAACCTGTGAATGTTTTTACCTGTAACCTGTGAATGTTTTGACCTGTAACCTGTGAATGTTTTGACCTGTAACCTGTGGATGTTTTGACCTGTAACCTGTGAATGTTTTTACCTGTAACCTGTGGATGTTTTGACCTGTAACCTGTGCATGTTTTGACCTGTAACCTGTGAATGTTTTGACCTGTAACCTGTGAATGTTTTGACCTGTAACCTGTGAATGTTTTGACCTGTAACCTGTGAATGTTTTGACCTGTAACCTGTGAATGTTTTGACCTGTAACCTGTGGATGTTTTGACCTGTAACCTGTGAATGTTTTTACCTGTAACCTGTGAATGTTTTGACCTGTAACCTGTGGATGTTTTGACCTGTAACCTGTGAATGTTTTTACCTGTAACCTGTGAATGTTTTGACCTGTAACCTGTGAATGTTTTTACCTGTAACCTGTGAATGTTTTGACCTGTAACCTGTGAATGTTTTGACCTGTAACCTGTGAATGTTTTGACCTGTAACCTGTGAATGTTTTGACCTGTAACCTGTGAATGTTTTTACCTGTAACCTGTGAATGTTTTGACCTGTAACCTGTGAATGTTTTTACCTGTAACCTGTGAATGTTTTGACCTGTAACCTGTGAATGTTTTGACCTGTAACCTGTGAATGTTTTGACCTGTAACCTGTGAATGTTTTGACCTGTAACCTGTGAATGTTTTTACCTGTAACCTGTGAATGTTTTGACCTGTAACCTGTGGATGTTTTGACCTGTAACCTGTGAATGTTTTTACCTGTAACCTGTGAATGTTTTGACCTGTAACCTGTGAATGTTTTTACCTGTAACCTGTGAATGTTTTGACCTGTAACCTGTGGATGTTTTGACCTGTAACCTGTGAATGTTTTGACCTATAACCTGTGAATGTTTTGACCTGTAACCTGTGAATGTTTTTACCTGTAACCTGTGAATGTTTTTACCTGTAACCTGTGAATGTTTTGACCTGTAACCTGTGAATGTTTTTACCTGTAACCTGTGAATGTTTTGACCTGTAACCTGTGAATGTTTTTACCTGTAACCTGTGAATGTTTTGACCTGTAACCTGTAAATGTTTTAACCTGTAACCTGTGAATGTTTTGACCTGTAACCTGTGAATGTTTTGACCTGTAACCTGTGGATGTTTTGACCTGTAACCTGTGAATGTTTTTACCTGTAACCTGTGAATGTTTTAACCTGTAACCTGTGCATGTTTTGACCTGTAACCTGTGAATGTTTTGACCTGTAACCTGTGAATGTTTTGACCTGTAACCTGTGGATGTTTTGACCTGTAACCTGTGAATGTTTTGACCTGTAACCTGTGAATGTTTTTACCTGTAACCTGTGAATGTTTTGACCTGTAACCTGTGAATGTTTTGACCTGTAACCTGTGGATGTTTTGACCTGTAACCTGTGAATGTTTTGACCTGTAACCTGTGAATGTTTTGACCTGTAACCTGTGAATGTTTTGACCTGTAACCTGTGGATGTTTTGACCTGTAACCTGTGAATGTTTTGACCTGTAACCTGTGCATGTTTTGACCTGTAACCTGTGAATGTTTTGACCTGTAACCTGTGAATGTTTTGACCTGTAACCTGTGAATGTTTTGACCTGTAACCTGTGAATGTTTTGACCTGTAACCTGTGAATGTTTTGACCTGTAACCTGTGAATGTTTTGACCTGTAACCTGTGAATGTTTTGACCTGTAACCTGTGAATGTTTTGACCTGTAACCTGTGAATGTTTTGACCTGTAACCTGTGAATGTTTTGACCTGTAACCTGTGAATGTTTTGACCTGTAACCTGTGAATGTTTTGACCTGTAACCTGTGAATGTTTTGACCTTTAACCTGTGAATGTTTTGACCTTTAACCTGTGAATGTTTTGACCTGTAACCTGTGAATGTTTTGACCTGTAACCTGTGAATGTTTTGACCTTTAACCTGTGAATGTTTTGACCTGTAACCTGTGAATGTTTTGACCTGTAACCTGTGAATGTTTTGACCTGTAACCTGTGAATGTTTTGACCTGTAACCTGTGAATGTTTTGACCTGTAACCTGTGAATGTTTTGCAGACAGAGCACCTGCCTCAAGCAACTACACAGCTACTTCAGTCAGCTGGAGTAAGTTTTTTTTTGCTTTTTCAAACATCCTGTCACCATGGTAACACTTGATTTCAACATACACAAAACATTATTCAACCCATTGCCTCTCGTTACCATAGCAACATACACAAAGTTTTTTTTTCTCAGAGCAAGAAAGTGCTGTTTGCAGCTGGCAAGTCGTAGGTCAAAGTTCAACTCTATGAGACTTGTTCTATCTGGTGCCACACTGGATGATGGTAAGTAGGTCACATTGTTCTATCTTGTGCCACACTGGGTGATGGTAAGTAGGTCACATTGTTCTATCTGGTGCCACTCTGGGTGATGGTAAGTAGGTCACATTGTTCTATCTTGTGCCACATTGGGTGAGGTAAGTAGGTCACATTGTGCTATCTGGTGACACACTGGATGATGGTAAGTAGGTCACATTGTTCTATCTGGTGCCAAACTGGATGATTGTAAGTAGGTCACATTGTTCTATCTGGTGCCACACTGGATGATGGTAAGTAGGTCACATTGTTCTATCTGGTGCCACACTGGATGATGGTAAGTAGGTCACATTGTGCTATCTAGTGCCATAGATTTGTAAATGAAATAGGCTGTGGCTTGACCTAATTAAAATGTGGCCAGAGCCGGCGTTAGGGGGTGGCAAACGGGGCGGTCGCCCCAGGCCCCGCGCTTGAAGGGGCCCCGCGCTTCAGCAACGCCATTGTTGCCTGAATTAGTTTGTAAACTTAAATAATCTTTGCTGAATTAAATTTTAAAAAACCCCAACTAAATGGCCGAAATTGTTGGATGTTAAAACTGAGGCCACGGATGATGTTAGTGAGTTATCCTCTACATGGACTGGTACAGACCGTTATTCGATACGAAGACATTTGTGTCACGCATCGCTGACACGGTCGACTCGCAATTGTCCAGAGGTGACTGGAGATGGCGGTCGCGAATTAGCCCCCGACTGACATGGGAGGTAAAATCGGGAAAAACGTAAACAGATACCCTATTGTTTGCGGACCGTTGAAGACGTTTTTTTTTTGGTGAGCAGGCTGGGGTGCCTGTAGTAAACTGTCAGTGTCCTGATGATGGCTTGCAGAGGAGGAGGGGGGGGGAGCGGATGGGGACATGCCCCGGAAATCCAGAGTATTTATCCCTAAAATCATAATTTATACACCGTATGGGCATCTTTTGTGTAACATCTTTTATGCATATTCACCACGATACGTTTGATAGGCATCCATACAGTAATTATGTTCATATTTATTTTATATAATTGCCAGGTCATCTTTAAATACATTATACTTGTATTTATTTTTATATTTTCGAAGTGCATTTATACAGCAATTATGTCCATTTTCATTTTGGTAAACTTTAACGGTATTTGTAAAGTGATTAAGCACATGTTTATTTTAATTCATTGTAGGGACAGTGGCGTAGCGAGGTCGGGTGTCACCCGGTGCGGCACTTAATGGTGTCACCCCTCCCCCTTCCCGAGGCAAAGCGACCCCCCCCCTCCTCAAACTTTTGATTTGCACCCCCCCCCCCCCACACCTCAAACTTTCGATTTGCACCCCCCTCAAGTTTTTCTCTATATATTTTGCTATTTTTTGCCTTGGTGTCACCCCTCTAAAAGGTGTCACACGGTGCGATCCGCAACCCCCCCCCGCTACGCCTCTGTGTAGGGATATTCAGTATAATAGTTAAGGCCATAGTGATTCTTGTTTTAAAATAGTGTAGGCACACTAAACAAATTATAAAGCCTATACTGTTTGATACATCGGGCCGAGACTGTTTTATGGTAAAGTTCTCCTGATTTCTAAAACGTCTAAATTACCGGCAGTCCGAACATGCCATCGCGAAACTCATAAATAACATGAAGCTGGCTGTCACATGGTTCACTTTCTAATTATAGACACGGACCTTCTCTTGTGAGAACGCGGTCTTAACCTTTAATGTAATACGCGGACGCTCTAGAAACACGCACCTTCTCTTGAATGGCTGCGGTCAGAGATCCAGTAACGTAGTACCCGAACTGATTTTTTTTAGGGTTTGGCATCCCATAGATTTAAATGTACAGTTTTCCTTCACGGGCTTCACCTCACCCCACCAACTGTCACCCCCCCCCCCCCCCCCAGTGTTCCACCTTACTGAGCCTCCGTGATTACATTTGAGAGTCATTTCCTTTGTGTTTTTCACAATTCGAGCTTATCCCGAAATCTATCAATGTTTTGCTATTTTCCCCGGCATCCACACACTTTGAATGCCCCTGTTAACACTCGATAAATTGAGAAAATATCGATACTATCACCTGCCACTGTGGACCGATTTAACGTTGCTTCAAAGTGCCCGAAGGTATTAAGTCAGCCAAACAGTGCCAGTACATTTGGAGTATTCGGGATTCCTTTCCCAATACGGCTATCGCCTACAGAATCTTGCTAACAGTTCCAGTCACGTAAGGCAAGAAAAGTAGATCTTCGTTTGTAAACGTACTGGTAAGATTTTCATAAATAAACATTAATGTAAAAAAATCAGGTTTGAAGCTGACGTTCATCGTCTCTTTAATGCGTGCATCAAACTTATATCTGTTTTATTTTTTACTTTTCAAACAAAAAGCCTTAACAGAAACAAGCAATGTTTCAAAAGCACTTCTAAGTAAACAAATTATTTGTTAATCAGTGTCTTAATGTTAATACGACATTGATAAACAGCTTAAAAATACCATATATATCGTTATAAATATTAATTCGCGTTGAGAAGAAAAAATACGCCTCACTGTACATGTTTTAGACACCAATGAAAAAAATATAAGGCCCCGCGCGGATGGTTGGCCATAGGCCCCGCGTACCCCTAACGCCGACTCTGAATGTGGCTAATCATGTGGCTTGACCTAATTAAAATGTGGCTAATCATGTGGCTTGACCTAATAAAAATGTGGCTAATCATGTGGCTTGACCTAATTAAAATGTGGCTAATCATGTGGCTTGACCTAATTAAAATGTGACTAATCATGTGGCTTGACCTAATAAAAATGTGGCTAATCATGTGGCTTGACCTAATTAAAATGTGGCTAATCGTGTGGCTTGACCTAATTAAAATGTGGCTAATCATGTGGCTTGACCTAATTAAAATGTGGCTAATCATGTGGCTTGACCTAATAAAAATGTGGCTAATCATGTGGCTTGACCTAATTAAAATGTGGCTAATCATGTGGCTTGACCTAATAAAAATGTGGCTAATCATGTGGCTTGACCTAATTAAAATGTGGCTAATCATGTGGCTTGACCTAATTAAAATGTGGCTAATCATGTGGCTTGACCTAATAAAAATGTGGCTAATCATGTGGCTTGACCTAATTAAAATGTGGCTAATCGTGTGGCTTGACCTAATTAAAATGTGGCTAATCATGTGGCTTGACCTAATTAAAATGTGGCTAATCGTGTGGCTTGACCTAATAAAAATGTGGCTAATCATGTGGCTTGACCTAATTAAAATGTGGCTAATCGTGTGGCTTGACCTAATTAAAATGTGGCTAATCATGTGGCTTGACCTAATTAAAATGTGGCTAATCATGTGGCTTGACCTAATTAAAATGTGGCTAATCATGTTTATAATAATGTTACAGGCAGCGCTATGCAAGACAGGGCTGGGACACATATTTATTTAGACAGCAAGGTAAGACAGGTGTGTGGACAGCAAGGTAAGACAGGAGTCAGTGTGTGGACAGCAAGGTAAGACAGGTGTCAGTGTGTGTGGACAGCAAGGTAAAACAGGTGTCAGTGTGTGTGGACAGCAAGGTAAGACAGGTGTCAGTGTGTGTGGACAGCAAGGTAAGACAGGTGTCAGTGTGTGGACAGCAAGGTAAGACAGGCACCAGTGTGTGTGGACAGCAAGGTAAGACAGGTGTGTGGACAGCAAGGTAAGACAGGTGTCAGTGTGTGTGGACAGCAAGGTAAAACAGGTGTCAGTGTGTGGACAGCAAGGTAAGACAGGTGTGTGGACAGCAAGGTAAGACAGGAGTCAGTGTGTGGACAGCAAGGTAAGACAGGTGTCAGTGTGTGTGGACAGCAAGGTAAGACAGGTGTCAGTGTGTGTGGACAGCAAGGTAAGACAGGTGTTAGTGTGTGTGGACAGCAAGGTAAGACAGGTGTCAGTGTGTGTGGACAGCAAGGTAAGACAGGTGTCAGTGTGTGTGGACAGCAAGGTAAGACAGGTGTTAGTGTGTGTGGACAGCAAGGTAAGACAGGTGTCAATGTGTGTGGACAGCAAGGTAAGACAGGTGTCAGTGTGTGTGGACTGCAAGGTAAGACAGGTGTCAGTGTGTGTGGACAGCAAGGTAAGACAGCGTGTCAGTGTGTGGACAGCAAGGTAAGACAGGAGTCAGTGTGTGTGGACAGCAAGGTAAGACAGGTGTCAGTGTGTGGACAGCAAGGTAAGACAGGTGTCAGTGTGTGGACAGCAAGGTAAGACAGGTGTCAATGTGTGTGGACAGCAAGGTAAGACAGCGTGTCCGTAAATTTATGGCTGATGCTTATTTACTTTTTTCTCCCTTACTTATTCTGCTCAAATTGGACATTGACTGATACTAAAATATCTTTTGATCTTTAGAGTTTCCGGGCTTTCAAGCATGCCTATCTGTGTGCCATATACCCAGTCTTATCTGCCCCAGATCCCCCTCCCACCCCCTCCCCCAACCTGGGCAGCCCGGCTAGTCTGATGAGGCTGGGCTCCAACTCCCAGGAAGACAGTGGGGTAGAGGAATCTGACGAGGCCGGCCTGGTCCCCCTGGAGTCTCTGTGCCAACAGCTGCAGCGAGCTTTTGGCCTGAGCAAACAGGTGTTCCGCGAGTATGAGAGTCACCTGGCAAAGAGCTTTGGCAACAAGTCATCACAGCGGGTGAGTTGACAACTGATCAATGATCTGTCTGCCCAACTCTAAAGGCAACTCACCAATTGTCTGTCTGTCCAACTCACCAATTGTCTGTCTGCCCAACTCACCAATTGTCTGTCTGCCCAACTGTAAAGGCAACTGACCTATTGACTCACCAAGTCCTAGAAAAGTGCTGTACTAGACTCATTAGTATCAATCACCATTTGTTCCAAGCATCATTGGTCACCATGGCAACCATTTGTTTCCACAGCTGCTGGTAGAGGAGCTGGCTGGTCAGCTGTCCATACTGGAGTCCAACAGACACCCCTTCTACTCACCCCAGCACTTTCTGGTCAGTCTAACAGACACCCCTTCTACTCACCCCAGCACTTTCTGGTCAGTCCAACAGACACCCCTTCTACTCACCCCAGCACTCAGTCCAACAGACACCCCTTCTACTCACCCCAGCACTTTCTGGTCAGTCCAACAGACACCCCTTCTACTCACCCCAGCACTTTCTGGTCAGTCTAACAGACACCCCTTCTACTCACCCCAGCACTCAGTCCAACAGACACCCCTTCTACTCACCCCAGCACTTCTCAGTCCAACAGACACCCCTTCTACTCACCCCAGCACTCAGTCTAACAGACACCCCTTCTACTCACCCCAGCACTCAGTCCAACAGACACCCCTTCTACTCACCCCAGCACTCAGTCCAACAGACACCCCTTCTACTCACCCCAGCACTTTCTGGTCAGTCCAACAGACACCCCTTCTACTCACCCCAGCACTTTCTGGTCAGTCTAACAGACACCCCTTCTACTCACCCCAGCACGTTCTGGTCAGTCCAACAGACACCCCTTCTACTCACCCCAGCACTTTCTGGTCAGTCCAACAGACACCCCTTCTACTCACCCCAGCACTTTCTGGTCAGTCCAACAGACACCCCTTCTACTCACCCCAGCACTCAGTCCAACAGACACCCCTTCTACTCACCCCAGCACTTTCTGGTCAGTCCAACAGACACCCCTTCTACTCACCCCAGCACTTTCTGGTCAGTCCAACAGACACCCCTTCTACTCACCCCAGCACTTTCTGGTCAGTCCAACAGACACCCCTTCTACTCACCCCAGCACTCAGTCTAACAGACACCCCTTCTACTCACCCCAGCACTTTCTGGTCAGTCCAACAGACACCCCTTCTACTCACCCCAGCACTCAGTCCAACAGACACCCCTTCTACTCACCCCAGCACTTAGTCCAACAGACACCCCTTCTACTCACCCCAGCACTTTCTGGTCAGTCCAACAGACACCCCTTCTACTCACCCCAGCACTTTCTGGTCAGTCCAACAGACACCCCTTCTACTCACCCCAGCACTCAGTCCAACAGACACCCCTTCTACTCACCCCAGCACTTCTCAGTCCAACAGACACCCCTTCTACTCACCCCAGCACTTAGTCCAACAGACACCCCTTCTACTCACCCCAGCACTCAGTCCAACAGACACCCCTTCTACTCACCCCAGCACTTTCTGGTCAGTCCAACAGACACCCCTTCTACTCACCCCAGCACTTTCTGGTCAGTCCAACAGACACCCCTTCTACTCACCCCAGCACTCAGTCTAACAGACACCCCTTCTACTCACCCAGCACTTCTCAGTCCAACAGACACCCCTTCTACTCACCCCATCACTCAGTCTAACAGACACCCCTTCTACTCACCCCAGCACTCAGTCTAACAGACACCCCTTCTACTCACCCCAGCACTTCTCAGTCCAACAGACACCCCTTCTACTCACCCCAGCACTCAGTCTAACAGACACCCCTTCTACTCACCCCAGCACTCAGTCCAACAGACACCCCTTCTACTCACCCCAGCACTTCTCAGTCCAACAGACACCCCTTCTACTCACCCCAGCACTCAGTCTAACAGACACCCCTTCTACTCACCCCAGCACTCAGTCCAACAGACACCCCTTCTACTCACCCCAGCACTCAGTCCAACAGACACCCCTTCTACTCACCCAGCACTTCTCAGTCCAACAGACACCCCTTCTACTCACCCCAGTACTCAGTCCAACAGACACCCTTCTACTCACCCCAGCACTCAGTCTAACAGACACCCCTTCTACTCACCCCAGCACTCAGTCCAACAGACACCCCTTCTACTCACCCCAGCACTCAGTCCAACAGACACCCCTTCTACTCACCCAGCACTTCTCAGTCCAACAGACACCCCTTCTACTCACCCCAGTACTCAGTCCAACAGACACCCCTTCTACTCACCCCAGCACTCAGTCTAACAGACACCCCTTCTACTCACCCCAGCACTCAGTCCAACAGACACCCCTTCTACTCACCCCAGCACTCAGTCCAACAGACACCCCTTCTACTCACCCCAGCACTCAGTCCAACAGACACCCCTTCTACTCACCCCAGCACTCAGTCCAACAGACACCCCTTCTACTCACCCCAGCACTCAGTCCAACAGACACCCCTTCTACTCACCCCAGCACTCAGTCCAACAGACACCCCTTCTACTCACCCCAGCACTTTCTGGTCAGTCCAACAGACACCCCTTCTACTCACCCCAGCACTTTCTGGTCAGTCCAACAGACACCCCTTCTACTCACCCCAGCACTCAGTCCAACAGACACCCCTTCTACTCACCCCAGCACTCAGTCCAACAGACACCCCTTCTACTCACCCCAGCACTTTCTGGTCAGTCCAACAGACACCCCTTCTACTCACCCCAGCACTTTCTGGTCAGTCCAACAGACACCCCTTCTACTCACCCCAGCACTCAGTCCAACAGACACCCCTTCTACTCACCCCAGCACTTTCTGGTCAGTCTAACAGACACCCCTTCTACTCACCCCAGCACTCAGTCCAACAAACACCCCTTCTACTCACCCCAGCACTTTCTGGTCAGTCCAACAGACACCCCTTCTACTCACCCCAGCACTCAGTCCAACAGACACCCCTTCTACTCACCCCAGCACTTTCTGGTCAGTCCAACAGACACCCCTTCTACTCACCCCAGCACTCAGTCCAACAGACACCCCTTCTACTCACCCCAGCACTTAGTCCAACAGACACCCCTTCTACTCACCCCAGCACTCAGTCCAACAGACACCCCTTCTACTCACCCCAGCACTTTCTGGTCAGTCCAACAGACACCCCTTCTACTCACCCCAGCACTTTCTGGTCAGTCCAACAGACACCCCTTCTACTCACCCCAGCACTCAGTCTAACAGACACCCCTTCTACTCACCCCAGCACTCAGTCCAACAGACACCCCTTCTACTCACCCCAGCACTCAGTCCAACAGACACCCCTTCTACTCACCCCAGCACTTTCTGGTCAGTCCAACAGACACCCCTTCTACTCACCCCAGCACTTTCTGGTCAGTCTAACAGACACCCCTTCTACTCACCCCAGCACGTTCTGGTCAGTCCAACAGACACCCCTTCTACTCACCCCAGCACTTTCTGGTCAGTCCAACAGACACCCCTTCTACTCACCCCAGCACTTTCTGGTCAGTCCAACAGACACCCCTTCTACTCACCCCAGCACTTTCTGGTCAGTCCAACAGACACCCCTTCTACTCACCCCAGCACTCAGTCCAACAGACACCCCTTCTACTCACCCCAGCACTTTCTGGTCAGTCCAACAGACACCCCTTCTACTCACCCCAGCACTTTCTGGTCAGTCCAACAGACACCCCTTCTACTCACCCCAGCACTCAGTCTAACAGACACCCCTTCTACTCACCCCAGCACTTTCTGGTCAGTCCAACAGACACCCCTTCTACTCACCCCAGCACTCAGTCCAACAGACACCCCTTCTACTCACCCCAGCACTTAGTCCAACAGACACCCCTTCTACTCACCCCAGCACTTTCTGGTCAGTCCAACAGACACCCCTTCTACTCACCCCAGCACTTTCTGGTCAGTCCAACAGACACCCCTTCTACTCACCCCAGCACTCAGTCCAACAGACACCCCTTCTACTCACCCCAGCACTTCTCAGTCCAACAGACACCCCTTCTACTCACCCCAGCACTTAGTCCAACAGACACCCCTTCTACTCACCCCAGCACTCAGTCCAACAGACACCCCTTCTACTCACCCCAGCACTTTCTGGTCAGTCCAACAGACACCCCTTCTACTCACCCCAGCACTTTCTGGTCAGTCCAACAGACACCCCTTCTACCCACCCCAGCACTCAGTCTAACAGACACCCCTTCTACTCACCCAGCACTTCTCAGTCCAACAGACACCCCTTCTACTCACCCCATCACTCAGTCTAACAGACACCCCTTCTACTCACCCCAGCACTCAGTCTAACAGACACCCCTTCTACTCACCCCAGCACTTCTCAGTCCAACAGACACCCCTTCTACTCACCCCAGCACTCAGTCTAACAGACACCCCTTCTACTCACCCCAGCACTCAGTCCAACAGACACCCCTTCTACTCACCCCAGCACTTCTCAGTCCAACAGACACCCCTTCTACTCACCCCAGCACTCAGTCTAACAGACACCCCTTCTACTCACCCCAGCACTCAGTCCAACAGACACCCCTTCTACTCACCCCAGCACTCAGTCCAACAGACACCCCTTCTACTCACCCAGCACTTCTCAGTCCAACAGACACCCCTTCTACTCACCCCAGTACTCAGTCCAACAGACACCCCTTCTACTCACCCCAGCACTCAGTCTAACAGACACCCCTTCTACTCACCCCAGCACTCAGTCCAACAGACACCCCTTCTACTCACCCCAGCACTCAGTCCAACAGACACCCCTTCTACTCACCCCAGCACTCAGTCCAACAGACACCCCTTCTACTCACCCCAGCACTTTCTGGTCAGTCCAACAGACACCCCTTCTACTCACCCCAGCACTCAGTCCAACAGACACCCCTTCTACTCACCCCAGCACTTTCTGGTCAGTCCAACAGACACCCCTTCTACTCACCCCAGCACTTTCTGGTCAGTCCAACAGACACCCCTTCTACTCACCCCAGCACTTTCTGGTCAGTCCAACAGACACCCCTTCTACTCACCCCAGCACTCAGTCCAACAGACACCCCTTCTACTCACCCCAGCACTTTCTGGTCAGTCTAACAGACACCCCTTCTACTCACCCCAGCACTCAGTCCAACAGACACCCCTTCTACTCACCCCAGCACTTTCTGGTCAGTCCAACAGACACCCCTTCTACTCACCCCAGCACTCAGTCCAACAGACACCCCTTCTACTCACCCCAGCACTTTCTGGTCAGTCCAACAGACACCCCTTCTACTCACCCCAGCACTCAGTCCAACAGACACCCCTTCTACTCACCCCAGCACTTAGTCCAACAGACACCCCTTCTACTCACCCCAGCACTCAGTCCAACAGACACCCCTTCTACTCACCCCAGCACTTTCTGGTCAGTCCAACAGACACCCCTTCTACTCACCCCAGCACTTTCTGGTCAGTCCAACAGACACCCCTTCTACTCACCCCAGCACTCAGTCCAACAGACACCCCTTCTACTCACCCCAGCACTCAGTCCAACAGACACCCCTTCTACTCACCCCAGCACTTTCTGGTCAGTCCAACAGACACCCCTTCTACTCACCCCAGCACTCAGTCCAACAGACACCCCTTCTACTCACCCCAGCACTTTCTGGTCAGTCCAACAGACACCCCTTCTACTCACCCCAGCACTCAGTCCAACAGACACCCCTTCTACTCACCCCAGCACTCAGTCCAACAGACACCCCTTCTACTCACCCCAGCACTCAGTCCAACAGACACCCCTTCTACTCACCCCAGCACTTTCTGGTCAGTCCAACAGACACCCCTTCTACTCACCCCAGCACTCAGTCCAACAGACACCCCTTCTACTCACCCCAGCACTCAGTCCAACAGACACCCCTTCTACTCACCCCAGCACTTTCTGGTCAGTCCAACAGACACCCCTTCTACTCACCCCAGCACTCAGTCTAACAGACACCCCTTCTACTCACCCCAGCACTTTCTGGTCAGTCCAACAGACACCCCTTCTACTCACCCCAGCACTCAGTCCAACAGACACCCCTTCTACTCACCCCAGCACTTTCTGGTCAGTCCAACAGACACCCCTTCTACTCACCCCAGCACTTCTCAGTCCAACAGACACCCCTTCTACTCACCCCAGCACTCAGTCTAACAGACACCCCTTCTACTCACCCCAGCACTCAGTCCAACAGACACCCCTTCTACTCACCCCAGCACTCAGTCCAACAGACACCCCTTCTACTCACCCCAGCACTCAGTCTAACAGACACCCCTTCTACTCACCCCAGTACTCAGTCCAACAGACACCCCTTCTACTCACCCCAGCACTCAGTCCAACAGACACCCCTTCTACTCACCCCAGCACTCAGTCTAACAGACACCCCTTCTACTCACCCCAGCACTCAGTCCAACAGACACCCCTTCTACTCACCCCAGCACTCAGTCTAACAGACACCCCTTCTACTCACCCCAGCACTCAGTCCAACAGACACCCCTTCTACTCACCCCAGCACTCAGTCCAACAGACACCCCTTCTACTCACCCCAGCACTCAGTCCAACAGACACCCCTTCTACTCACCCCAGCACTTTCTGGTCAGTCCAACAGACACCCCTTCTACTCACCCCAGCACTCAGTCCAACAGACACCCCTTCTACTCACCCCAGCACTCAGTCCAACAGACACCCCTTCTACTCACCCCAGCACTTTCTGGTCAGTCCAACAGACACCCCTTCTACTCACCCCAGCACTTTCTGGTCAGTCCAACAGACACCCCTTCTACTCACCCCAGCACTTTCTGGTCAGTCCAACAGACACCCCTTCTACTCACCCCAGCACTTTCTGGTCAGTCACGTTGTTTAGCGCCATACTAATCAGCTGCATTGGGTTGTATTAATTGGAGCTAATGCAAATGGTGATGTGTGTGTGTGTGTGTGTGTGTGTAGATATCCAATCATTGGGTTGTATTAATTAGAGCTAATGCAAATGGTGGTGTGTGTGTGTGTAGATATCCAATCATTGGGTTGTATTAATTAGAGCTAATGCAAATGGTGGTGTGTGTGTGTAGATATCCAATCATTGGGTTGTATTAATTAGAGCTAATGCAAATGGTGATGTGTATGTAGATATCCAATCATTGGGTTGTATTAATTAGAGCTAATGAAAATGGTGGTGTGTGTGTGTAGATATCCAATCATTGGGTTGTATTAATTAGAGCTAATGCAAATGGTGGTGTGTGTGTGTAGATATCCAATCATTGGGTTGTATTAATTAGAGCTAATGCAAATGGTGGTGTGTGTGTGTGTAGATATCCAATCATTGGGGTGTATTAATTAGAGCTAATGCAAATGGTGGTGTGTGTGTGTAGATATCCAATCATTGGGTTGTATTAATTAGAGCTAATGCAAATGGTGGTGTGTGTGTGTGTAGATATCCAATCATTGGGGTGTATTAATTAGAGCTAATGCAAATGGTGGTGTGTGTGTGTAGATATCCAATCATTGGGTTGTATTAATTAGAGCTAATGCAAATGGTGGTGTGTGTGCAGACCCCCAATGGCTATGACTTGTGGCAGAAGCAAGAGAGGGCGCAGATCTCCAGTCTGCTGGGCAAGTTCTGGCAGCATTCGCTCCCCTACCCAGCTGAGCACCTGACCTCTGACCTTGCCAGTGTACATGAGGATTATCTCCTCCTGCTGACCCAGTTACTTCAGTAAGTCCAGCTAAGTCCATCTGCTTACTGGAGTTAGTCCAGTCTTAGGATGTTATTTGATTGGAGGAAAGGAACCCTAGCCCTAACCAAGCCATAAGCCCTAACCAAGCCCTAAGCCCAAACCAAGCCCTAAGCCCGAACCAAGCCCTAAGCCCTAACCAAGCCCTAAGCCTTCAAGCCCTAAGCCCTAACCAAGCCCTAACCAAGCCCTAAGCCCTAACCAAGCCCTAACCAAGCCCTAACCAAGCCCTAACCAAGCCCTAAGCCCTAACCAAGCCCTAACCAAGCCCTAAGCCCTAATCAAGCCCTAAGCCCTAACCAAGCCCTAAGCCCTAACCAAGCCCTAACCAAGCTCTAAGCCCTAACCAAGCCATAAGCCCTAACCAAGCCTTAAGCCCTAACCAAGCCCTAACCAGGCCCTAAGCCCTAATCAAGCCCTAAGCCCTAACCAAGCCCTAAGCCCTAACCAAGCCCTAACCAAGCTCTAAGCCCTAACCAAGCCCTAAGCCCTAACCAAGCCCTAAGCCCTAACCAAGCCCTAACCAAGCTCTAAGCCCTAACCAAGCCATAAACCCTAACCAAGCCCTAAGCCCTAACCAAGCTCTAACCAAGCCATAAGCCCTAACCAAGCCCTAACCAAGCCCTAAGCCCTAACCAAGCCCTAAGCCCTAACCAAGCCGTAAGCCCTAACCAAGCCGTAAGCCCTAACCAAGCCCTAAGCCCTAACCAAGCCATAAGCCTTAACCAAGCCCTAAGCCCTAACCAAGCCGTAAGCCCTAACCAAGCCCTAAGCCCTAACCAAGCCATAAGCCCTAACCAAGCCATAAGCCCTAACCAAGCCCTAACCAAGCCCTAAGCCCTAACCAAGCCATAAGCCCTAACCAAGCCCTAACCAAGCCCTAAGCCCTAACCAAGCCCTAACCAAGCCATAAGCCCTAACCAAGCCCTAAGCCCTAACCAAGCCCTAAGCCCTAACCAAGCCCTAAGCCCTAACCAAGCCAGAAGCCCTAACCAAGCCCTAAGCCCTAACCAAGCCCTAACCAAGCCATAAGCCCTAACCAAGCCCTAAGCCCTAACCAAGCCCTAAGCCCTAACCAAGCCCTAAGCCCTAACCAAGCCAGAAGCCCTAACCAAGCCCTAAGCCCTAACCAAGCCCTAAGCCCTAACCAAGCCCTAACCAAGCCCTAAGCCCTAACCAAGCCCTAAGCCCTAACCAAGCCCTAACCAAGCCATAAGCCCTAACCAAGCCAGAAGCCCTAACCAAGCCCTAAGCCCTAACCAAGCCATAAGCCCTAACCAAGCCCTAACCAAGCCCTAAGCCCTAACCAAGCCATAAGCCCTAACTAAGCCCTAACCAAGCCCTAAGCCTTTACCAAGCCCTAAGCCCTAACAAAGCCATAAGCCCTAACCAAGCCCTAACCAAGCCCTAAGCCCTAACCAAGCCCTAACCAAGCCATAAGCCCTAACCAAGCCCTTAGCCCTAACCAAGCCCTAACCAAGCCCTAACCAAGCCCTAACCAAGCCCTAAGCCCTAACCAAGCCATAAACCCTAACCAATCCACTAAGCCTAAACCAATGCCCAGACTGACAATGATGCAGTGACCGTGCATGGTTTCTATTTTTAGATATGAGAGTGAGTTCCGCCTTGATGAGGTGGTGAGGACGACCAAGTGGAGTCCTCTCTCATCTGCTGCATGTAGGCTGCTGCAGGAGTTTGCCATCAGATATGGTCTCGTAAGTCAGGGTGGGTCAGGTGGGTCAGGTGGGTCAGGGTACTCTCAGGGTGGTTCAGGGTGGATCAAGGTACTGTCAGGTGGGTCAGGGTACTGTCAGGTGGGTCAGGGTGGGTCAAGGTACTGTCAGGTGGGTCAGGGTAATGTCAGGTGGGTCAGGGTACTGCCAGGGTGGTTCAGGGTGGGTCAAGGTACTGTCAGGTGGGTCAGGGTGGGTCAAGGTACTGTCAGGTGGGTCAACGTACATTCAGGTGGGTCAAGGTACTGTCAGGTGGGTCAGGGTACTGTCGGGTGGGTCAGGGTACTGCCAGGTGGGTCAGGGTATTGTCAGGTGGGTCAACGTACTGTCAAGTGGGTCAGGGTACTGTCAGGTTACTGTCAGGTTACTGCCAGGTGGGTCAGGGTACTGTCCAGGTGGGTCAGGGTATTGTCAGGTGGGTCAACGTACTGTCAAGTGGGTCAGGGTACTGTCAGGTTACTGTCAGGTGGGTCAGGGTACTGTCGGGTGGGTCAGGGTACTGTCAGGTGGGTCAGGGTACTGTCTGGGTACTGCCAGGGTGGGTTAGGGTACTGTCCAGGTTGGTCAGGGTACTGTCGGGTGGGTCAGGCTGCTCCAGTGTCTGAGTGTGATTGACTTTGTCTACAGGGCGAGGTGTACTGTAAGGCTGCGCTGCTGCAGTGTCTGAGTGGGCAGTTCTCCCCCAGCCTGGGCTACATGAACTACCTGCACAACCTGCTGCTCCTGGTCCAGCAGATGTTGCCTGGCAACAAGGCCACCATCATAATGGTCAAACAAGAGGTCAGCACATTGGACTTTGGAATGGAATCAATTTCATTCATTTCTTTTAGAACGATATGCTTTTTTCTTTGGGCTGAAGATGGAAACAACATGGCATTGCTTGCTGTTTATTTTATAATTATAAGGTTACTATACCAGTCATCTATCTATACAGATAAAAAGCAATGTACTACACCTTCATCCAATCACCATGAAACTTTGGAAAGTTGTTTAGAATACTCCTGGGGAGCTTTCTGCATAAAAAAACATGAAACTTTGGGGAGATGATGAGAATACTACTGAGAATGTTTCTGGGGAAAAAAAAAAATCAGTTTTGCTTGGGCGGCCACCAGCCGGGTGCGATTTGGGGCCCCGGTCTTTCCCATGAGTGCTAAGGCGACTATGTTCTGACTGTTCATTTTAAACAGTGAAATAGACTATGGATAAAATGGGGTATTATAGTCATTCAATAAATTGAATCAGGTGACTCCGCCGGCGCCCCAGCAAGGTGTGATTCCGCACCCCCGGCTATCCATTGAGCACTATGCCGCTTATGTATTTTTAAGGAGCACCCAAAAATATTGACACGTTGGCACACAACATCCAATGGTCAAACTGCGCCAGGGGCCAACACGGCACCCCTGCGGTAGTGTAATCGGGGGGCTCACAAAGGCACCATCTACGTCCCTGACACGTAGGCGGTGAGTGATAGAAGGTGACATTACGGTGAGTGATTAACGTACACTCAAACTTCAAAGCTTTCATACGCTGGGCTGTAGTGTACGTAAACCTATGCCCCAATAAATATGATCAAATTGCAGGAATTGTTTACATTTAAATAACTCAATTTAGAAAACAAGGTCATGCGTCTAACAATATAGAACTAGTAACGCATTGATGAAACCCTCCTAATATATTTTGTCAGATTTTAATTGTCCTGTATGCATTGCTACACCTTTCATCTGATCGCCATGAAACTTTGGGAAGTTGTCGAGAAAAATCCTGGTAACATTTCTGCGAAAAACCCTGAGAGGGTGCAATTTGGCGCCCCGGGCTATCCAGTGAGCACTATGGCTTGTATGTTCATTTTAAAGTGTGTGATAGAATATGGATAAGAAGTAGTATTATAGTGGTTCACGAAACTGAATTAGGCGTGTCCGACCGCGCCCTGGCAGAGTACGATTCGCCCTTGAATATCCGGTGAGTGTTATGGCGCTTATGTTCGTTTCAAAAAGGGCGATAGACAATAGATAAAATATGGGGTTATTGTCGTTCATTAAATTGAATCAAGCATGTTAAGCAACCCTGGCATGGTGCCATTTGGCGCCCTATGTTATCCTGTGAGCATCATGTTGCCTAAATTAGATTTAAGGAGCCATTAAGGAGTCCCTTGCGATAGTGTAATCGGGGACTCCCGAGAGCACCCGTCTACGTGCCTGATGGTCAGTGATTTGTTTTCTACCTCACTATTACGGTGACCAGTGGCGTAGCCAGGATCGTCTCAAGGGGGGGGTTCCAATTTTTACCCGGGGACAAACTTTCGATTTGCACCCCCCCCTCAAACTTTCGATTTGCACCCCCCCCCCTCAAACTTTCGATTTGCACCCCCCTCATACTTTTTATATATACCGAGGGGTCTATGGGGGGGGGTTATGACCCCCCCTAACCCCCCCCTGCCTACGCCACTGACGGTGAGTGATCAAAGAACACTCAAAGCTTTCAAACAGCATGCCTTGGGGTGTGCTGGGCAGTAGTGTGGGTAAACCATTGCCCCAATAAATGTGATCCAAGCTAAGGAATTGTTTACATTTAAATAACTCAGTTTTAGAAAACAAGGTCACACGTCTAACAATATAGGATTGGTAAAGCATTGATGAAACCCCTCTTATATAATTCATCAGACTTTCTTCTATCCCTGCAGCAATGCGCCGGGACGGGCACGCTAGTATCTGTATAAAGTTTTGTATGCTTTCAATTATGTCATGAATTTTCTTTAATCCAACTTTGAAACTCAATTTAAACCCTGTTTGTACCAGCCAGTAAACCCTGTACCATCCACTAAACCCTGTACCAGCCGGTAAACCCTATACTGGCCACCTAAACCCTGTACCAGCAGGTAAACCCTGTACCAGCCACTAAACCCTGTACCAGCCGGTAAACCCTATACTGGCCACCTAAACCCTGTACCAGCAGGTAAACCCTGTACCAGCCACTAAACCCTGTACCAGCCGGTAAACCCTATACTGGCCACCTAAACCCTGTACCAGCAGGTAAACCCTGTACCATCCACTAAACCCTGTACCAGCCGGTAAACCCTATACTGGCCACCTAAACCCTGTACCAGCAGGTAAACCCTGTACCAGCCACTAAACCCTGTACTGACAAGTGAACCCTGTTGTCCCAGCTTCTGATGTTAGAGTCCTCCCTGAAGGTTCTCAAAGTCCAGATGTGTAAAGCCCTCCGCCAGATGAAATCTTTGTTTCCAGCCAATAAACCACAGCATGGGCTATGTAAGTAACTCTCTAAACCTCTTATCCCCCTGTCCTGACACAAGCCCATAAGATGACACAAGCCCCTGTCCTGACACAAGCCCCTTAGATGACACAAGCCCCTGTCCTGACACAAGCCCATAAGATGACACAAGCCCCTGTCCTGACACAAGCCCCTTAGATGACACAAGCCCCTGTCCTGACACAAGCCCCTTAGAAGACACAAGCCCATGTCCTGACACAAGCCCCTTAGAAGACACAAGCCCATGTCCTGACACAAGCCCCTGTCCTGACACAAGCCCCTTAGATGACACAAGCCCCTTAGAAGACACAAGCCCATGTCCTGACACAAGCCCCTGTCCTGACACAAGCCCATAAGATGACACAAGCCCATGTCCTGACACAAGCCCATGTCCTGACACAAGCCCATGACCTGACACAAGCCCATAAGATGACACAAGCCCCTGAGATGACACAAGCCCATAAGATGACACAAGCCCCTGTCCTGACACAAGCCCATAAGATGACACAAGCCCATAAGATGACACAAGCCCATAAGATGACACAAGCCCATAAGATGACACAAGCCCCTGAGATGACACAAGCCCATAAGATGACACAAGCCCCTGTCCTGACACAAGCCCATAAGATGACACAAGCCCATAAGATGACACAAGCCCATGTCCTGACACAAGCCCCTGACCTGACACAAGCCCATGTCCTGACACAAGCCCATGTCCTGACACAAGCCCATAAGATGACACAAGCCCCTTACCTGATACAAGCCCATGTCCTGACACAAGCCCATGAGATGACACAAGCCCCTGTCCTGACACAAGCCCATAAGATGACACAAGCCCCTGACCTGATACAAGCCCATGTCCTGACACAAGCCCCTTAGATGACACAAGCCCCTGTCCTGACACAAGCCCCTGACCTGACACAAGCCCCTTAGATGACACAAGCCCCTGTCCTGACACAAGCCCATGACCTGAATCAAGCCCCAGTCCTGACACAAGCCCCTGACCTGACACAAGCCCCTGTCCTGACACAAGCCCCTGTCCTGACACAAGCCCCTTAGATGACACAAGCCCCTTAGAAGACACAAGCCCCTGTCCTGACACAAGCCCCTGTCCTGACACAAGCCCCTGACCTGACACAAGCCCCTGTCCTGACACAAGCCCCTGACCTGACACAAGCCCATGTCCTGACACAAGCCCCTTAGATGACACAAGCCCCTTAGAAGACACAAGCCCCTGTCCTGACACAAGCCCCTGTCCTGACACAAGCCCATGTCCTGACACAAGCCCCTGTCCTGACACAAGCCCCTGACCTGACACAAGCCCATGTCCTGACACAAGCCCCTTAGATGACACAAGCCCCTTAGAAGACACAAGCCCATGACCTGAATCAAGCCCATGACCTGACACAAGCCCCTGTCCTGACACAAGCCCATGAGATGACACAAGCCTGACCTGACACAAGCCCATGACCTGACACAAGCCCCTGTCCTGACACAAGCCCCATACGTGTAACATTGCATGTTTCAGATTGCCTGTTGTCTCTACTGGACACTGTCCTTCAACTTCTGACCTACTTCAACCCTGAGGGCAGCTCAGTGGAGACTCTAGCCTCGTGTGTTAGATCTACAGTGCTGGTAGGTGGCCACAAGTTGTTTTTACTGGCGGCAACACGTTTTTTGTTTTACTGATGGCCACAAGTTGTTTTACTGGCGGCCACACGTTTTTTTTTACTGGCGGCCACACGTTTTTTTTTACTGGCGGCCACAAGTTTTTTGTTTTACTGATGGCCACAAGTTTTTTTTACTGATGACCACACGTTTTTTTTTTACTAGATGACCTTCCCCTCCCCCCCCCCCCCCCCCCCCCCCCACACAGCATATTTAAACCCACCTTCTTCCCCCCACTCAGAGCATATTTAAACCCACATATGAAATGCTGAAAACAGTGGCTATAGAAGAACTGAATCAGGGGAAGACCACTCAAGAAACGCTAGACCCTAGGCTTGTAAGTAGTTGTCTGTTTTACCCTAGACTTGTAAGTAGTTGTCTGTTTTACCCTAGACTTGTAAGTAGTTGTCTGTTTTACCCTAGACTTGTAAGTAGTTGTCTGTTTTACCCTAGACTTGTAAGTAGTTGTCTGTTTTACCCTAGACTTGTAAGTAGTTGTCTGTTTTACCCTAGACTTGTAAGTAGTTGTCTGTTTTACCCTAGACTTGTAAGTAGTTGTCTGTTTTACCCTAGACTTGTAAGTAGTTGTCTGTTTTACCCTAGACTTGTAAGTAGTTGTCTGTTTTACCCAAGCTTACTTTTTTGTAGTTTTGTTTAAATGTCCCATGTCATTGTGATGAATGTCCTCTGTAATTGTATTGAATGTCCCATGTAATTGTGTTGAATGTCTCATGTAATGAATGTCCTCTGTAAATGTGTTGAATGTCCTCTGTAATTGTGCTGAATGTCTCATGTAATGAATGTCCTCTGTAAATGTGTTGAATGTCCTCTGTAATTGTGTTGAATGTCCTCTGTAATTGTGTTGAATGTCCTCTGTAATTGTGTTGAATGTCTTCTGTAATGAATGTCCTCTGTAATTGTGCTGAATGTCTCATGTAATGAATGTCCTCTGTAATTGAGTTGAATGTCCTCTGTAATTGAGTTGAATGTCTCATGTAATGAATGTCCTCTGTAAATGTGTTGAATGTCCTCTGTAATTGTGTTGAATGTCCTCTGTAATTGTGTTGAATGTCCTCTGTAATTGTGTTGAATGTCCTCTGTAATTGAGTTGAATGTCCTCTGTAATTGTGTTGAATGTCCTCTGTAATTATGTTGAATGTCCTCTGTAATTGTGTTGAATGTCCTCTGTAATTATGTTGAATGTCCTCTGTAATTGTGTTGAATGTCCTCTGTAATTGTGTTGAATGACCCATGTAATTGCGTTGAATGTCCTCTTTAATTGTGTTGAATGTCCTATGTAATTGTGTTGAATGTTCTCTGTAATTGGGTTGAATGTCCTCTGTAATTGTGTTGAATGTCCCCTGTAATTGTGTTGAATGTCCTCTGTAATTGTGTTGAATGTCTTCTGTAATTGTGTTGAATGTCTTCTGTAATTGAGTAGAATGTCCTCTGTAATTGTGTTGAATGTCCTCTGTAATTGTGTTGAAAGTCTTCTGTAATTGTGTTGAGTGTCCCCTGTAGTTGTATTGAATGACCTCTGTAATTGTGTTGAATGTCCTCTGTAATTGAGTTGAATGTCCCATGTAATTGTGTTGAATGTCCTCTGTAATTGTGTTGAATGTCTCATGTAATGAATGTTTTCTGTAATTGTGTTGAATGTCTTCTGTAATTGTGTTGAATGTCCTCTGTAATCGTGTTGAATGTCTCATGTAATGAATGTCCTCTGTAATTGTGTTGAATGTTCTCTGTAATTGTGTTGAATGTCCTCTGTAATTGTGTTGAATGTCCTCTGTAATTGTGTTGAATGTCCTCTGTAATTGTGTTGAATGTCCTCTGTAATTGTGTTGAATGTCCTCTGTAATTGTGTTGAATGTCTCATGTAATGAATGTTTTCTGTAATTGTGTTGAATGTCCTCTGTAATTGTGTTGAGTGTCCTCTGTAATTATGTTGAATGTCCTCTGTAATTGTGTTGAATGTCCTCTGTAATTGAGTAGAATGTCCTCTGTAATTGTGTTGAATGTCTCATCTACTTTCAGCTCAACGCACTGATAGAAGACGTTAGAGATGAAGTGGCAGACTATGCCTGCCATTTTGAAGTTTGTTTTGACAAGTATGTCACAGTACGTTTTTTGACAAGTATATGACAGTTTGTGCAGATACAATATGTGTTTTGACAGTTATGTCACAGTATGTGTTGTGACAGTTATGTCACAGTATGTGTTGTGACGAGTATGTTGGTTTCCTGCACACCCTAAGTCTGACTTTTAACTGTGACCTCTGACCCCAATAAATGATTTTTAAAAATTTTGTTTAAACAATTTTAGGTTTTTTAGTGTCAGCCAATCAGCTGCTTCAGATTTTTACCAACTCCTCATGTCTGACGTGAAATGTTTAGCGGAAGATGGACAAAAGGTAGGCAGCATATTGGCTTGTAGACATGCCCTTGTACTGAAGAAAAACTGGATTAGCTCATTCATAAACAAACACACAACACACCAACATAAGATCATAAACAAACACACACAACACCAACATAAGATCATAAACAAACACACAACACACCAACATAAGATCATAAACAAACACACAACACACCAACATGCACTTTACACTGCAAAAGAAATTATTTCACTCTAAACTTGGTAGTTGTTTTGGTATCAAAAAATGAGTTTTAAAATTATGAATTAGTCCATCACTTTAAAAAAAAATTAACACCAACACTTAAAATAACGCAGGAGTTACTCCCCTAACTTTCTCAAATATTCTTATATAACACTACGGGGATGGCAACTCAGGATATAGACATGATTTTTAATCCATTAATCCAATACTTAAGCTTTTAAAAATAGAATAGAATCTTGTAGAAAAAGAGTTGTGCACAAAATAAACAGGTGTGTATAATAATGCAGAACATTAGTAGTTTATAAATTCATATGCGTTTTTTTGAGAAATCGAAAATAGTGTTAAGTACTACTTCCGGGTACTGGAAATTACTCAAAATTTGATAGAAAACAGAGAATTAGATCTTTTACTTATAAGTGAAATTTTATCTGTCAGAAACAGTACTCAAGTTATAAGGTTTTTGAAAAACCGAAAGTAGAATATGTTCCACTTCCGGTTACCGGAAATTGCTGAAAAGTTGATACAGAACTACAAATTTGATATAATATATATGAAATTTCATCAACCTAGCTGTAACAGTGCTCAAGCTATTGTGTTCACAGACACACATACACACAGAGACAGAATTGCAAAGTCTTAGTTTTTCCGACTCGTTTAAAAGTAAAAGCTAAAATTTAGAAAAATCTAGATTTTGTCCCATTAAAATAAGTCCACTATTCTCTATATTTGATGAAAGACTGAGGTGTAAAACGTTGAAAACTGTCAAAATTTCATTTGATTTTTGTGTACGATACTTCATCTGTATTCTGTATATGAGAAAGTAATAACACACACTGTTGAGACACACCAAAAGTTCCCCACTTTAAAGAATGAACACTAACACCATTGGTGTGGCTAGGTTGGGTGTCACCTGGTGCTGCACCTCATGGTGTCAAACACCCCCCCTCCCCTCCCCCTCACATTTAATACTGATACGATGTTTACCTATAGTCGGTTGTTATTATGTTAATGCAGCTGGGTGTAGCATTATTTTCTCTATAGTTTGCGTGTTTTCATCATGGTGTCACCCCTTAAATGGTGTTACCCAGTGTGGTCCACACCCCCTGCATTGCGGTGCCTATGACTAACACTGTTGAGACACACCAAATGTTTACTACTGAATAAAATGTTCCCTCAGTGCCAATAAATTGTATTTTTTTAGTCTCATGAAGAAATAGATTTGCGACTGCTGGGACTGGTCTACAGGTTGAACAAGCTGGATGTAGACTGGAGGAAGTACATCAGCCCACAGTAAGTAGACTTGCCTACCCCCTTTTTTTCAGTACTTTTCCTGGATCAAAGTAATGGGTTGGGCTAAAAAATATTTTCAAAAATAGGTTTGGTTTTATAAAAACTTGTGTAAAAAAAACTTCATATTATATTTTTGTTTAACTTAAACAAATGTATTTTTGATTATTAACATTTAATATAACTAAACAAAAAAACTGTAACAGTACAGTGATGAAACTTTCTGTTGTAGGGAACAGGTCTGGCGTGGCTACTTGCTGCCCATATTGTTCCAATGGGTCTCTGTGGTCAAGTCCAACATGCTCAAGTTTGTTCTACAGGCGGTCACTGGAGATTCTGTGAGTTTATTTATTATATATATATGTATATATATATATATATATATATATATTGCCTGATCTTTGTCACCCTGTGTATCATTTGTCTGACCCCTGTCCAATTATGTCATTTGTCTGACCCCTGTCCAATTATGTCATTTGTCTGACCCCTGTCCAATTATGTCATTTTTCTGACCCCTGTCCAATTATGTCATTTGTTTGACCCCTGTCCAATTATGTCATTTGTTTGACCCCTGTCCAATTATGTCATTTGTTTGACCCCTGTCCAATTATGTCATTTGTCTGACCCCTGTCCAATTATGTCATTTGTCTGACCCCTGTCCAATTATGTCATTTGTCTGACCCCTGTCCAATTATATGCCAATAGCACGACTGCCCTGTTTGTCCCCAGCAAAAAAGCCGCAAGTTTGAGAGTGCCCAGCCTGTGCTGATTTACCAAGCACTCAGCACCCCCTCTGACCCGCGGACGTTCTCAGCCATGTCCTTGTCCCCTTCAGTCAACAGCGCCTTCAGTAGCCTGGTCTCCTCCAGCAAATCTTCACCCCCTCAGGTAACATGCACCCCTCAGGTAACATGCACCCCTCAGGTAACATTCACCCCTCAGGTAACATTCACCCCTCAGGTAACATGCACCCCTCAGGTAACATGCACCCCTCAGGTAACATTCACCCCTCAGGTAACATTCACCCCTCAGGTAACATGCACCCCTCAGGTAACATGCACCCCTCAGGTAACTTGCACCCCTCAGGTAACTTGCACCCCTCAGGTAACATTCACCCCTCAGGTAACATGCACCCCTCAGGTAACATTCACCCCTCAGGTAACATGCACCCCTCAGGTAACATGCACCCCTCAGGTAACATGCACCCCACAGGTAACATTCACCCCACAGGTAACATTCACCCCACAGGTAACATGCACCCCTCAGGTAACATTCACCCCTCAGGTAACATTCACCCCTCAGGTAACATGCACCCCTCAGGTAACATGCACCCCTCAGGTAACATGCACCCCTCAGGTAACAAGCACCTCTCAGGTAACATGCACCTCTCAGGTAACTTTCACCCCTCAGGTAACTTTCACCACTCAGGTAACTTTCACCACTCAGGTAACATGCACCCCTCAGGTAACATTCACCCCCTCGGGTAACATTCACCCCTCAGGTAACATGCACCCCTCAGGTAACATGCACCACTCAGGTAACATTCACCCCTCAGGTAACATTCACCCCTCAGGTAACTTTCACCCCTCAGGTAACATGCACCCCTCAGGTCAAATTCACCCCTCAGGTAACATTCACCCCTCAGGTAAAATTCACCATTAATATCTGTACCATCTGTAGATACATCTGCATACATCATTTACAGGCATCACATCATAATGTCATAAACAAGTAACATCAAATCATGACATCCTTTACAGGCAACATCACATATAATTTACATGTTATATCAAATCATGCAACATCACATTCACTATAAACTGTAACAATAGATTTTTTATATTATATTTTAGACCCCTGGCCTAGAAATGCAGCAAGGCCCACAACTCTCATATCCTAATGACCAAGGCCCACAACTCCCATGTCCTAATGACCAAGGCCCACAACTCCTATGTCCTAATGACCAAGGCCCACAACTCCCATGTCCTAATGATCAAGGCCCACAACTCCCATGTCCTAATGACCAAGGCCCACAACTCCCATGTCCTAATGACCAAGGCCCACAACTCCCATGTCCTAATGACCAAGGCCCACAACTCCTATGTCCTAATGACCAAGGCCCACAACTCCCATGTCCTAATGACCAAGGCCCACAACTCCCATGTCCTAATGACCAAGGCCCACAACTCCCATGTCCTAATGACCAAGGCCCACAACTCCCATGTCCTAATGACCAAGGCCCACAACTCTCAAATAAAAAAAGCAGCTTCAGGCCCCCCATCCAGTCCACGTACTCCCTACCAGAGAACTTAAACTCTTCTGGTCGTCCAGCAAGTCCAGCAGCTGGAGGGTTGGACCCACCAATGTCCTTCCACTCCTGTCAGCTGGCCAGATCCAGGTCCACTGACAGCCAGGTCCCCACCTTCTATCTGGACAGCATAGAGGATGATGTCTTCCAGTTTCCTCCAGTGACCAAAGTCTCTCAGAGGTTTGGTGCTGCTACGCCAGACTTTTCCACGCCCGTCTTCTCCCAGCCACAAGGTCAAGGTCACATACAACAGCTCTCTCAGCCTCAAGGTCACAGTTTTGTGCGTGCTGCAAGTCCTCAGAGCTTGTACTCCGCCTCCAGCATGTCCACGCATGTCCTTGACATTGATAACTCTCTGGAGATGTCCAGGGAGTGGTGTGAAGGGCGGGCAGCTGTGCGGGCCATCTTGCCTGTCTCAGGCTCAGCCGTGGACCTGCTGGTCATGCTGCAGCGCCTGTGCGGGCTGGCGGCAAGTCTGACCTCAGCTGTCATGACAGATACCAGCCGGGTGCCCAGCACCCAGAGACAGAGCTCCAGCAACTCCACCCAACTCAGCTCCCTGGCCCCCACAGACCCGGTGTGTGCCACCGACCACACGTGTGGGGTAAGGAGAAAGCCCCACACCCAGAGAAGTGCATCTTACTGCGAGCTGAACCACCAGACTCTAGACCCAGGCGGCCTGTATCTGTGTGACAAACTCAACCTACATCTGATGGTCCTCAGGGTAAGCCTAGTGGTCCTCAGGGTAAGCCTAGTGGTCCTCTGGGTAAAACTAGTGGTCCTCAGGGTAAGTCTAGTTGTCCTCAGGGTAAGCCCAGTGGTCCTCAGGGTAAGCCTAGTGGTCCTCAGGGTAAGCCTAGTGGTCCTCTGGGTAAAACTAGTGGTCCTCAGGGTAAGTCTAGTTGTCCTCATGGTAAGCCCAGTGGTCCTCAGGGTAAGCCTAGTGATCCTCTGGGTAACACTAGTGGTCCTCTGGGTAAGTGGTCCTGTAGAGTGGTGAGACAAAAGCTGTAGAGTGGGTAGAGACAAAAGCTGTGGAGTGGTGAGACAAAAGCTGAAGAGTGGTGAGACAAGCCGTAGAGTGGTGAGACAAAAGCTGTAGAGTGGTGAGACAAAAGCTGTAGAGTGGTGAGACAAAAGCTGAAGAGTGGTGAGACAAGCCGTAGAGTGGTGAGACAAAAGCTGTAGAGTGGTGAGACAAAAGCTGTAGAGTGGTGAGACAAAAGCTGAAGAGTGGTGAGACAAGCCGTAGAGTGGTGAGACAAAAGTTGTAGAGTGGTGAGACAAAAGTTGTAGAGTGGTGAGACAAAAGTTGTAGAGTGGTGAGACAAAAACTGTAGAGTGGTGAGACAAAAGCTGTAGAGTGGTGAGACAAAAGTTGTAGAGTGGTGAGACAAAAGTTGTAGAGTGGTGAGACAAAAACTGTAGAGTGGTGAGACAAAAGCTGTAGAGTGGTGAGACAAAAGTTGTAGAGTGGTGAGACAAAAGTTGTAGAGTGGTGAGACAAAAGCTGTAGAGTGGTGAGACAAAAGCTGTAGAGTGGTGAGACAAAAGTTGTAGAGTGGTGAGAAAAGTTGTAGAGTGGTGAGCCAAAGTTGTAGAGTGGTGAGACAAAAGCTGAAGAGTGGTGAGACAAGCCGTAGAGTGGTGAGACAAAAGCTGTAGAGTGGTGAGACAAAAACTGTAGAGTGGTGAGACAAAAGCTGTAGAGTGGTGAGACAAAAGTTGTAGAGTGGTGAGACAAAAGCTGTAGAGTGGTGAGACAAAAGTTGTAGAGTGGTGAGACAAAAAGCCGTAGAGTGGTGAGACAACGGATTTGATGTGTTTCAGATAATGAGCAGTATGATCTCAGCCTACATCAGCAACATGCTGTGCATGGATCTTTGTGGGACACCTAGACAGCTGTCTCAAAGACTTATTGGGCAAAAGGTATGCTCATTTCATACACTTGTTGACAGTGTCAATGTGTGACCTACTGGTAGACAGTGGCTATCTGTGACCTGCTGGTAGACAGTGTCTATGTGTGACCTACTGACAGTGTCTATGTGTGACCTACTGGTAGACAGTGTCTATGTGTTACCTACTGACAGTGTCTATGTGTGACCTACTGACAGTGTCTATCTGTGACCTACTGACAGTGTCTATCTGTGACCTGCTGGTAGACAGTGTCTATGTGTGACCTACTTACAGTGTCTATGTTTGACCTACTGGTAGACAATGTCAATGTGTGACCTACTGGTATACAGTGTCTATCTGTGACCTGCTGGTAGACAGTGTCTATGTGTGACCTACTGACCGTGTCTATGTGTGACCTACTGACAGTGTCTATGTGTGTCCTGCTGGTAGACAGTGTCTATGTGTTACCTACTGATCGTGTCTATGTGTGACCTACTGACAGTGTCTATGTGTGACCTGCTGGTAGACAGTGTCTATGTGTGACCTACTTACAGTGTCTATGTTTGACCTACTGGTAGACAATGTCTATGTGTGACCTACTGGTAGACAGTGTCTATGTGTGACCTACTGACAGTGTCTATGTGTGACCTGCTGACAGACAGTGTCTATGTGTGACCTACTGACAGTGTCTACGTGTGACCTACTGGCAGTGTCTATCTGTGACCTGCTGGTAGACAGTGTCTATGTGTGACCTACTGACAGTGTCTATGTGTGACCTACTGACAGTGTCTATGTGTGACCTACTGTTCCAGCTGCTGGAGTGTACAGAAAGTCAGCGTGACCTCGTGTGGGGCTGCAGACACCAGGCAGAGGCCGACTACGACTGCCTGTACTACTACCAGCGCCGCAGTCTCCTGCTGTCTGAGCGCCACGAGCCTGTGACGCAGCACATGTGTGTGCGCATCAACAACGTCCTCCTCTGTCTCCATATGCTGGATGAGTACGAGAACAAGCTGAAGGACAACATGAACTTAGAGGAAAGTCAGCTGCCCACACAGTCTGACTCATATGGTACACTCTGTTTTTTTTTCACTGCTTCATTCAAACACACATGCACACACATGCACTGGCATCTCTGAAAAACGTATCTGTAAAGGACCATAACTTGTGTGTTCAGTAATCAGCATTTATCCGGCATTGCCCACCCTAACCACAGCCAACCAAAACACACAAAAAAAAACGCAAACATAACACAAACACAAACACAAACGAAAACACAAAAACAAATGCAAACACAAACACAAACAAAAAACCAAACAAAAACAAATCCAAACACAAACCCAACAACAAACTAAAACCCATTAGAACCTGAACTTATTCTTAGTCTTATGCGCCATATCAAACATGGGAAGGCCAGGGGCGCTAAATAGCACCTTGTCGGGGCGCCAGGTGGATGCCTGGATTTGATTCAGTTAAAGACTATAGTAACCTTTCTTATCCATAGTCTATCTCATTGTTTAAAATGAAATTATGCACCATAGCGCTCACAGGATAGCCCAAAGCGCCAAACTGAGCCCTGACTTGGCGCCGGCGCACGCACCTGTTTCAATTTAGTGAACAATTAAAATACCACAAGCTTATTCACAAACGGAAAGAAGTAAACATAGAGGACATTTAGGAGCGGCTTCTTAACTGTTATTGATTTTAAAAAATAATTAGTAAACTGTACGTTCAGTGTATAAAATAAAGAAAAGGCAGTGTTTAAATACCTAAAACATTGCACGTGATCAATCCCTGTTAATTATATAATTATTTTTTCCCAACACCAATACAAAGTAATAAAAAGTAAAATTTTCCCAAAAATGTAATGTTTTTTTTAAACTGAAGGAATTGTGTTTTCCTAATTTATCAAGGTAAGTAATAAGTGCTAAAGGACTAAATGTAAATAATTTTCAGACACAATTAGAATTTTTGTAAAGAATAATACATTTTCTTTAAGTTTGTTTGACAGACATGCCCACAATTATTATTGTAAGTTTGAAAATGAAAATTATTTTACAACACTATGCCGATAATAATTAAATAAATTCTTATATTTCTTTGTAATCCTTGCTTAGCTATTTTTTTAAACAAAAATACAGATTTGAACTTTATATATTAGATATATATATCTGTATGTATATATTAGATATATATATATGTATATATATGTATATATATAAATATGTATATATATATAAATATTTATATATGTATATATATATATATATATACACTGGGCCTACACCACCACCCTACACCTACACTGGGCCCACATCTTTGCCCTACACCTCCACCCCACACCTCCGCCACCATTTTCAGTAAGCTCAAGTCACATAATTTCAAAAAATATTTTAGATAAACCTTTTATTTTATTTTTAGACATCAGTTGGGGCTGGAAAATCCTAATAGCATTTCATACAATGTCAATCAAGATATATGCTGGATATTATATATATATATATATATATATATATATATATATATATATATATATATATATATATAAAATTATTAATTAATTAATTAATTTATTTATTTATTTATTTATATTTATTTATATTTAATATTTATATTTATTGTATCCAGCAGAAGAAAGCTGTGAATCTTGTGTGACTGAGGTGACGCCCTCTAGTTGGTATCTGGAGACCAAACAAATCCTTCAAACAAACCACCAGCATGTCATGTCAGTTCTCACTGGCATGTGTCGTCTCATGGCATACAAGGTGGGGCCCTCATATTTGATCAGGACAATTATGGGGGAAAATGTTCATCAAATCCATCACATTCAATGAAAAATGTTGGAATCCACTAAAATCTTCCCCAGTACTACGCATATTTGCCCTGTTATACTTTGAGATATTTTGTCTGAGATCATTTGACATGGAGCCTGTTTATAAAAGACTTTACTTTTGTTTCTAACTAAACCTGTTTATAAAAGACTTTACTTTTGTTTCTAGCTAAACCTGTTTATAAAAGACTTTACTTTTGTTTCTAGCTAAACCTGTTTATAAAAGACTTTACTTTTGTTTCTAGCTAAACCTGTTTATAAAAGGCTTTACTTTTGTTTCTAGCTAAACCTGTTTATAAAAGACTTTACTTTTGTTTCTAGCTAAACCTGTTTATAAAAACTTTACTTTTGTTTCTAGCTAAACCTGTTTATAAAAGACTTTACTTTTGTTTCTAGCTAAACCTGTTTATAAAAGACTTTACTTTTGTTTCTAGCTAAACCTGTTTATAAAAGACTTTACTTTTGTTTCTAGCTAAACCTGTTTATAAAAACTTTACTTTTGTTTCTAGCTAAACCTGTTTATAAAAGACTTTACTTTTGTTTCTAGCTAAACCTGTTTATAAAAGACTTTACTTTTGTTTCTAGCTAAACCTGTTTATAAAAGACTACCTTCCTCTGTTGCTTGAGTCTAAAGAAGAGCAAAGTCCCATAGCAACCTGTCTGTTGCCATTGGCAACCATGTTACAGAAACACCTCGATGCCTTGAGCACCTGGCTGTATCAGGAGAGTTTCAGACGAGTTCTAGAAAACCTTTGGAAGTTCATTGTTGAGGTCAGACTTTTGCAGCTCACAGTACATGAAACAGCTCACAGACAGTTTATATTACAGGACATGAAACAGCTCACAGACAGTTTATATTACAGGACATGAAACAGCTCACAGACAGTTTATATTACAGGACATGAAACAGCTCACTGACAGCTTATATTACAGGACATGAAACAGCTCACTGACAGCTTATATTACAGGACATGAAACAGCTCACAGACAGCTTATATTACAGGACATGAAACAGCTCACAGACAGCTTATATTACAGGACATGAAACAGCTCTCTGACAGCTTATATTACAGGACATGAAACAGCTCACTGACAGCTTATATTACAGGACATGAAACAGCTCACAGACAGCTTATATTACAGGACATGAAACAGCTGACAGACAGCTTATATTACAGGACATGAAACAGCTGACAGACAGCTTATATTATAGGACATGAAACAGCTCACAGACAGCTTATATTACAGGACATGAAACAGCTGACAGACAGCTTATATTACAGGACATGAAACAGCTCACAGACAGCTTATATTACAGGACATGAAACAGCTCACTGACAGCTTATATTACAGGACATGAAACAGCTCACAGACAGCTTATATTACAGGACATGAAACAGCTGACAGACAGCTTATATTACAGGACATGAAACAGCTGACAGACAGCTTATATTACAGGACATGAAACAGCTGACAGACAGCTTATATTACAGGACATGAAACAGCTCACAGACAGCTTATATTACAGGACATGAAACAGCTCACAAACAGCTTATATTACAGGACATGAAACAGCTTACAGACAGCTTATATTACAGGACATGAAACAGCTTACAGACAGCTTATATTACAGGACATGAAACAGCTGACAGACAGCTTATATTACAGGACATGAAACAGCTTACAGACAGCTTATATTACAGGACATGAAACAGCTTACAGACAGCTTATATTACAGGACATGAAACAGCTCACTGACAGCTTATATTACAGGACATGAAACAGCTCACAGACAGCTTATATTACAGGACATGAAACAGCTTACAGACAGCTTATATTACAGGACATGAAACAGCTCACAGACAGCTTATATTACAGGACATGAAACAGCTGACAGACAGCTTATATTACAGGACATGAAACAGGTTACAGACAGCTTATATTACAGGACATGAAACAGCTTACAGACAGCTTATATTACAGGACATGAAACAGCTCACTGACAGCTTATATTACAGGACATGAAACAGCTCACAGACAGCTTATATTACAGGACATGAAACAGCTCACTGACAGCTTATATTACAGGACATGAAACAGCTCACAGACAGCTTATATTACAGGACATGAAACAGCTGACAGACAGCTTATATTACAGGACATGAAACAGCTCACTGACAGCTTATATTACAGGACATGAAACAGCTCACAGACAGCTTATATTACAGGACATGAAACAGCTCACTGACAGCTTATATTACAGGACATGAAACAGCTGACAGACAACTTATATTACAGGACATGAAACAGCTTACAGACAGCTTATATTACAGGACATGAAACAGCTTACAGACAGCTTATATTACAGGACATGAAACAGCTTACAGACAGCTTATATTACAGGACATGAAACAGCTTACAGACAGCTTATATTACAGGACATGAAACAGCTTACAGACAGCTTATATTACAGGACATGAAACAGCTTACAGACAGCCTCTGGAGATATGGTACAAGCTCGCCCTTACATGCACAGAACTTGATGCTTGCTCTCAGCGTAAGTCAGCACCATGCTTAAGTTGACTGAAGTCATATTCCTTAAGTTGACTTAAGTCACCTCCCTTAAGTGACATATGACATGCCCTGCTGCAGTAGACTGAAGTCACCTCTGTAGAGTTGACTGAAATCATCTGACTGTAGTTGACTGATGACTGAACTGATCTTGTATTTGTACAGCACCTGATGAGGTTCATGAACAACAATGGAAAGGGAATTAAAAAAGACTTGCTGCAAAATGAAGCTGTAAGTTGGTGGCAGTGATGTTGGCATGGCAGTGATCTTGGCATGGCAGTGATGTTGGCATGGCAGTGATCTTGGCATGGCAGTGATCTTGGCATGGCAGTGATGTTGGCATGGCAGTGATGTTGGCATGGCAGTGATCTTGGCATGGCAGTGATCTTGGCATGGCAGTGATGTTGGCATGGCAGTGATCTTGGCATGGCAGTGATGTTGGCATGGCAGTGATCTTGGCATGGCAGTGATGTTGGCATGGCAGTGATCTTGGCATGGCAGTGATCTTGGCATGACAGATGGCAGTGATCTTGGCATGTCAGATGGCAGTGATGTTGGCATGTCAGATGGCAGTGATGTTGGCATGTCAGATGTCAGATGTCAGTGATGTTGGCATGTCAGATGTCAGTGATGTTGGCATGTCAGATGGCAGTGATGTTGGCATGTCAGATCTTAATGTGATGTTGGCATGGCAGTGATGTTGGCATGGCAGTGATGTTGGCATGGCAGTGATGTTGGCATGTCAGATGGCAGTGATGTTGGCATGTCAGATGTGAGTGATGTTGGCATGTCAGATGTGAGTGATGTTGGCATGTCAGATGGCAGTGATGTTGGCATGTCAGATGGCAGTGATGTTGGCATGTCAGATGGCAGTGATGTTGGCATGTCAGATGGCAGTGATGTTGGCATGTCAGATGTGAGTGATGTTGGCATGTCAGATGTGAGTGATGTTGGCATGTCAGATGTCAGTGATGTTGGCATGTCAGATGGCAGTGACGTTGGCATGTCAGATGTCAGTGATGTTGGCATGTCAGATGTCAGTGATGTTGGCATGTCAGATGTCAGTGATGTTGGCATGTCAGATGGCAGTGATGTTGGCATGTCAGATGGCAGTGATGTTGGCATGTCAGATGGCAGTGATGTTGGCATGTCAGATGGCAGTGATGTTGGCATGTCAGATGTCAGTGATGTTGGCATGTCAGATGTAAGTGATGTTGGCATGTCAGATGACAGTGATGTTGGCATGTCAGATGTCAGTGATGTTGGCATGTCAGATGGCAGTGACGTTGGCATGTCAGATGTCAGTGATCTTGGCATGTCAGATGGCAGTGATGTTGGCATGTCAGATGACAGTGATGTTGGCATGTCAGATGGCAGTGATCTTGGCATGTCAGATGGCAGTGATCTTGGCATGTCAGATGGCAGTGATGTTGGCATGTCAGATGGCAGTGATGTTGGCATGGCAGTGATGTTGGCATGTCAGATGGCAGTGATGTTGGCATGTCAGATGTCAGTGATGTTGGCATGTCAGATGGCAGTGATGTTGGCATGTCAGATTGAGTGATGTTGGCATGTCAGATGTCAGTGATGTTGGCATGTCATATGACAGTGATGTTGGTATCCCACAGAGTGAGGTGATGATCAGGCTGCAACTCTACACTCTCTCAACTGTGCACCTTGTGGCCCTGTACAGCAAGCTGAAGGAACTGGTAAGTGATGGCCAGTTGCTGAAGGAACTGGTAAGTGATGGCCAACTGTTGAAGGAACTGGTAAGTGATGGCCAACTGTTGAAGGAACTGGTAAGTGATGGCCAACTGTTGAAGGAACTGGTAAGTGATGGCCAACTGTTGAAGGAACTGGTAAGTGATGGCCAGTTGCTGAAGGAACTGGTAAGTGATGGCCAACTGTTGAAGGAACTGGTAAGTGATGGCCAGTTGCTGAAGGAACTGGTAAGTGATGGCCAACTGTTGAAGGAACTGGTAAGTGATGGCCAACTGTTGAAGGAACTGGTAAGTGATGGCCAACTGTTGAAGGAACTGGTAAGTGATGGCCAGTTGCTGAAGGAACTGGTAAGTGATGGCCAACTGTTGAAGGAACTGGTAAGTGATGGCCAGTTGCTGAAGGAACTGGTAAGTAATGGCCAACTGTTGAAGGAACTGGTAAGTGATGGCCAACTGTTGAAGGAACTGGTAAGTGATGGCCAACTGTTGAAGGAACTGGTAAGTAATGGCCAACTGTTGAAGGAACTGGTAAGTGATGGCCAACTGTTGAAGGAACTGGTAAGTGATGGCCAACTGTTGAAGGAACTGGTAAGTGATGGCCAACTGTTGAAGGAACTGGTAAGTGATGACTGAAAAAAATTTTTAGTCTTCAGACACTGGAGAGGAAAGCAGGAACCCACCAGCCATCATCCACCGAATTTTCAAGGAGCTTCAGTCACTGCGCAAATGTTTTAGTGGGGCTGAGTTGGTTCGCTGGATCCTCAAACACAAGGACAACCTGCCCGCAGGTTAGCACAGCTATACACACCTGTGTCAACACACCTGTCTCTCTGTGTCAACACACCTGTCTCACTGTGTCAACGCACCTGTCTCACTGTGTCAACACACCTGTCTCTCTGTGTCAACACACCTGTCTCACTGTGTCAACACACCTGTCTCACTGTGTCAACACACCTGTCTCTCTGTGTCAACACACCTGTCTCACTGTGTCAACACACCTGTCTCACTGTGTCAACACACCTGTCTCATTGTGTCAACACACCAGTCTCGCTGTGTTGACTCACCTGTCTCACTGTGTCAACGCACCTGTCTTGCTGTGTCAACACACCTGTCTTGCTGTGTCAACACACCTGTCTCATTGTGTCAACACACCTGTCTCATTGTGTCAACACACCTGTCTTGCTGTGTCAACACACCTGTCTCACTGTGTTGACTCACCTGTCAGTGTCAACACACCTGTCTCACTGTGTCAACACACCTGTCTGACTGTGTCAACACACCTGTCTGACTGTGTCAACACACCTGTCTCACTGTGTCAACACACCTGTCTCATTGTGTCAACACACCTGTCTGACTGTGTCAACACACCTGTCTCACTGTGTCAACACACCTGTCTCATTGTGTCAACACACCTGTCTCACTGTGTCAACACACCTGTCTCACTGTGTCAACACACCTGTCTGACTGTGTCAACACACCTGTCTCACTGTCTCAACACACCTGTCTCACTGTGTCAACACACCTGTCTCACTATGTTGACACACCTGTCTGACTGTGTCAACACACCTGTCTCACTGTGTTGACTCACCTGTCTGTGTCAACACACCTGTCTGACTGTGTCAACAGATGTCAGCCTGCCACCCGGGCCAGTCACCAGAGAAAGTGCTGTGAGCTTGGCCCAAACTTTGCTGGAGCAGCACTACATCACTGAGCTCTCTACACAATCTCCTTGTGAGTTGACACCTGTCTTACCTGTAGTTTTAACATGTTGACCCGTGTTACCTATAATTTTAACATGTTGACCCCTGTCTTACCTGTAGTTTTAACATGTTGACCCCTGTCTTACCTGTTAACACACTCCAGCGACCAGCACGTCCCCCATCTCCTTCTCCCTGCCTGACGTGGTGTACCCTCAGCTGAGCGTGGACAGCTCGGCACCCTCAGGTCACACAAGCATGTGGTGCCATTACAGCAGCTCCAGTACTGCCAGTAACAGCCAAACTTCTGCTACACCAACACCATCGCTGGCGGAGACTCCCACTTGTGGTCAGTAAACACAACACCATCACTTGTGGTCAGTTAACACGACACCATCACTTGTGGTCAGTAAACACAACACCATCACTTGTGGTCAGTAAACACAACACCATCACTTGTGGTCAGTAAACACAACACCATCACTTGTGGTCAGTAAACACAACACCATCACTTGCGGAGACTCCCACTTGTGGTCAGTAAACACAACACCATCACTTGTGGTCAGTAAACACAACACCATCACTTGTGGTCAGTAAACACAACACCATCACTTGTGGTCAGTTAACACAACACCATCACTTGTGGTCAGTAAACACGACACCATCACTTGTGGTCAGTAAACACAACACCATCACTTGTGGTCAGTAAACACAACACCATCACTTGTGGTCAGTAAACACAACACCATCACTTGTGGTCAGTTAACACAACACCATCACTTGTGGTCAGTAAACACGACACCATCACTTGTGGTCAGTAAACACAACACCATCACTTGTGGTCAGTAAACACAACACCATCACTTGTGGTCAGTTAACACAACACCATCACTTGTGGTCAGTTAACACAACACCATCACTTGTGGTCAGTAAACACAACACAATCACTTGTGGTCAGTAAACACTACACCAGTAAACACTATATTTGATTTTAATGACTTGTATGTTTATTTGATTCTAATGACTTATGTATATTTCATTTTAATGGCTTATGTATATTTGATTTTAATGGCTTATGTATATTTGATTTTAATGGCTTGTATGTATATTTGATTTTAATTACTTGTATGTATATTTGATTCTAATGACTTATGTATATTTGATTTTAATGGCTTGTATGTATATTTGATTTTAATGGCTTGTATGTATATTTGATTTTAATGGCTTATGTATATTTGATTTTAATGGCTTATGTATATTTGATTTTAATGGCTTGTATGTATATTTGATTTTAATGGCTTGTATGTATATTTGATTTTAATGGCTTGTATGTATATTTGATCTTAATGGCTTGTATGTATATTTGATTCTAATGGCTTGTATGTATATTTGATTTTAATGGCTTATGTATATTTGATTTTAATGGCTTGTGTGTATATTTGATTTTAATGGCTTGTATGTATATTTGATTTTAATGGCTTGTGTGTATATTTGATTTTAATGGCTTGTATGTATATTTGATTCTAATGACTTATGTATATTTGACAGAAGCTGAGCAGGGGACAGAAGCTGAGCAGGGGACAGAAGCTGAGCAGGGGACAGAAGCTGAGCAGGGGACAGAAGCTGAGCAGGGGACAGAACCAGCAGCCACTGGGCTGGAGTACCTGATGGACTATGAGCAGGTTCTCAAACCGTTTGGGTCACTGAGTGAGTTGGGGAGCACAAAGTTCCAGGCCAGCTGCAGGAGCCTGTACCTGATACGTCCCAGCGTCTTCCTCCCCAGCCCCTCGCACCTGGCAGCCCCAACACTAGACAGGAAAATCTGGAAGCTGAAAGAATCCTCCGAGACCTTGGCACTAGCTGAACATTGCTTCAGCCAGAAGGTCTCCCTCATGACCATCCTAGCTGTTGTAGCTGCCCGCAGGAAGGTCGACCCGCTGGCTCGCACTTTTCTCAGACAGCTGCCAGCTTACATGCAAGACCCAACATTGGCTTGATGTAACAAGACTTGATTACACATTGGCTTGATGTAACAAGACTTGATTACACATTGGCTTGATGTAACAAGACTTGATTACACATTGGGTTAATGTAACAAGACTTGATTACACATTGGCTTGATGTAACAAGACTTGATTACACATGGGGTTGGTGTAACAAGACTTGATGTAGGTTTGTTGAATTGTTTAGTTATTGAAACAAAGCTTGTTGTAATGTAGGTTTGTTGAATTGTTTAGTTATTGAAACAAAGTTTGTTGTAATGTAGGTTTGTTGAATTGTTTAGTTATTGAAACAAACTTTGTTGTAATGTAGGTTTGTTGAATTGTTTAATTATTGAAACAAAGCTTGTTGTGATGTAGGTTTGTTGAATTGTTTAGTTATTGAAACAAAGTTTGTTGTAATGTAGGTTTGTTGAATTGTTTAGTTATTGAAACAAACTTTGTTGAATTGTTTAGTTATTGAAATATAGTTTGTTGATGTAGATTTGTTGAATATGTAATGTATCAATCATCAATTGCAATCTCTCAGAACAAATCTATACCTTCAACTTTTGACAAGTTTGCTAGCTTTTGACATTTTGACAAGTTTGCAAACTTTTGACATTTTGACAAGTATGCTAACTTTTGACATTTTAAGAAGTTTGCTTACTTTTGACATTTTGACCAACTATAAGTCTTTCAGTCTGCTGTAGAAATTGGTCACATTATTGTTTATTCTAATGTTCATTTGATTCTTTATAAATATGCTACATGATCAGATAACTATTTACAATTGCTGTTAATTTGCAGTGATACATTGAGGAGCAGTGAGTTCCTAAATTAAACATTTTTACTCTACACTACATAGCAGGAGTCATTAATTATTGAAACACTATTCTAGTTTCTAGAAACTCCCAACATCTTGTCAAACTGTATTAGGTGTCCCAATCAACTGTAGAAAAGTGAATGCATTAGGTGTGCTCAAGAGCAAACTAAAAGAACAGTGGCGAGAGTCGGAAATCAATATAAAACTTTTATAAATCCCACCAAAGTGGTTGTAAAATATACTTCTTTTTACAAGCTATTATTTAGTTTGCAAATGTCCGTTTGTTTGTAGCAAATCTTGTAGCTCAATTTTGACGCACTTCTAATGCAGCGATTTCATTCAAACTTTCCAGCTACGTTCCACTTTGATGACAACAAAAGTATCTATTTTTAATTTAATTAGATGTTGAATTATTCATTAAAAATTAAACACTTTTGAGCCTAAGGGGAAATAAAATTAAATCACTGGATAGATTAATATATTTAATAACAGAAGAGGCGATAACTTATATAAACTAGCTAGACACGATCACCCTAACAGTCTGGTGAGCTGTGGTTCACGAGAATGTTTACAATGGTAGAGCTGGTTGATCTGGTGAAGGCTATTAGGGGCAGATTATAACTTTCTTAAATAATTTGAGACTAAAGGCAAGTAAAAAAAAATTAAGAACTTCCTGTCTGTAAAATATGGTCACAGACAGCTGCTTTTCAAAAAGCAGACAATAGTCTTTCAAATATTGCGAGCTGCTGATGGTGTTTTAATATTTAAAGTTAATATTTTTTGTTGTGTCGATGTAAAGAAAAAATAGAAAATAAAACAAGTATAAAAGACCTTTATTGCAACAAGCTTTTAAATGCACTGAAAATAAAACTAATCTACTTTCTTTCATAAAAGCTTGTCGCTAAAATATGTAAAAGATCTCATGAGCAACCAAAGCTTTTCTGAAAGAAAGCAGGTTAGTTTTATTTTCAGCGCATTTAAAAGCGCATTTCTATTGTATGAAGGTTTTTTTAATACTTGTTTTATTCAAATGTTATCATTTGTATGTCAGGAAGAAAAGTTGTGGAATCTAATTCTTGATGTCATCTAGACCGTGGGTCCTTGTATATAACTCACCCACACTGACAAACCAATTTTGTCAGCTTCACACTAAACTTGTCAACTACACATTAATCTTGTAAACTACATAGGTTGTCACACACTAATCTTGTCAACTACACACATGCAAGAGGGTGTCTGTAAAGTAAAACTGTGGTTTTTAATTGGGTGCAGGTTACAACTGTCGAGTGCCGTTACATGCCTAGTGGTCTATAGGGCAGATCAAATGGAGTCCACTTGTTTCTGCCACCTTTGAAGGGATAGTGTGGTCAGCACAATGCCCAGCCACCTGGTAGAGCTACTGTTGTATGGTTGTGCTACATGTCACAATACCTTTTGGCCAAATGTTTTTGTAGCTGTCATCAAGATGTCACTATATCTGTTGAAGGTCTGACTGGATTGTTTGCCAGTGGTGTAAATGTGTCAAGGGATGATTTGAACCGTGAGTGAACCAGTTTTAATTTGTTTGGTTCTAGTTCTGTTTAAATGTGAATGAGTGTGCCCAGCTTTAGAAAACCTCCTTGTCCCAACAATGTGCTGCGAATGGACAACAATATTAACCCCTCGGTTACATACATTTTTGTGATTTACATTTTTCAAATATAAAAATGTGAAAAGTGTGAGTAGGTCATAGGCATCTCTATCCCTCCAACATAGTAGATAATGACGATAAATTTATGTATAACTATTTAATGTTATTTATATCACTATAATGCTTATTATGATTTAACTCTACAAGTACAACTAGTTCCAGAGGAACAAGAATGAATCAGGCTGCCAAAGGCTCTTGGAACTGAAATACTGCTTTTTTAACATGCACCTGCATGTGACGTTTTAATTTGGCTTTTTCTGCAGTAGCATAGTCACAGAGCACACAGTGTAAGGACTTGATGAGAACGCCGTGGTTGGCCATGTGTTTCTTCAGGTTCTCTGCAGACTTGCCAGTGTAGGAGCAGATTTTGCAGAAGAAAGGTTTGACATCACTGTGCACATACGAGATGTGGTTATTGAGGCGTGGCTGGAATTTGCAGCGGTAAGCACAATAAGGGCAGGCCAGGGGTTTCTCTTCTGAATGACGATGTACATAATGTTTCTGCAAGTCATACTTCTCCACACTGGCGTACGCACATAGAGTGCATGAAAACCTTTTGACCTTCTTGTGTCTCTCCATATGTCGCTGGTAGGAGGCTTTCAGTCTGCACATGTACCCACACACATCACAGGAGAAGCTAAATTTACCAAAGTGGCTCTGCATGTGTGTGCGCAACTCAGTCAGGGTCTGACCAACAAAGTCACAGTAGGAACAAAAGTGGGTCCATTCACTCTTGTGCTCAGCCAAGGCATGTTTCTTCAGCTCCACCACCCGCCCAAACTCCAGCAGGCACTCACGGCACTTGTAAGAAGCTTTCAGGACATGTTCCTGGGATTTGTGCTGTCGTAGAATCAGCTTGTCGTGGGTGCTGAACTGGCAGATGTAGCAAACATACTTGTTGGGAGCTTCATGGATTTGCATGTGTCTCTTTAAACTCATTTTAGTTTTGCAGGCAAATTGACACAAAGCACACTTGAAATCTTTTTGACTGGAATGTTTGACCAGATGTTTCTTGAGCTGATCTTTTGTGTGACACCTGTACTGGCACAGCTCACAGATTACTCGCTTCACTGGCTCGTGGATGACCATGTGAGTATTCAAATGGGTCCAGGTCTTGGCCTTAAAGCCACACTGTGTACACAAATATGGACGATTTTCATTGTGCGTGCGTCTGATATGTTGGCGTATATCTTTAGTGGATGTGCCACACAGTGGACACAATGTACGTCCCTCGTGGGCAGCTGAAGCCATGTGGGCGCTCAGCTGCGCCTGGTTCAGGCAAGCGTAGCTGCACCTGGAGCAGAGCACAAAGTTTTTACTGCTGTGGGCTGTCCTCATGTGGGCTGTGACCTGACCTTTCTTTTGGTACTCAAACTGACAGAGTGGACAAGAAAAAGTTTGGCTGACCTTTGTCAGCAGGCTTGTCATCTTGGTCTTGTGGCCTAGTTTGTGAACAACAAGGCTGAGCTCATGCTGAAAACTTTTCCCACAGTGCCTGCACACAAAAGGATCCTTGACTCTATGCTCTCTTTTCTTGTGCCTCTGTAGCTCTATTTCCCCCTGGCACACAAAGGCACAGCTATCACAACAATGCTCCTGTTTGTCCTCATCCTCTTCTGAGTCTGCTGGCTCACATTTGGCCTCTAGTTTGAGAACCTTCTCTCTGTTTGAACAAGGTAGATCCTTAGCTTGCCATCTGTCGGGCTCATCAAGCCATGCAGCTCCATCTTTGCTGCCACTGGTCAAGTCAACATTACTTTGATGGAACACAACAGACTCAGCAGCTCCATCTTTGCTGCCACTGGTCAAGTCAACATTACTTTGATGGAACACAACAGACTCAGCAGCTTCATGCCTTAGGTCTTCAGCTTTGAGCAGGGTGAGTTGAGGCATTTCCCCGGCACTACTGTTAGTCCTGGCAGTGTCTGGTGCAGCAGTCACATGACTGGGCTCAACACTCTCCTCTACCTTGATCACTGGACTGGTCAGCATGACTGGATCAAGCTGGATCTCATCTAGACTGGGAACAGTTGCCTCTGTCAAATCACCAGTCCTCTGTAGACTTGCCTGGGCTGAAAGCTCTGTCATAGCACCAGTCCTCTGTAGACTTGTTTGAGTTGAAAGCTCCTCTAAAGTTTTAGCCAGAAGTTCTGGGGTAAGGTCAACTCCATCATAGTTGTAAATGATAATAACTTTACCATCATCACTCTCCAGGCCCTCTTGTACCTCTATGCAATACTGGAAGCTTTCATTCAGGTTTTCCATCCTGTGAAGAGGCTCTACACTTCAGCAGTCCAGTCTGCAAGGAAATTTTTTATTTACAACATAATTCACACAAAAATGTGTCTTGAATACAATATAGGTATATATTATAAATAAATAAATATTTTTTACTATTTTTACCCTGGCACCTCTTTACCACAATTTAAGCCCTTTTAATTTTTTTATTGCTTTACATTTTCAACATGTAGGGGCCTATATATATATATATATATATATATATATATATATATATATATATATATATATATATATATATATATATATATATATATATATATATATATATATATATGAGTTGACCCATGATGTAGTATACGCAGCCATCTGGTTGTTTTATTTTCTGCTGATCAGCAATTCATAATTTGTGAATTTTCATCATCCTAATTTTAATGAAGCTAGTTAATTTTTGTTAAGACACAACACTTGTGAGGTGGTATGTACTAATTAATAATTATGTACGTAGATGTTACCTGGCCTATTTTAAAAGTGATAATTTTTAAAAACCAAAGCAATATGTGTTATGATTGGTAAATTAAAATTAGGCCTAATAAATAAATATTATGGTTGGTAGGACCAAGGTTTGGGTTAGCATTGACATTATTAGCAAGTTATGTGTGTATTTAGTATTTTAGTTAACTACCAGTAACCTAACACCTCCTTTTAAACTTTTTAAAAGAAGATTCTAAAGTTTAATGATTAATCAGACACTTATTAATACTTATTATACTTATTAGGGGCCTAACACTCATTATTTTTTTTTACTTAGGGCCTAATAAAAAAATAATAGTAATAGGCCCCTACTTAATAATAATAAATTTAATAGAAGGACTATCCTGCCTATGGTCCTATAGTATAGTTTAGAAGTTTAGATAGAATTAGCCAGGCACACATAGCTAGATTTTTAGATAGTACTAGACTACCCGTCATCCGTTGGATAACTGTGGGTTTCGGGGGTCATCCATCAAAAAACATCACGTCTGTCACTCAGAGGCATAGCGACCCTTACCGGCGCCCGGGGACAAACTTTTCGATTTGAACCCCCCCCCCCCAAGATTTCGATTTGCAACCCCCCCCTCAAACTTTTGATGTGCACCCCCCCCCCTTAAACTTTCGATTTGCACCCCCCTCAACCTTTCAATTTATTTTTCCAAACCATTTTGGCGCCCCAACATATGTCCCCCCCCCCCCTCCTCGCTACGCTACTGCAGTGTCACTTATCGTCAAAAAAAACAGTCCCCACATTCAAAAATATGTTTTTTTATCTTTTAAAAACACCGAAAACACCGATTTCGGACTATCCCTTCATATACTGACGTCACATGTGACCTACTCAACTCTACTTCACCTGCCCAGTGTCCCGCCAAGTCTCAGACAACATGTTTTTATCGTTTAATAAACGATTCCAGCCGAGCATGTCTCTGACCACACTATCCTTTCATATGCTTAGGACAAAGAAACAGATGAACTCTACTTCACCTGCCATGTATCCTGCCAAGTTCAGATAGGCAACTTTATCATTCACATCTAAAAAAAATTGAAAAAAAAATATCATTGACATATTGGTCTAGAACCTGTGCCACCCGCATGAGAGCCAACTTCACTACCAACTTAGCTATTTACTCGTGGCGTCACAAAAGAATTTTTATACTATACTTTGAGTCTCCTTATGCAACTTGATTTACACGCATAGATCTAGATCTAAGTCTAGTAGTAGTAACTTTCAACTTAAATTTTATCTTAAATTAGCCAAACAAAGATTTATATAAAATAATTTAGGCCTGAAATAGATTCAAGATGTATTAAGACTGAAATAGATTCTAGATCTAGAATTTACATTGAGTCTAGTGACCTAGATCTAGGCTAGATTCATAACTTTCCTTCGACAGCTGATCTTTAGATCTAGAGAAATTTATTTTAAAACTAAATGAAAAAAGACAGTTGAAAATTGATATAAGTGTTGGAACGTAATAAATACAGCAAACGGACGTATTGTTAAAGTTATGACCGACAGAAAATTAGATTTAGAACGTGTTAAACTTTTGAATGGGAACACAATTTTCTTCGATAGACGCCGCCATTTTATTGTACTAAAGAGTAAACAAAAAACTGTGACGTCACGGTCCCGACAAGTGTAGTGGTCGTTCTAAACTTTAAAAAAAATAGGGTTACTCTACGTATGAATAAATCAATAAATTAATTAACATCTTTAAATAAATGTGTGATTAACAGTCTGTCTTAAAACAAATATTTTTCTCTACCTACATACTATTTTACAGCTCTCCACGATGAGTGCAACCATAGCATGCGCAATAGTCAATCAGCCAAACAAACAAACAAAAAAATAAATATTCAAACATGTAAACAAACTTGAGTTTTAGTAGTATAAGACTAGTAGATCTAGATAGATCTAGATCTACGAGATATCTAAAATCTAATTCTAGATATCTCCAGACTAGTCACTAGTGTCTAGATCTAATCTCTAGATTAGAATTAGATCTAGATCTAGCTCTATTCTATAGTATAGTATCTATCTATACTCTATACGTCACTATACAGTACTATACGAGTCTATAGGCAGGCCCTATCTTAATCTAACTTTTAAAGTGTAAATTGAGTGTAAACTTTAATGACTAGCTACTAGCTAGAGTTAGAGTCTAATAAAATAATAGATCTAGATCTAGTGACTAGTCAGATGGTCTTGGCACTGCACTTCAACTGGATGGAAAGAAAAAATAATATTTAGGCCTAAACGATGAACATACTTAAAAGCAATAATACTTAGATCTATATAATATAATACACTAACTTATTTAAAATATAGGATCTAGTCTAGAAATCTAGTATTTTTAGCAGAAAACACTGGACAGGCTAGGAATGATACGGAGGTTGACGGAGTCACTTCTTTTCGCGCATGACAAAACTGTCCAGAATTTTTGCCGTGGAATACAAAATTAAAAATCCAATAGTTATAAAATGAAACTAGTATCTAGATCTAATAGCTTTTTCAAATTTTAACAATTTTCACATCTAAATAGGGCCTATCTAATTACACAATTAAGAACTGTTAAAACCAAGTTAAATGTGAAGGTATGTTGTGTTGTCTTAAATTAATTCGTGAATAGGATAAAAGTCTGTGTTACTGTTTCAACTCCATTATCTAAAGGAAAGATGGGAAAAACTTTTTGGATGAACTCTTCTGTAGGCCTAGTCTATCTCTAGTTATCTAGAATCTAGATCTAACACTACACAAGAGAAACAACGGGCTGTTCCACTCAAACCGGTAAAGCCAAAGAGAATCATATCTCTAGATCTAGACTCTATGCATTTTTAATCTTAATGTTTTTAATGATTAAAAATATGTCGTCACCATCTCAAAGTTTTAATTCCTTAATTACAATTCTTATTATTACACGATTATGCTTTGCATTTCGAGTTATGTTTACATTAACATTGCCACGTAGATCTACTAAGATCCAGACAACACTCACAGTCAACACTCAACAGTTAGATCTAGATATTTAGATCTAGTAATAATAATAGTTTTATTGTCAAGACCATGTGTGTAACATAATAAATCGTACCAGTGTAGTTGATAATAAAATAATAGTTTTTTTTTTTTTTTGTCAAGCCAGTGTGTAACATAATAAATAGTTTAAATAAAATAGTCTTATTTCAGACTCAAGTTCTCTAGAATAACTTGTAATAAAACATTCAAACAGAGCCGACACCCTGTAGATCTACTCAGTTTTGTGAAATAATTTTTTGTATTGCTGCCACTTTATAAGCAAACATGCAGTTTGACATTAGAAGGTAAAGACAAATTTCTTTTAACTTTTTATTTGTTTTAATGCTCTGCTAAACATAATGGTTTTTTTATAGCAGTTTTAGTTATTTCTTAAATAATTTTAAAAAAAGGTTTGTAAAAATAGGTGTAACTGTAACTTGAATTGTTTGTTGAATCTAGATTAGACATCTATCGCAAGGTACCCAAAGACCTAACCCAGCCTACCCTAACTGGGGCCATGATTTCCGTATGCAGCTGCCTTTTTATCACCTATCTCTTTGTATCAGAACTTAGAGAATTCTTAACAGTGGAAGTGTAAGTCCATCCCAGTTACGTTTTTATTTAGATTTGTTTTACAGGCTTATTCCATTTCTTTAGAGTATTTTTTTTCTCCCCATTTTGTTGATAGATTTTTCTGTTTCTAGACAGAGTGTTCTCACTGTGGAAGATCCTGTGACACATTCTGAAAAGATTCCTGTTTTTATTAATATAACTTTACCCAACATGGCTTGTGAATGTAAGTTAGAACTGTGTACTATCAACCTGTGACCCTGTACCTAGACAAATGTTTCAGATATCGGCTTAGTTATACAAGATGTTTGTGATGTTTGAGATATTGATTTAGATATACGTGATGTTTGTGATGTTTGAGATATTGATTTAGATATACAAGATGTTTGTGATGTTTCAGATATCGGTTTAGATAAACAAGATGTTTGTGATGTTTCAGATATCGGTTTAGATATACAAGATGTTTGTGATGTTTCAGATATCGGTTTAGATATACAAGATGTTTGTGATGTTTGAGATATTGATTTAGATATACAAGATGTTTGTGATGTTTCAGATATCGGTTTAGATATACAAGATGTTTGTGATGTTTCAGATATCGGTTTAGATATACAAGATGTTTGTGATGTTTCAGATGTCGGTTTAGATATACAAGATGTTTGTGATGTTTCAGATATTGGTTTAGATATACAAGATGTTTGTGATGTTTCAGATATTGGTTTAGATATACAAGATGTTTGTGATGTTTCAGATATCGGTTTAGATATACAAGATGTTTGTGATGTTTCAGATGTCGGTTTAGATATACAAGATGTTTGTGATGTTTCAGATGTCGGTTTAGATATACACGATGTTTGTGATGTTTCAGATATCGGTTTAGATATACAAGATGTTTGTGATGTTTCAGATATTGATTTAGATATACAAGAGATGTTTGTTATGTTTCAGATGTCGGTTTAGATATACAAGATGACATGGGTCGTCATGAAGTTGGTTTCAGGGACAATACTCACAAAGAGCCTTTAAATGAAGGAAAGGGGTGTAGATTTGAAAGCCATTTTTTGATCAATAAGGTATGTCTGATGTAAACAGTTCTCTTTTTTTACAAGCTTTTACTTAGTTGGCATCGTCTGTTTGTTTGTGGGTTTGTGGCAATGCTTGTAACTCAATTTTTACCCACTTCTAATGCAGCAATTTAATTCCAATTTTCCAGTTACCTTCTGCTTTGAGAGCAATGTATGAAAACTATAATTAGACATTAGATTAGTCATTATAAAATTAATTGAACAGTTTTTAAACTAAAGGGAGATAACAAAATTAAATGCTAGCGATCAAGGGTGAACTCTTCACAATTGGCTGATTTCTCGCATGCTCTGCAAGGTATGGGCAGATAATTGTGTCAAAAGTTACTGAACGGGTTTTAACGGAAATATTTTTAGAAGTGGCCAAATTACTAAAAAGTTGAAAAAAACAAATTTTAAAACCTTCAAAACAATAAAAAGGTATTCTTTATTAATAAATACTTTGGTTGCACAAACTTGTAGTTGGACCATTGTCTCTTCCTCTGTCAGGTGCCAGGCAACTTTCATGTCTCCACTCACTCTGCCAAATCCCAACCAGAGAATCCTGACATGACCCACATTGTGCACAAGCTGCGCTTTGGGATGGACTTGGCTGAGGGCAAGGTGAGAGTGTTGGGGCTAGTGGGACAGGTTGTGTTGGGGCTAGTGGGACAGGTTGTGTTGGGGCTAGCCAGTGGGACAGGTTGTGTTGGGGCTAGCCAGTGGGACAGGTTGTGTTGGGGCTAGCCAGTGGGACAGGTTGTGTAGGGGCTAGTGGGACAGGTTGTGTTGTGGCTAGTGGGACAGGTTGTGTTGGGGCTAGTGGGACAGGTTGTGTTGGGGCTAGCCAGTGGGACAGGTTGTGTTTGGGCTAGTGGGACAGGTTGTGTTGGGGCTAGTGGGACAGGTTGTGTTGGGGCTAGTGGGACAGGTTGTGTTGGGGCTAGCCAGTGGGACAGGTTGTGTTGGGGCTAGTGGGACAGGTTGTGTTGGGGCTAGCCAGTGGGACAGGTTGTGTTTGGGCTAGTGGGACAGGTTGTGTTGGGGCCAGTGGGACAGGTTGTGTTGGGGCTAGTGGGACAGGTTGTGTTGGGGCTAGCCAGTGGGACAGGTTGTGTTGGGGCTAGTGGGACAGGTTGTGTTGGGGCTAGCCAGTGGGACAGGTTGTGTTGGGGCTAGTGGGACAGGTTGTGTTGGGGCTAGTGGGACAGGTTGTGTTTGGGCTAGTGGGACAGGTTGTGTTGGGGCTAGTGGGACAGGTTGTGTTGGGGCTAGTGGGACAGGTTGTGTTGGGGCTAGCCAGTGGGACAGGTTGTGTTGGGGCTAGCCAGTGGGATAGGTTGTGTTGGGGCTAGCCAGTGGGACAGGTTGTGTTGGGGCTAGCCAGTGGGACAGGTTGTGTTGGGGCTAGTGGGACAGGTTGTGTTGGGGCTAGTGGGACAGGTTGTGTTGGGGCTAGCCAGTGGGACAGGTTGTGTTGTGGCTAGCCAGTGGGACAGGTTGTGTTGGGGCTAGTGGGACAGGTTGTGTTGGGGCTAGCCAGTGGGACAGGTTGTGTTGGGGCTAGCCAGTGGGACAGGTTGTGTTGGGGCTAGTGGGGCAGGTTGTGTTGGGGCTAGTGGGACAGGTTGTGTTGGGGCTAGTGGGACAGGTTGTGTTGGGGCTAGCCAGTGGGACAGGTTGTGTTGGGGCTAGTGGGACAGGTTGTGTTGGGGCTAGCCAGTGGGACAGGTTGTGTTGGGGCTAGCCAGTGGGACAGGTTGTGTTGGGGCTAGCCAGTGGGACAGGTTGTGTTGGGGCTAGTGGGACAGGTTGTGTTGTGGCCAGTGGGACAGGTTGTGTAGGGGCTAGTGGGACAGGTTGTGTTGTGGCTAGTGGGACAGGTTGTGTTGGGGCTAGTGGGACAGGTTGTGTTGTGGCTAGTGGGACAGGTTGTGTTGGGGCTAGTGGGACAGGTTGTGTTGGGGCTAGCCAGTGGGACAGGTTGTGTTGGGGCTAGTGGGACAGGTTGTGATGGGGCTAGCCAGTGGGACAGGTTGTGTTGGGGCTAGTGGGACAGGTTGTGTTGGGGCTAGCCAGTGGGACAGGTTGTGTTGGGGCTTGTGGGGCAGGTTGTGTTGGGGCTAGTGGGACAGGTTGTGTTGGGGCTAGTGGGACAGGTTGTGTTGGGGCTAGCCAGTGGGACAGGTTGTGTTGGGGCTAGTGGGACAGGTTGTGTTGGGGCTAGTGGGACAGGTTGTGTTGGGGCTAGCCAGTGGGACAGGTTGTGTTGGGGCTAGTGGGACAGGTTGTGTTGGGGCTAGTGGGACAGGTTGTGTTGGGGCTAGCCAGTGGGACAGGTTGTGTTGGGGCTAGCCAGTGGGACAGGTTGTGTTGGGGCTAGCCAGTGGGACAGGTTGTGTTGGGGCTAGCCAGTGGGACAGGTTGTGTTGGGGCTAGCCAGTGGGACAGGTTGTGTTGGGGCTAGCCAGTGGGACAGGTTGTGTTGGGGCTAGCCAGTGGGACAGGTTGTGTTGGGGCTAGTGGGACAGGTTGTGTTGGGGCTAGCCAGTGGGACAGGTTGTGTTGGGGCTAGCCAGTGGGACAGGTTGTGTTGGGGCTAGCCAGTGGGACAGGTTGTGTTGGGGCTAGCCAGTGGGACATGTGGTGTCAGCTTTTAAAATTAAATTAATTGGCATTTATGTGATAAAATTTTAAAAATATTTTTTGTATTGCATAATTTAATGGAATTGTTTTTTGATTTAGCAAGTGAAAGGATCCTTCAATGCACTAGAAAATGTTGATAAAAGAAATTCTAATGGTAAGGCTGCTTTGTATAAAAATTGTTGAATATGTTTGACTTACAATGGTAAGGCTGCTTTGTATAAAAATTGTTGAATATGTTTGACTTACATTTACAATGGATGTCTTAGCACATTTTATACCTCAGACCACCTACATTAGCTGAACTCTACTTGATCTGCCCTGCAGATCATTGGATCTGAGAGCGCTTGACGTAAGTGGCACTGGTAGGTTGTTCCACCTGTGCCATTATTGCTCTAATGTAAAACTCAAATAAGTGTCATCTACAATCCAGCCAAATCTCAGTACATACACATGTTACATTTTACGTGGCATTGGTTCACTAGTACATAGATAGTTATAAGACAAGCTTTTTAAAAAAAATGATTTATAGTGATTGTTGTGTGACTGATGAATGATTATTTTATGACTGATGAACTGATTATTGTTGAATGATAAAATGATAGTTGTATGGCTGAAATGAAATTATAGTTGTATGACTGTGATGAAATTATTGTTGTATGATTGTGATGAAATTATAGTTGTATGACTGTGATGAAATTATTATTGTATGACTGTGATGAAATTATTGTTGTATGACTGATGAAATTATTGTTGTATGACTGTGATGAAATTATTGTTGTATGACTGTGATGAAATTATTGTTGTATGATTGTGATGAAATTATTGTTGTATGACTGTGATGAAATTATAGTTGTATGACTGTGATGAAATTATTATTGTATGACTGTGATGAAATTATTGTTGTATAACTGATGAAATTATTGTTGTATGACTGTGATGAAATTATTGTTGTATGACTGTGATGAAATTATAGTTGTATGACTGTGATGAAATTATTATTGTATGACTGTGATGAAATTATTGTTGTATGACTGATGAAATTATTGTTGTATGACTGTGATGAAATTATTGTTGTATGACTGTGATGAAATTATTGTTGTATGACTGATGAAATTATTGTTGTATGACTGTGATGAAATTATTGTTGTATGACTGATGAAATTATTGTTGTATGACTGATGAAATTATTGTTGTATGACTGTGATAAAATTATAGTTGTATGACTGATGAAATTATTGTTGTATGACTGTGATGAAATTATTGTTGTATGACTGTGATTAAACTATTGTTGTATGACTGTGATGAAATTATTGTTGTATGACTGATGAAATTATTGTTGTATGACTGTGATGAAATTATTGTTGTATGACTGTGATGAAATTATTGTTGTATGACTGTGATGAAATTATTGTTGTATGACTGTGATGAAATTATTGTTGTATGACTGATGAAATTATTGTTGTATGACTGTGATGAAATTATTATTGTATGACTGTGATGAAATTATTGTTGTATGACTGTGATGAAATTATTATTGTATGACTGTGATGAAATTATTGTTGTATGACTGTGATGAAATTATTGGTGTATGACTGTGATGAAATTATTATTGTATGACTGTGATGAAATTATTGTTGTATGACTGTGATGAAATTATTGGTGTATGACTGTGATGAAATTATTATTGTATGACTGATGAAAAAATTTCCTATTGAAACTTGCCTGTAGTTTCTCACAAGGGTAGGCATGTCTATATTCTGATCAGAAAAATGACTGTCTGATGAAAAATATGACTTTCTGATTAGAATTATAACTGTCTGATTAGAATTATAACTGTCTGATTAGAATTATAACTGTCTGATTAGAATTATAACTGTCTGATTAGAATTGTAACTGTCTGATTAGAATTATAACTGTCTGATTAGAATTATAACTGTCTGATTAGAATTATGACTGTCTGATTAGAATTATGACTGTCTGATTAGAATTAAAACTGTCTGGTTAGAATTATAACTGTCTGATTAGAATTATAACTGTCTGATTAGAATTATAACTGTCTGATTAGAATTATAACTGTCTGATTAGAATTATGACTGTCTGATTAGAATTATAACTGTCTGATTAGAATTATAACTGTCTGATTAGAATTATAACTGTCTGATTAGAATTATAACTGTCTGATTAGAATTATAACTGATTAGAATTATAACTGTCTGATTAGAATTATGACTGTCTGATTAGAATTATAACTGTCTGATTAGAATTATAACTGTCTGATTAGAATTATGACTGATTAGAATTATAACTGTCTGATTAGAATTATAACTGTCTGATTAGAATTATGTCTGATTAGAATTATAACTGTCTGATAAGAATTATAACTGTCTGATTAGAATTATAACTGTCTGATTAGAATTATAACTGTCTGATTAGAATTATAACTGTCTGATTAGAATTATAACTGTCTGATTAGAATTATAACTGTCTGATTAGAATTATAACTGTCTGATAATTTTTTCCTAGCTCTGACAACACATGACTACATACTCCGTGTGGTGCCTTCAGTGTATGAAGACAGATATAACAACATACGTTTTCCATTCCAGTACACATACAGTTACAGAGTAAGTCCAGGATAACTCCATAATTTCTCTTCCATAAGGTCATTGTGTAGAGCTGTTGGTCTGTCTGTGACCTTCCATAAGGTCATTGTGTAGAGCTGTTGGTCAGTCTGTGACCTTCCATAAGGTCATTGTGTAGAGCTGTTGGTCAGTCTGTGACCTTCCATAAGGTCATTGTGTAGAGCTGTTGGTCTGTCTGTGACCTTCCATAAGGTCATTGTGTAGAGCTGTTGGTCAGTCTGTGACCTTCCATAAGGTCATTGTGTAGAGCTGTTGGTCTGTCTGTGACCTTCCATAAGGTCATTGTGTAGAGCTGTTGGTCTGTCTGTGACCTTCCATAAGGTCATTGTGTAGAGCTGTTGGTCTGTCTGTTGGTTTGTTCTAATGGCTGTTCTCTTAAAATTTTCAGGACATGATGCAGATGGGTCATGGTGGGCACATCATGCCAGCTATTTGGTTTCGCTATGAACTCAGCCCAATCACTGTGCGCTACACAGAAAAGACAAAACCTTTTTACACATTTTTGGTCATGGTAAGATTTTGATTATAGGCATGTTATAATGGAATAACCAGCCATTATTGTGTTAGCCGTTGGAAAAAAAAGTTTTAAGTACTAAAATGTAACCTTTAAACTGTGAATAGTTTTAACTCCAATGTCCATTAGATGAATCCCTGATTTTTTATGATACAGATCACTGTAGTAACTCCCAACTTTCCTAATGGTTGGTGGGGGTCACCTGACTCAGCTTGACCAATGACAGTGATGTTTATTTGTATGGGCTGGTCATTGAAAGCCAAGTTATATGTCAGTGTGGAGCCAGCCACAAGTTAACCAAAGTACTAAAAAAAAAGCACAAAAATAATGTTGACAAAATTTCTTGCCTAAAAGTCATCTTAAATCCTTAGTGTTATTGTAGCATGTAGCAACAAGGAACTCATTGTAACATCCCCCCCCCCCCCCCACCACAATTCATTTTACTTGCACAAACTGCATTTACCCACAACCTTTGACCTTAGCTTGTCTATCCCTCTCATGGAAGATGACTAGCCCCTTCTGTATCTCCCCAGATCTTATGCCTTCTGTATCTCCCCAGATCTTATGCCTTCTGTATCTCATCAGATCTTATGCCTTCTGTATCTCCCCAGATCTTATGCCCTCTGTATCTCCCCAGATCTTATGCCTTCTGTATCTCCCCGGATCTTATGCCCTCTATCTCCCCAGATCTTATGCCCTCTGTATCTCCCCAGATCTCATGCCTTCTGTATCTCCCCAGATCTTATGCCCTCTGTATCTCCCCAGATCTTATGCCCTCTGTATCTCCCCAGATCTTATGCCCTCTGTATCTCCCCAGATCTTATGCCTTCTGTATCTCCCCAGATCTTATGCCCTCTGTATCTCCCCAGATCTTATGCCTTCTGTATCTCCCCAGATCTTATGCCTTCTGTATCTCCCCAGATCTTATGCCTTCTGTATCTCCCCAGATCTTATGCCCTCTGTATCTCCCCGGATCTTATGCCCTCTGTATCTCCCCAGATCTTATGCCTTCTGTATCTCCCCAGATCTTATGCCCTCTGTATCTCCCCAGATCTTATGCCCTCTGTATCTCCCCAGATCTTATGCCTTCTGTATCTCCCCGGATCTTATGCCTTCTGTATCTTCCCAGATCTTATGCCTTCTTTATCTCCCCAGATCTTATGCCTTCTGTATCTCCCCAGATCTTATGCCCTCTGTATCTCCCCAGATCTTATGCCCTCTGTATCTCCCCGGATCTTATGCCTTCTGTATCTCCCCAGATCTGCGCCATCATTGGTGGGACATTCACAGTGGCTGGGATCATTGATGGCTTTATATTTTCTGCTTCTGAATTGATCAAAAAAGCTGAACTTGGAAAGCTTAGCTGAGACTGGTGCCACTACTCTAGGTGTTACTTGTATTTGGTCCCTATAGAATGTATTTATTTCTCTATTTTACTCACGGTTGTTACATTTATTTTACTCACGGTTTAACCTCATGTGCTTTGAGAGTGAGGACTTTGCCTTGTTCATTCTTTTCTTTAAGAGGGCCATATGTTGAGTCACCATAGAAGTGATATGAGAGCCATATGTTGAGTCACCATAGAAGTGATATTTTGATTTAGCCATAGATCTGTTGACAACATAGCCCGCTGTTTTAAAGAAGGAATCAACCTTCTTTAAGTTGTTGACAGACAAAAGGATTTATTTTTGTAACATCATCTGCTCTAAGGAAATCATCCATAGCTGACATCCCATAATTTTTAACTCCTCACTGTCTCATAGTTTTTTATCACTCTCCTAGTTGTATACACATGTACTGTACTGGAGTCAGGGGGTACAATACACATGTAGGCTGCAGGTACTGGAGTCAGGGGGTACAATACACATGTAGGCTGCAGGTACTGGAGTCAGGGGTACAATACACATGTAGGCTGCAGGTACTGGAGTCAGGGGGTACAATACACATGTAGGCTGCAGGTACTGGAGTCAGGGGGTACAATACACATGTAGGCTGCAGGTACTGGAGTCAGGGGGTACAATACACATGTAGGCTGCAGGTACTGGAGTCAGGGGGTACAATACACATGTAGGCTGCAGGTACTGGAGTCAGGGGGTACAATACACATGTAGGCTGCAGGTACTGGAGTCAGGGGGTACAATACACATGTAGGCTGCAGGTACTGGAGTCAGGGGGTACAATACACATGTAGGCTGCAGGTACTGGAGTCAGGGGGTACTATACACATGTAGGCTGCAGGTACTGGAGTCAGGGGGTACAATACACATGTAGGCTGCAGGTACTGGAGTCAGGGGGTACAATACACATGTAGGCTGCAGGTACTGGAGTCAGGGGGTACAATACACATGTAGGCTGCAGGTACTGGAGTCAGGGGGTACAATACACATGTAGGCTGCAGGTACTGGAGTCAGGGGGTACAATACACATGTAGGCTGCAGGTACTGGAGTCAGGGGGTACAATACACATGTAGGCTGCAGGTACTGGAGTCAGGGGGTACAATACACATGTAGGCTGCAGGTACTGGAGTCAGGGGGTACAATACACATGTAGGCTGCAGGTACTGGAGTCAGGGGGTACAATACACATGTAGGCTGCAGGTACTGGAGTCAGGGGGTACAATACACATGTAGGCTGCAGGTACTGGAGTCAGGGGGTACAATACACATGTAGGCTGCAGGTACTGGAGTCAGGGGGTACAATACACATGTAGGCTGCAGGTACTGGAGTCAGGGGGTACAATACACATGTAGGCTGCAGGTACTGGAGTCAGGGGGTACATATGTAGGCCATATCTAGCTTATAATAAATGTAGATGTGAAGGAAAATATATTTTTTCTGACTAACTTGAGCAACATGATCAGAAATTGTGGTTCTGATAGCCCATAGCTTGAGTAGAATATTTGGTGTAGTAGGAAAGTCCTGCTAGTTTTGTTCTATTTTGATAAATGAGATTTGGTGACAACATTTGTAACAACCAATGGCATATTATAGAGTGAATGTTCAATTCTACTAGATTTAAAAAGAAATGTAAGCTGTTACATAACCCATACCTCAGGTGTTATTTATGGATGATCCAAAAAGATGCACAAGAACATACATAGCCTATCTATCTAGCTATGAAATTTTAATTCAAAACTTTTGAAACTTGAGGCTAACAAAGATGGTGATTTAAAACTTTTGCAGTACACAAATCAAATGTGTTGAATTGGAATTTGTTGTAGGCTTTTATTTGTCACTTTAAAAATTTATGTTACTTCACTTGGGGCATAAGGTGTTATTCAAAATGTTAACTTCAGCACTTTTTAAAATGTAATTTCTGTTCATTATTTTTACACTCTCTACATTTTACATTCCATGATTTTTTTATTCTAAATTTTACTTTCAATATTTTCACTTTTAAAAATTGTTTTAGCAATACAAATTTTTACTGCCCTAAGTAATAGCTTATTATTCACAGAAAGATTTATATATTATAGCTAGCTATATAAGTATATATATATATAAGTATGTATATATAAGTATATATATATATATATATATATATATATATATATATATATATATATATATATATATATATATATATATATATATATATATCATAGCAAGGGTGTAAATGGTCTGCCCTCAACTTGGCAACCAAGTCCTCTCAAATGTCCATGGTTACAAGTTGTCTAGGTCTCTGTTAATGAATGAATGGTCACCTGAGTAAATATGGACATAAGAAATATCTGGAAAGTTTCACAAAGAATAGCAAGCTTGTTGTGCATGGCTTATGACTTATAATATAATAAATTGTTCAATCAAACTGGTGCATTAAATTTTGCGTTACTTTATTGTTTTAAAAATAACTATGCAAACAAAAAATAAATGTATGTGTTTGTATTTTATGCGTTACTACACCATTCATGAACTTTTGTGAAGTTATTGAAATGTTCTAGTGGTGGCACCCCAGCCAGTTGTGTGCGAAATATTCTAGTGGTGGCACCCCAGCCAGTTGTGTGCGAAATATTCTAGTGGTGGCACCCCAGCCAGTTGTGTGCGAAATATTCTAGTGGTGGCACCCCAGCCAGTTGTGTGCGAAATATTCTAGTGGTGGCACCCTAGCCAGTAGTTATTGAAATGTTCTAGTGGTGGCACCCCAGCCAGTTGTGTGCGAAATATTCTAGTGGTGGCACCCCAGCCAGTTGTGTGCGAAATATTCTAGTGGTGGCACCCCAGCCAGTTGTGTGCGAAATATTCTAGTGGTGGCACCCCAGCCAGTTGTGTGCGAAATATTCTAGTGGTAGCACCCCAGCCAGTTGTGTGCGAAATATTCTAGTGGTGGCACCCCAGCCAGTTGTGTGCGAAATATTCTAGTGGTGGCACCCCAGCCAGTTGTGTGCGAAATATTCTAGTGGTGGCACCCCAGCCAGTTGTGTGCGATTGGGCGCCCTAAGCTCTGGGACCACTGATTAAGCACCCCCCACATGGGTCAGGGTACTATTGAAATCAACTGTGTTGGGGCATCTGCCTTATGACTCTAGCACCACCGGACCCTCTCGTGAGCACTATAGTGCCTACACTTGCTTTTAAGTGTGCCATAGACTAGGGGTACAGTGAGCTAACCAGTAGCTCACTAGAACACCACCTGGTGACACCTTGGTAGTTGCTGAGATGTGTTGTACCTCACACTTGTGGAGGCTGATCCACATACAAGTGAGGTTTTCATACAGTGTATGTGGCATCTTAGTGGAGACTGAACAACATAAGGTTTTCATACAGTGTATGTGGCATCTTAGTGGAGACTGAACAGAGTAAGGTTTTCATACAGTGTATGTGGCATCTTAGTGGAGACTGAACAGCGTAAGGTTTTCATACAGTGTATGGACCATTTAAGAGGTTGTGTGGACAAACCTACAGCCCAAGAACTAAGGTCCAAAAAATAAAGTGTTGACATTGTTTACAGCCTGAGAACTGTAGTCCAAGAAATATAGAGTGCTAACTGCTTACATTTAGGCAGTGGCATCCAAACACTAATGAATATATGTCATATAAACAACATTGGGGGGGGGGGGGGTTAAAAGGCGCAAAAAAAAAGTCAGACATTGTTTTAGCTCGTTTAGTAGTAGGCCTACATCGCACATACATTACTGGCATACAGTATCAAAATGTCCAGGTTTTAAATAAATTAACCTGAATGTCTCAGGGCTTAGCAGAGGTCAAGACAGACACACACTGGATTCACTATTAGATTTTGGCAATGCGGACGAGTGAACTAGTAATAAAAAACTTTTTAAAAAACCACGTTTTTTTTGTGGACTAAAAAGTAGAAAATAAATTTTTCTTCCGACCCTAGGGGATCTACCAATGACTGCTCGTAGATTTTTGTGCTTCCTCGAGCTGTGCAGGTTCTTGTGATGACTGTTCATACATTTAATGACATTTAGTCCACAAAAAAAAACGTGGTTTTTTTTTTTAAATTTTTTAAGTATTTTATTTTCTCCTTTTTAGTCCGTTGCTACACATGAAAAACGTGGTTTTTAAAAAGTTTTTTATATAGTTTATTTTCTACTTTATATAATGACTTGATTAAGTATGACTTGACTAAGTGTTTTTAAATACACGGACTAAAAATCTTGAGCGACCGATACGCTTTAAACAGAGAAGGGGCGTAATTTAATTAAGCTAATTTAGGTCTCTAATTGCTAGTTTTTTATGATTGCGTCTGAAATTGTTAGGCGATGACATTTGATGACACGAATTTTGGAAATTTGATGGTGAACGTACCCACGTTTATTGTCATCAAATGCCGTGACCAGGATTCGAACCTGGGTTGTCGCGGCCACAACGCGAAGTACTAACCACAATACGATCACGGCCAGCGCGCTCACATCGATTGGGGCCGAAGTAACTGTGTCAATAGGCCTCCAGTCTTGTCGGTATCTTTAGAAATCATGTCCTCAATTTTAGGGTCCTTGGGGCGTAATTTAATTAAGCTAATTTAGGTCTCTAATTGCTAGTTTTTATGATTGCATCTGAAATTGTTAGGCGAAAATAGCCTGCATGCCGAATTTCAGATCTCTAGAGCAATCAGAAGTGGGCTAATTTTCGTTGTCAATTTTAACAACAAACCCACAAACGCGAAGCTGAGTTAAGAAAAACGTGTTAAAAGGAGTTTTGAAATGCACATGTAGATGTAACTGGTGGTGTTCATTACCTCTGTTAAAAGCTTTGTGGGTTGAGTCCTGGCTTTTTGTCACAGTGATGACGTGTGACTTTGAGGTTAAGGGGAAGAAGATAAAAAAAAATTAAATTCTTGATATTGTTTATGACATGGATGACCTCAGGGTTGATTTGAATACAGTGATTCATTTACACGTCAAACTTGGTTTTGTAATTGTGATCTTAATTTTACTTTTCACATGCAAAGTAATGTAATGCTAAATTCAAGTTGTGGACTTCCCCTCTCCACCATCGCTCGTCATAAGGATGTCTCCTTGCCCTTCTTTTTCTTAGGCCTTGGCCTAGCTAGATATCTATCTGTCTGTCTGTCTATATACTACTAAAACTAAAGTTTGTTTACATGTTTGAATATTTATTTGTTTGTCCATTTGGTTACAGGAGAGAATCTGCACTATGTGTACAATAGGTAATTAGGTAGAGAACAATTTTCTTTTTTAAACAAACTGTTAATCACAAATTAATTTAAAGACGTTAATTAATTTATTGATATATTCATTGGTGGATTAACCACATAATTATAAAAGTTCAGAGCAATGACTTATATAGTGACGTCACATGATTTATTTCCTTTTTTTAATAATAATGGCAACTTCCATACAAGATTTTGTTGCCCATTCAAAAGTATAATATAGCTAATTTTCTGCTATAGCTTTAACGATACGTCCGTTTGCTATTTTTATTACGTTTCAACACTTATATCAATTTTCAGCAGTCCTTTTCATTTAAGTATACAATAAATTTCTCTAGATCTAGAATCTAAAGATCAGCTGTCGAAGGAAGATATTTATAGATCTAGAATCTAGGTCAAACCAAAATTAATTAGTTAAAAATAAAAACCATTTTAAAATCAGAATAAATTATTGAGTTTCTTTACCAAACTATTTTTAGTCCTTAAACATATGATATAAAACCGTTTTCTAAAACGCGAAATAATGGCTAAAACTCGTTTTCTAACATTGCTTTTGTATGATGCAAAATAGTGACGTCACACCATCTGAACCCCCCTCCCCCTTATCACACACCATCACAAAATTACGGACCCACCCTCCCCCCTACGAGTGTGACGTCCTTTATGGACGACCCCTAAGTGACAGACGTGATGTTTTTTATGGATGACCCCCGAAACCCACAGTTATCCAAGGGATGACGGGTAGTCTAGTAGATTATAGATCTAGCAATTAACCGCTCACTCCTACTATACTACTAGATTTCTAATAGTAATAGTAGTAATATCACTACTATCAGATTCAAGGGACGTGTAGCAAATCATCATGAGTATATTGATTTTTAACCCAATTAATTAAATAGATTTTTTTTTCAAAAATTGAACCTAGATCTATAATAGGCCCTATATTTTATTATTTATTCTTGTAAGTGGTCTTTAACTTTATGTTTATGCCCTAAACTAGTATTTTATTCTGTTGCGAAACCCCATAAACTTTTAATATATTCCTTGAGTAATTTGTGTTTAAAGTTTAACTAAATTATTTGTTGTGATTTTTAAGATAGACTACTGCTAAAAACTAATCTACAACGTGACCTCTGACAACGAGATGAATACTAATCTTATAAATTACATAATTAAAATTATATAGTAGGCCTATATAGTATATAGCTTATATAATCCATTTCTATATGAAATTTCATCTCTATTTGTTATAATTAATTAATTATTCAATGACGTTCTTTAAAACACAACTATTCAACTATGATAATGATATGAATATGAATGTTAAAAGTTAAAAGTTAGAAATTTAAAAAATAGGCCTAATGAATAGCCGGGTAATCTATCGTTTTAGGTACGTAAAATCGCCCGCGACTAGTAATGTGAAAAACAGGTGACTCCTTACATTTTAATAATTATTTCACATTTTGAGGAGGATTTATGTTTTGAAAAATACAAAAATGATTAAAATGTTTCCTTGTTTCATTTCTGTACCTGTTTTTAAACAATTGAATTAGGGTTGTCGGTATCGGCCGAGATCGCGGTAAAAACATGACCCGAAATCGCCCATTACTTTCTGATACCGGGCGCACGAGATTTGGTTTTGCATACTAATAAGTTTTTAATTTATGGTAATTAATTAAGTTTAAAAGGTCATTTCCTAATGTTAAATGAAAAGTAGAATGGTTTTCCCATTGTTTTGATGGCTTAGCGATCTGATTGCACGCTGTCTCTGCCTTGGTCTTCCCCCTGTATGAAGGCTAGTTTCAAATACGTTGGAATCACGATTTTTTAAAAGGTTATTCTAGATGAGTGAAGATTACTGAGCAGACATATCTTATATATGTGGAAATGATATTTGTTTTTGGATATTTTGACTCTGACATTAGATATACTCGTTTAGAGGTGGTCACTGTATGTAGGTCGCGTTGCCACCATTGTTATATTTTTTCATCCCGATCTTCCGGCCTTTAAGTTTGATCAACTAACAACAGCATTCTTATGAAATGTGCAAACAAATCTCCTAATTTTTTATTTCAAAATATATTTACATACCCATCTTTAATTTTTTCAGTTCTAGTTCTAGTTTTGCAGAATGTTTTTCCTAAAATCCAATTTTGTCAGACTAGACTGACAAGAGTCAGACCTAGATCTAGGTTACCTGTCTGTTGCTATACACTAGCATTGTGCTAACTGTAATTTTAAGTATTCAAGTTCTACTTACCCTTAGATATGCTGAAAATCAGAATCCATACACAATTCACACATAAAAACATTGATCTGATAACTTCATTTAAATTATTACAAAATGGCTTATGGGCTCTACTTCACCTGCCCAAAATAACAAGGCAGTTATATACACATTACAGTGTTCAAGTCATTTAGATTTCTGACTATGTAGTTCTTACATTCACTGTATTTATATAAAATATTGCTTTAGAAACATTTTCATATTTGCGCAGCAGTTTTATAACAAAATGGCTTAAAGATGGACTCTACTTCACCTGCCCAAAATAATGAGGCAATTATAATAATATTATATATATGCACATAACAGTGTTCAAGTCATTTACTTTAGATTTCAAACTTTGTAGTTCTTTCATTTGCTGTATTTATATAAAATATGGCTTTAGAAACATTTTCATATTTGCGCAGCACACAGTTTTTTGGGGTTATGGGAGGAAGCCAACACAAAAATATAAGTTCTGAATTATTTTTATTCATTTCAACAGCATTTACAAGTTCTATATATCATTCTAGCTAAACTCTGCAAATATGAACAAAATACAACTGCAATTAAAATAACTGCTCAATGTATTCAGGTATACCATGACTTGTCACAATTGGCCAATGCAAAAACAAGGGGATTCCACCCCTCACAAAAAAATTCGCAAAAAAAAAACTATTTGAGCTAGACAAAAAATCTTTTTTGTTTTGTTTTCATTTTGTTGAGCTCTACAAGAATATGTAATTTTTATTTTTATATGATGATCAGTGCTTTTTTACCAAAATCCCTAATTGAATTAAAACTTTTCAGAATAAATGAACACCAGCGATGTTTCCAACAGATGCAACCATGCTCATTTACTATAGCAGCCATCTTGTTAAAGTTTTATTTTTATAGACTTATAGCGCGAGATTCAGGCGGAAGTCACTCTATTTTACAAATGGCTGCTGTTTATATAAAAAAAATATATAGCAAATCTTGCTTGCAGAAACTACTGTTTAAAGTTAATTTCTGGCCTATATTGATATATTTAGCCATTGATTTAGGTTTATTATTCATTTATCTATAATATTTGACACAAACATATCACAATATACTTCTATTACAGCCTTGACATTGAGGTAACGTTTTCGTACATTAATAGCCGCGGGCGATTTTACGTACCCAAAACGATAGATTACCGAATAGCCGTATAGCGGCTAATGTTATAAAATCCGAAATCAACAAGCTGAATTTAATTTTATTAGGCCTATTGCTTAATTAATATTAATTATTTATAGTATAAATTATACGAAGTGACTACTTGGAAGAAGATTTTTCTCCCCAACGTCTCCACTTAGTCGGCAAAAGATAGCTCTGCGCATGCGCAGTGACCTATGGCTAGGGTTAGGGCTAGAATTAGGGTTAGGGATAGGATTAGGGTTAGGGATAGTGATTAGAGTTAGGGATAGGATTAGGGATAGGATTACGGTTGGTGTTAGGGTTCTGCGGTTGTTAACACACGTATGCGCAGTACCATCGAAAACATCGCCACGATGGCAAGTCGTAGTTTCTCTCCATTGCACATGCACATCTTTTTCCGGCTAGCATCGGCCTTATTTATATTTATTTAAGAATTAAGAAGTAGGCCCAAATGTGTTACTCACCTGTGTAACACTGTGTTACTGTAAACTGTAGTCTGTGCTGTATTGTTTAAGTTTAGTGTACATTAACATTATAATTTATTTAGTGATATATAATATATTATATAGGCCTATATTATTATTATATAGTATATAGGCCCCAGATCTAATTAGGCCTTTTAAACTTAAACTATTATTAGCACGAAGTGAATATTGGAAAAAATCTAGCCCCCTAGGGCCTAGCCTCTCCGGGCCCACTAGGCTTGCCGGCAGAAGACGCAAAAACGCAATGGCAATGGCCTTTAAAAGGCTAAATATGGGCTGAAATTACCCTTAAGAGCTAAGCAATGGGCTCGAATTACCCTAAAATAGCTGTTCAGTGAGCTCATATTACTCATTTACTCAATTTACTGATTAAGCCCTATTCTTTTAACAAAACTAACTATCGTGTGGTTGAGCAGTTGCTCTTTGGGCAGATCGTCAGGGGGATAGAATCTAGTATATCTAGAACTTGTAAAGAGATCTACCCATCTAGTCTGTAATTAAAGTATAACATTTTAAAAAAAAATATTTTTAATAGCATATTTAAATCTACTATTTAAGTTTTTATCATGTTAATCAGTTAATCACATCAGGACAACTCATAGGCCTGAATAGATGACAAGAAATCCAGGTCACTGTAGTTCTGTTTAGTTAATATGCCCATGCGCATCATCTTTCTGCTAGAATTGGCCTTATTAATATTAATGTTAGGCCTAATTAACTGTTGTTACTAATAGTCTATGCTATGAATATGAATGGACTATGTAGTTTGACGCAGCTATGGCCTATCTAATTATCTATAGGGGCCTAATCTATGGTATTAATTTGGGTGGTATTAGTAATAATTATTAATATAGAAATACCATATGTATTACTATTGTTACTGTTAGCCTAATAATTATTAATATAGAAATACCATATGTATTACTATTGTTACTGTTAGCCTAATAATTATTAATATAGAAATATCATATGTATTACTATTGTTACTGTTAGCCTAATAATTATTAATATAGAAATACCATATGTATTACTATTGTTACTGTTAGCCTAATTAATTAATTAAGTAGGGAGTTCTGCCTACTAGTAGGCTAAATTTTTTTAATAGGCTGTAATTTATTAAATTACTAGGGCTAATTTCTATTTTAATAATTAGTTAATTAGGCCTTTTGTCAACCTAAACTTAAAAGCAAGCCTTAGGGTATAAAGTAACCTAATAATATATCACAATTAGGCTAAATTTCTAATGTTTAAATTTTTATTTTTAGAGTGTATTTTTACTTAGTGAGAGTCCAAATAATTAAACATTATAGGCTAGAACTAGGTCTATTCTTGGCCATATATTTTAACATTTTTAATTTACCTACATTTTTTTCTTTTTAAATAATAATAACAAGATTTAGCCTAAGAAAACTTTTTAAAAAGAGATTTGTTTCAGATCAATCAGACACTAATCTAATATTTGCTAACTTTGATGGCTTTAGTTAGCTTATGTGAGATATGGGGGGGGGGGGGTAAATAAAATAGACCTATTGCATTTTAATTTACTGCAACTTATAATCGAGCAGTTACTAAATAATCCAAACAAATGACCATAAATCAGCTCATAAAATGATTATGTTTGCAAGCATTTTTAAAATCTTGTTATTCTGTAATAAGTGCTGTTGTAACAAAGATACTTGGCATAACTGTATACATACTACATTCAAATTAAAAAAGAAATGTAAAGATAGCTAAAAAAATGTGTTTTTGAATATACTAACAAATGTACATTGGTATTCAGATTCTACTACAGATGAATCATGTCGACAAAAAACATGAGAACTTTGGGAGGTAGTGGTCCCCCTAAACAGATTCAACAAAAAAGATTGTTCAGAAAGCGGCAAGCAAATGTAGAGTCAGAGAAGAGGGTATGGTGAAATCTGATTAGTTTTATTTTATACATTTTCTGCTGTGTGACAAGTGTTAGTTTTGTTGTATGTCACTGTTTAGGTTTGTAGGGGGTCTTTAAAGATTCTGTTGATATATTTATATGTAGCCTACATAGTCTTATTTAGATACTAGCCATGGGTACCAATGTCACGTGAATTTTAGGCCTATGTATTAAAAGTCTTTTAATGTTATACTTTACTTGTTTGGAAAAAATAATGTTAAAAATAGTTATTGGTCAAAACTCAATGTTCTTTACTACACATTGAACGATATTAGTGACAAAGCAAAGAAATAACCAAATAGCTAAAAATCTGACACATTTAAAATAACATAGGCTACCAATACCTATTAGAAAAATTAAAACCAATTAGATCTTATATACATTTTTAGTCAATACAACACTGGAATGCACACACTAATTAAGAGACTTAAATGATTCAGTTAAAAACCCATCTGTTCAATGGAATTTATGTTGTTTTTTTTAAAGTAATTTATGTTAGATTTGTCCAAGAAAATTATATACATTTCATAGCGCACATCTTGATAAGTAGATCTATATATCTAAATCAAATTTGAATGAAATATTTTATTTCTTCATATTCTAAAATTGGAAGTTGACACCATTAGTATTATGTACTTTCTGTAGTTAAAACATGTGGCGTCATTTTTTGTGTGTTCTTGTCACAACCATAAACACTTTTCCGGTTGCATGATTAAAAATATGTTTCTACATTAGAATTTGCCTTTATTTTTCTTCTGTAAAAAAAATTAGTTTATACATTTAAAACATTCAACATTATTTTCAACAAAAGTCTGTATCTTTTAAGTTCTTCATATACTGCTGAACATACTGTTCTTATATCTTGCTGAACTTTCCCAATAGCCTTCATGGGATAAAACTTTCTCTGCCACTGCGTATTAGCTCTATTCAATCCTTTGTTCTTGTAACATCATATTTATACATGTCTTCAGGTGACAATATATTTCTGTATGATTTTTGTATTGACAAGCTAAGGTTGATGAAAATTTGTTTTAGTTTGATGTGGAAACAATTGGTGCCTTCAAGAAGATGCCATCTTTCCATTTGTTTTAGTTTGATGTGGAAACAATTGGTGCCTTCAAGAAGATGCCATCTTTCCAGCCTGAACATTTCATGACAACTCGCCCGTTAATGGGGGCTTGCTGTGCTTGTATGCCCCAAAGTCAGGTAACTCATCTTAATGATTGTATGCCCCAAAGTCAGGTAACTCATCTTAATGATTGTATGCCCCAAAGTCAGGTAACTCATCTTAATGATTGTATGCCCCAGTCAGGTAACACATCTTAATGATTGTATGCCCCAAAGTCAGGTAACACATCTTAATGATTGTATGCCCCAGTTAGGGAACTCATCTTAATGATTGTATGCCCCAAAGTCAGGTAACTCATCTTAATGATTGTATGCCCCAGTCAGTTAACTCATCTTAATGATTGTATGCCCCAGTCAGGTAACTCATCTTAATGATTGTATGCCCCAGTTAGGTAACTCATCTTAATGATTGTATGCCCCAAAGTCAGGTAACTCATCTTAATGATTGTATGCCCCAAAGTTAGGTAACTCATCTTAATGATTGTATGCCCCAGTTAGGTAACTCATCTTAATGATTGTATACCCAAAGTCAGGTAACTCATCTTAATGATTGTATACCCAAAGTCAGGTAACTCATCTTAATGATTGTATGCCCCAGTCAGGTAACTCATCTTAATGATTGTATACCCCAGTCAGGTAACTCATCTTAATGATTGCATGCCCCAGTCAGGTAACTCATCTCAATGATTGTATGCCCCAAGTCAGGTAACTCATCTTAATGATTGTATGCCCCAAAGTTAGGTAACTCATTTGACTGATGACTTTGCCTTATCTGATCACAGAGAGAGTTGATGAGTCCAGGCCTAAGAGAGATGGGAGTGAGAAATATCTTGGATGTCAGAACTGAGATGGCGTAAGTTACGTACATGTTGCATGTCCTACCTACTCATGCGTAAGTTACGTACATGTTGCATGTCCTACCTACTCATGCGTAAGTTACGTACATGTTGCATGTCCTACCTACTTAACCAGAGCTACAAGTTCACTTCAGTTCTTTTGTTTGACAGCAATGCCGGGTACCTCTCAAGATGGTTTGCAGATGAAGCTTATGCACTGAGGCGACCTTTGTTCAACAGATACCCAGATCTCTCCATGGTTGTACTCACAAGTCCCAGGTAGCCAGTCTATTGTATCTGTCCCAGGTAGCCAGTCTATTGTATCTATCTTAAGTCCCAGGTAGCCAGTCTATTGTATCTGTCTTAAGTCCCAGGTAGCTAGTCTATTGTATCTGTCCCAGGTAGCCAGTCTATTATATCTGTCCCAGGTAGCCAGTCTATTGTGTCTGTTCCAGGTAGCCAGTCTATTGTATCTGTCCCACGTAGCCAGTCTATTGTATCTGTCATATGTCCCAGGTAGCCAGTCTGTCATATGTCCCAGGTAGCCAGTCTATTGTATCTATCACATGTCCCAGGTAGCCAGTCTGTCATATGTCCCAGGTAGCCAGTCTGTCTTAAGTCCCAGGTAGCCAGTCTATTGTATCTGTCACAAGTCATAGGTAGCCATTCTATTGTATGTGTCACATGTCTGAGGTAGCCAGTCTATTGTGTCTGTCACATGTCCCAGGTAGCCAGTCTATTGTATCTGTCACATGTCCCAGGTAGCCAGTCTATTGTATCTGTCACATGTCCCAGGTAGCCAGTCTATTGTATCTGTCACATGTCCCAGGTAGCCAGTCTATTGTATCTGTCACAAGTCTCAGGTAGCCAGTCTATTGTATCTGTCCCAGGTAGCCAGTCTATTGTATCTGTCACATGTCCCAGGTAGCCAGTCTATTGTATTTCACATGTCCCAGGTAGCCAGTCTATTGTATCTGTCACTTGTCCCAGGTAGCCAGTCTATTGTATCTGTCACATGTCCCAGGTAGCCAGTCTATTGTATCTGTCACATGTCCCAGGTAGCCAGTCTATTGTATCTGTCCCAGGTAGCCAGTCTATTGTATCTGTCTTAAGTCCCAGGTAGCCAGTCTATTGTATCTGTCCCAGGTAGCCAGTCTATTATATCTGTCCCAGGTAGCCAGTCTATTGTGTCTGTTCCAGGTAGCCAGTCTATTGTATCTGTCCCACGTAGCCAGTCTATTGTATCTGTCATATGTCCCAGGTAGCCAGTCTGTCATATGTCCCAGGTAGCCAGTCTATTGTATCTATCACATGTCCCAGGTAGCCAGTCTGTCATATGTCCCAGGTAGCCAGTCTGTCTTAAGTCCCAGGTAGCCAGTCTATTGTATCTGTCACAAGTCATAGGTAGCCATTCTATTGTATGTGTCACATGTCTGAGGTAGCCAGTCTATTGTGTCTGTCACATGTCCCAGGTAGCCAGTCTATTGTATCTGTCACATGTCCCAGGTAGCCAGTCTATTGTATCTGTCACATGTCCCAGGTAGCCAGTCTATTGTATCTGTCACATGTCCCAGGTAGCCAGTCTATTGTATCTGTCACAAGTCTCAGGTAGCCAGTCTATTGTATCTGTCCCAGGTAGCCAGTCTATTGTATCTGTCACATGTCCCAGGTAGCCAGTCTATTGTATCTGTCACATGTCCCAGGTAGCCAGTCTATTGTATCTGTCACTTGTCCCAGGTAGCCAGTCTATTGTATCTGTCACATGTCCCAGGTAGCCAGTCTATTGTATCTGTCACATGTCCCAGGTAGCCAGTCTGTCACATGTCCCAGGTAGCCAGTCTATTGTATCTGTCCCAGGTAGCCAGTCTATTGTATCTGTCACATGTCCCAGGTAGCCAGTCTATTGTATTTCACATGTCCCAGGTAGCCAGTCTATTGTATCTGTCACTTGTCCCAGGTAGCCAGTCTATTGTATCTGTCACATGTCCCAGGTAGCCAGTCTATTGTATCTGTCACATGTCCCAGGTAGCCAGTCTATTGTATCTGTCCCAGGTAGCCAATCTATTGTATCTGTCTTAAGTCCCAGGTAGCCAGTCTATTGTATCTGTCCCAGGTAGCCAGTCTATTATATCTGTCCCAGGTAGCCAGTCTATTGTGTCTGTTCCAGGTAGCCAGTCTATTGTATCTGTCCCACGTAGCCAGTCTATTGTATCTGTCATATGTCCCAGGTAGCCAGTCTGTCATATGTCCCAGGTAGCCAGTCTATTGTATCTATCACATGTCCCAGGTAGCCAGTCTGTCATATGTCCCAGGTAGCCAGTCTGTCTTAAGTCCCAGGTAGCCAGTCTATTGTATCTGTCACAAGTCATAGGTAGCCATTCTATTGTATGTGTCACATGTCTGAGGTAGCCAGTCTATTGTGTCTGTCACATGTCCCAGGTAGCCAGTCTATTGTATCTGTCACATGTCCCAGGTAGCCAGTCTATTGTATCTGTCACATGTCCCAGGTAGCCAGTCTATTGTATCTGTCACATGTCCCAGGTAGCCAGTCTATTGTATCTGTCACAAGTCTCAGGTAGCCAGTCTATTGTATCTGTCCCAGGTAGCCAGTCTATTGTATCTGTCACATGTCCCAGGTAGCCAGTCTATTGTATCTGTCACATGTCCCAGGTAGCCAGTCTATTGTATCTGTCACTTGTCCCAGGTAGCCAGTCTATTGTATCTGTCACATGTCCCAGGTAGCCAGTCTATTGTATCTGTCATATGTCCCAGGTAGCCAGTCTGTCATATGTCCCAGGTAGCCAGTCTATTGTATCTATCACATGTCCCAGGTAGCCAGTCTGTCATATGTCCCAGGTAGCCAGTCTGTCTTAAGTCCCAGGTAGCCAGTCTATTGTATCTGTCACAAGTCATAGGTAGCCATTCTATTGTATGTGTCACATGTCTGAGGTAGCCAGTCTATTGTGTCTGTCACATGTCCCAGGTAGCCAGTCTATTGTATCTGTCACATGTCCCAGGTAGCCAGTCTATTGTATCTGTCACATGTCCCAGGTAGCCAGTCTATTGTATCTGTCACATGTCCCAGGTAGCCAGTCTATTGTATCTGTCACAAGTCTCAGGTAGCCAGTCTATTGTATCTGTCCCAGGTAGCCAGTCTATTGTATCTGTCACGTGTCCCAGGTAGCCAGTCTATTGTATCTGTCACATGTCCCAGGTAGCCAGTCTATTGTATCTGTCACTTGTCCCAGGTAGCCAGTCTATTGTATCTGTCACATGTCCCAGGTAGCCAGTCTATTGTATCTGTCACATGTCCCAGGTAGCCAGTCTATTGTATCTGTCCCAGGTAGCCAGTCTATTGTATCTGTCACATGTCCCAGGTGGCCAGTCTATTGTATCTGTCTCACATGTCCCAGGTAGCCAGTCTATTGTATCTGTCACATGTCCCAGGTAGCCAGTCTATTTTATCTGTCCCAGGTAGCCAGTCTATTGTATCTGTCCCAGGTGGCCAGTCTATTGTATCTGTCACATGTCCCAGGTAGCAAGTCTATAGTATCTGTCACATGTCCCACGTAGCCAGTCTATTGTATCTGTCACATGTCCCAGGTAGCCAGTCTATTGTATCTGTCACATGTCCCAGGTAGCCAGTCTATTGTATCTGTCACATGTCCCAGGTAGCCAGTCTATTGTATCTGTCACATGTCCCAGGTAGCCAGTCTATTGTATCTGTCACATGTCCCAGGTAGCCAGTCTATTGTATCTGTCACATGTCCCAGGTTGCCAGTCTATTGTATCTGTCACATGTCCCAGGTAGCCAGTCTATTGTATCTGTCACATGTCCCACGTAGCCAGTCTATTGTATCTGTCACATGTCCCAGGTAGCAAGTCTATTGTATCTGTCACAAGTTCCAGGTAGCCAGTCTATTGTATCTGTCACAAGTCCCACGTAGCCAGTCTATTGTATCTGTCACATGTCCCACGTAGCCAGTCTATTGTTTCTGTCACATGTCCCAGGTAGCCAGTCTATTGTATCTGTCACAAGTTCCAGGTAGCCAGTCTATTGTATCTGTCACATGTCCCAGGTAGCCAGTCTATTGTATCTGTCACATGTCCCAGGTAGCCAGTCTATTGTATCTGTCACAAGTCTCAGGTAGCCAGTCTATTGTATCTGTCCCAGGTAGCCAGTCTATTGTATCTGTCACATGTCCCAGGTAGCCAGTCTATTGTATTTCACATGTCCCAGGTAGCCAGTCTATTGTATCTGTCACTTGTCCCAGGTAGCCAGTCTATTGTATCTGTCACATGTCCCAGGTAGCCAGTCTATTGTATCTGTCACATGTCCCAGGTAGCCAGTCTATTGTATCTGTCCCAGGTAGCCAGTCTATTGTATCTGTCTTAAGTCCCAGGTAGCCAGTCTATTGTATCTGTCCCAGGTAGCCAGTCTATTATATCTGTCCCAGGTAGCCAGTCTATTGTGTCTGTTCCAGGTAGCCAGTCTATTGTATCTGTCCCACGTAGCCAGTCTATTGTATCTGTCATATGTCCCAGGTAGCCAGTCTGTCATATGTCCCAGGTAGCAAGTCTATTGTATCTGTCACAAGTTCCAGGTAGCCAGTCTATTGTATCTGTCACAAGTCCCACGTAGCCAGTCTATTGTATCTGTCACATGTCCCACGTAGCCAGTCTATTGTTTCTGTCACATGTCCCAGGTAGCCAGTCTATTGTATCTGTCACAAGTTCCAGGTAGCCAGTCTATTGTATCTGTCACATGTCCCAGGTAGCCAGTCTGTCACATGTCCCAGGTAGCCAGTCTATTGTATCTGTCACAAGTCCCAGGTAGCCAGTCTATTGTATCTGTCACATGTCCCAGGTAGCCAGTCTATTGTATCTGTCATATGTCCCAGGTAGCCAGTCTATTGTATCTGTCACATGTCCCAGGTAGCCAGTCTATTGTATCTGTCACAAGTTCCAGGTAGCCAGTCTATTGTATCTGTCACATGTCCCAGGTAGCTAGTCTATTGTATCTGTCACAAGTCCCAGGTAGCCAGTCTATTGTATCTGTCACATGTCCCAGGTAGCCAGTCTATTGTATCTGTCACATGTCCCAGGTAGCCAGTCTATTGTATCTGTCACATGTCCCAGGTAGCAAGTCTATTGTATCTGTCACAAGTCCCAGGTAGCCAGTCTATTGTATCTGTCACATGTCCCAGGTAGCCAGTCTATTGTATCTGTCACATGTCCCAGGTAGCCAGTCTATTGTATCTGTCACATGTCCCAGGTAG